TGAGACAAGGAGTTAAGAGGGGAGAGAGGAAAAGAGCAAAGGATTTGGTTTTGATTTTATTACTGGAAAAGGAAAATCTTGGGCAGAGAGGGAGGAAGGAAGGAAGGAAAGAGAAGGTACTTGGGCGAGCCAGAGCAGGGCATCACAGGTAGAAATGTGGTGATGCTGAGAGTTTCTGAGAGTGAGTGCAATGTACAAGTGTTCTTTTGCCAGGTAGATGGCAGTTGAGAAGCAATATATTGACAGCAATATGGTCAGCCAACTCATTCTTCTTCAAAGGCTTTCACCAACACCAAGGATATTGCTAAATATGTTCAATAGAAGGAGCACAGCAGGAGCTTCTTCTTCATTGGGAGAGTGGGGCCACAATGTTAAGAACCATAGCTGTCAAGTGTCCCTTGTTTGAAGGGACAGTCCCTTATTCCAGCACCATGTCCCGCTGCTGTCCCTTATTGATGGATGTCCCTTAAATGGTGTACCTTAAATTTGAAAGGAAGCAGCTCCTCTCTCTCTCTCTCCCTCCCTCCCGGCCAGCCGGCCAGGGAGGAGGGAGGCTCCAACTGTGTTGCTTGGCTGTGTTGCTCACCCAATAAGAAGTCTAAGAACAACTGGGGGTGGAGCTTGCATGCCTTGTGTGTGGCTAGTTAATGCAAGCTGAGGGGGGTTTTGAATGCTGGACGCCATTTTGTTGCACGTGCTGCTGCAAACTTTGCAGTGCAAAGCCAGGCCAGGGAGCCATCTTAAGTTGAGGCTGCACAGGCCTTGTGGTGCATGTGATTCAGATTCTATTCAGTTGAACCTCTGGTTACAAAGTTGGTTGGACAGTGTTCTCGAAGCTACCAGCATGAGTTTGACCAGACTGCAAGAGGACAGGAAGACTGGAGTGCTTGGAACAGGTGAGGCTGCAGGTCCCTTTTTTTTTGGCTGCTGGTCCCTTATTTTCAAGGCTGCTGGTCCCTTATTTTCAAATCTGTAAGTTGACAGCTATGTTAAGAACTGATTACAAGAGTGAATTGAAGGTGGCAACTGCAGAAGGTACTGAGCAGACAGAAGCAACAAAAGGAGAGGAGCGCGTAGAAAATGGCAAGGCAAATTCCCACAATTTTATTTCCTGTGATTCACCCAGAATGAAGTTGTTCGTGCATTTAGTTGAGCCGTAATGTTGCAGTTTCAGAAAGATCTGCTTTCCAACAACTGCAGCATTTCCTAGTGGTGATTTGGCATTCAGGATTTGGGAAAGGAAAGGGGAGGGAGGGAGCCCATGACCTGTTCTCAATTCTCCCTAGCGGGCAGATGAAATATTGTTCTAGCAGGCCCCCACTCTTTTCCAGATTTGAATTCTGTGCTCATACTTGCTGCGTTGGATTCTCTCAGGAAGAAGGGAGGTGCATCTGTGAAATTATTTTTTGCTGAAAACAGTTGATTATGATAATGACAGCCCCAGTGAGAGATTCATTATTCAGCAGAGACTTCCACACCTCAAGATCACAGAAGATGGGTTTCAGGTTTGCACAGTAACAAGCCTAGTAGAAGAAGAAATACTTTCTTCGTGTACAAGTCAGGCAAAAGAAAAGCTTGCCAAGAGTACTTTGCATTCAGAGTCTCTCGGTACAAATTTGAATTTTCTTTATAGTGCAAGCAAGCAGTTGAATTGGTCTGTCACTCCTTTACTCCTCTTATTACTTTCTCACCAAACCCGAATATTTCAAGATACTGACTGAGTAGATAGATAGATCCTACCTGAAATGCGAGCCAATTCTACGTAATGATGAATTTTATGAGTAGAATTGCAGCAAAGAAAAAGCCTTTACTATTTATAGTAGTTTGCTCATTAATTCATGTTTCTCCTCTTCTGGATTTCTGGGTTCCTCTTGAGCTCATGGTGATAGAAGCACGTCCATAGCATTTTGCCTGATTAAACTGGAATAGTATTCTGTATAACTGCTTCGCATGAGAGAGGAAAAAAATAGACCATTAACTTTACTGAATTTACTTTCCTTCTGAAGTTGAGGACGGGAGATCCTTTTTCCTGCTTTAAGGGGGAGAATGCCATTTTTGGGATTCCTTTTTCTAGTTTGTTCTGCGAAAACTGACATTCGTCAACATCCTAAACTTACGCTTGTCAGATAAAAGAATAGAAACACAAATAAACTCAACATCCTCTAGGCATTCTAGAAAGATGAGGTATGCGTACAATCCTTTCAACTCTGACCTTTGTAACTTTAATTGACATATTGGAAACTTCTGTGGGTTATTTAAAAAAAACTAAGAGGTACTTGACTGGAAAAAATTTGCAAACATTAAGGCAACATTAGCTATCTGCGCATACATAATAGGGCCTGTAAACTCAAAGGATAGCTTCTTTGATGATGATGATGATGATGATGATGATGATGATAACGACGAAGACTGTTTATCAAGCATTCAACATAGAACTTTCACATCACCTCATGTATTTGCATACATTAGTTTGTGAGACTACCCTAAGATCCTCCTTGTTTCTCTAGACAGCACACTTGGAACAGTTGATGCAAAAGATCTATCTCGCATGAGTACACAGTTTGAGGGAGACAGAGAAAGAGTTACCAGGTATATAAAAAGTTTAAAAATGCTTATATGAAGGTATGTCTATAGAAATAAAGGATCTTTCACTGATCTGACTTCCATCTCTGTCATCTTGTCTCACTGTGTGATTACACAACAGTTTCCATCACAACAATCAGCACAATGATTTTGGGCTTCTGGAGTAAGAATGGGCACTCCCTTAAAACTAGAAACACTAAAATCTGTAAGTGAGCTTTTAAAAACTTCCTTGACACTCCCTAAGAAACCTCAGTGAAATTTAGTTCTAAGCAATATGTAGCACATGAGGAACTCATTTAAACCAGGATGAGAATCTATTTTCTCATTACAAAGACTGAGTGATTAATTTATTATGATTTCCAGTGGAGTTAGCAGTATAGATTACCGTACCCTTTGAAACTTGTGATGGTTGAGAGTGAAAATTATACGAATTATTGAACTTTATGTTTCCAGTTTTTCCACGTTTGCGTGTGTTTTAGGGAAACATGCTGTCGTGTGTGTGTGTGTGTGTGTGTGTGTGTGTGTGGAGCTGGTGCAAAAAATAGAAAAGGGGGGCACCCCACATTCCACCCTGTCTAGCATGAGGCTAGCTTGGGATGTGGCAGTGACTCCACCACTTCTTTCAGTCCCACTGCTCAAAGCTAGAAGTTAGACTTACTAATTCTAGCAACTCTATACAACAAAATATCTAAATACAAGTATTTGGGTATGTCTAGGTAACCTTTCTCAATGAAAGAGAGTTTTCCTTCTGTTGAAGTGTCGTGTGATTCTGATCAGTGGTAAATAGAGGAGATAGTGGCTGTTTCAGACTGCAGTCATACCTCGGGTTACAGACGCTTCGGGTTGCGCGTTTTCAGGTAGCGCACCATGCCAAACCTGGAAGTACTGGAACAGGCTCGCAACCCGAGTGTCCACTGTACTCTGATATATCTGAAGAAGTGTGCCTGCACATGAAAGCTCATACCAATAACAAACTTAGTTGGTCTCTAAGGTGCTACTGGAAGGATTTTTTTATTTTGTTTCGACTATGGCAGACCAACACGGCTGCCTACCTATAATTAGAACTCTGGTATAAAAGGCTCTGATCTTACATGCATGCCCCTACTAGTGTAGAACAGCAATAAAGGAACTCCTTTTAACCATTATAAGGGCAAAGGGGGAGTTGAAAATGCGATAAGAGAAGCTTGCTGGACAATTTTAAGTGGCTCTTCCTAGGAAGCAAATGTGCAAACATAATGATCTTTTACTTGGTTTAGGCTTTAGTGCAGTGGGGTATTTTGATCCAATCTGTACCCATTCATTTCTTACCAAATTAAGACAGTGCACAACTGAATACAAACAGGACCATTTCTGCCAACACTGTTGCCGTGGTTACCAGTAGTGAGTGATACTGCCTTGCCACACATTCTGATGCAAGGCTGTCACGAACACCCTGGTATTTTGAGTTTGGTGAGACCAGATTTTTTCACATTGTTTTGACTTTTTTTCAGTCAATAAATTGTCCAGCTCTTACCTCAGCATCCATTTTTTTGATCAATACCGTCAGGAATTCATGCAAATGGCTCGAGGACTAAGCTTTGGGAACACTTCTTGAATACCTAGTGGTGTATCCCCTAGATTTTTGGCTTACTACAGCGCTATGTAGCACTCTGCTGAACATTTTTGGACAAGCCAGGCATGTTGAATAGTCCACTCAGTTAGAAGGATCTGGTAAACCCCAACTGCAGCTAGGGAGAGAAATGCAAAAGGCAAATTAAATATTAGTAAGAAGTAAATAAGCTTTATTGTACTAGCCAAAGGCCATGACGAAACCATAGAAACACTATCAGAAAAAGAAATATCTATATATCTGTATAAAAAAGCAGAACCTCTGCCTAAACCATTGGAATCATAAAATACAGGTACATGCTTAAATTGGGGGTCTCCACACAGCACACAGTATTTTCCTATTTAGACCCCTGAATTGCTAAGAAGTGTGCATTTAAGTAGAGTTGTTGAAGATGTAAATGTTTTGAATAGTGCTGTCAGGCGTGGAGAGCCCTCCTCTTCCTTCAGTAACGTCTCCTTTGCTCTCTGATATGTACGTTCGGATCTCCGAGTTCGTGGGGAGGGGGGGTCCCCCACACTCTCAAGTGACGTCTCGACTAGCTGCCCCCTCCCTTCTGGCTCCCTTGTTATTATCTCGTAATTGGGTAACTCCTCCCTAAGCTGTTCAGCTTCTGTGTCTCTCTCTGTGACTCTTCCCCCTCCAGCTCTCCATCAGAGAGAAGCTGGTCTGCCATAGAACGCGTTCTCCAGTCCTCGTCTTCAGACCATTCCCTGACAAGTGCAAATGTCTGTGCTGTGAACTGACTTAGTTTAAATCACATTCAACTAAATGGAGAAGCTAACTGCTTTTTCTCACCTCTCTCTTTCAGTAATAGTTATGCCCGTGTGCGAGCTGTGGTGATGACCCGTGATGACTCAAGCGGTGGATGGTTACCACTTGGAGGGGGTGGTCTAAGCTATGTCACCGTTTTCAAAGTCATTCACCAGGAAGAAAATGGCTGTGCTGATTTTCTTATACATGGGGAGCGTCTCAGGGACAAAACGGTAAAGACAACTATTTCTTTCTTGTGCCATTATGAACATTCATATTTCTGTGTATCTTTCTAATCTGGACAATATGGGAGTAAGGTACTTTTATGATAATAGTTTCATTTTGTTATTTGACAAAAATAACAAAAACAAGCAAATGTCTGAGACAGAGGAGAGTGTTTATTTTAATTTTTAAAAATTGCCTCTCATTTCATAACCCAAATAATATTTCACACCAGGCTATAAAAATCACAGTAAAACTGTAAAACAAACAATAAGAATAGGAATGTAGTCTAGAATACTGTTACACCAACTTCTATTTTTAAAGCTAGACCACTTCAAACTGGGCTTCAGTCATTTTGGAAAACTTAAAACTAATCACTTTTAAGAACAATAAATGGTGGGATAGAATGCATAAATATGACTTTAATTTTATGTGGAAACAAGAGTTTTATTTATTTATAAATATATTTATATTCCACTCATAGCAATATATCATAGTAGTTTACAACAATGCAAAACTATAAAACCACACAGTAAAATCGTAAACAATTAAAAACAAGTTAAAAGCAAAAGTTTGTGCCAGAACTGAAGAAGCATTGGACAGGTGCGGGCACTTTTTGCCAATTCCACTTCCCCATTGCAGCACCCTGCAACCCAAATCTGTTCCCGATAGTTCAGGGACCTTTCCGTGCAACATGGAAGGTGGTGCAGAGGCTGCAGGGAAACTGCCCAAAATTGCCTTCCTGTTTCTTACATCAGTGGATGCCTCATCTGGATCAGTAGTGCTTCTGCAAACAGGACAACAACTTTGTGTTTTACCCAGAATTGCTTATGCGTCTTTGATACAACTACCCACAGAATCACTGGAAACCCTTTAAGGAGCCCTTTAAGTGTTATCTGAAACCTAAATGAAATCACTTCCAAGATTGGCTCCCTCAAAGCTGGGATTATATATGCAGGACCCTTCCACAAGGACAGAAGCCAGCCACATAAGTTCAAGCCATTCAGTCAGCATCCCCACTCTAAAATATCTCCATAGCCAGTCCCTGCCCCTGCGGTTAGGTCCCTTAAATGTTAACGCCAGCCTTGCAGGAGCCACTTCCATAAAGGCTGCTCTCCACCCAGCAGACCACCACCCAGCCCATGGCAATCGAAAGAAATAAATATTTATTTGGGGGATATATTTATTTATTTATTGGGGGGGTATTCTTTATTATTATGCATTTTGTGTTTTTTATCTTATATATTTATGTTGTGAATAGCTCTGAGATCTACAGTTGAAGGGCAGTACACAAATTCAATTAATAATAAATAATTTGTGCCCTAAATAATGTTTCCGCCATTCAAACGAATCATAAGGCTTTCTTTTAATATGTGTTGCTATCCTGTGAGACCATTTCCTGTGTTCATGCTACCAGCTGAGCTGCTGATATGTGATGTAGATCTTTTCATGAATGTGGTTTTGGTCGGGTTTTATTTGTAGTGCTGAAAATTATTCTTAGATTTTTGAATGAGTATCTTCAGAGATGACATGTCCAATGGCATGAAGCAACGTGTTCCAGATAGATTTCTATTTTTTATTTTTTTTTTATTTTTTTTTGTGGCAGACCTTAGCGTGGGGACAGAAATAACTGGTTAGTACAGGCGAAACAGTGGTATTGGCTAGAATATAAGACTGGGGGCGGGGCGGGGCGGGTTAAGCATATTAACAGATGCTGTGGGGTGATAGTCAAGGATATACCATATTCACTCGAGTCTAATGTGCCATTGAATCTAATGCGCACCTTGATTTTCAGAACCTTGAAACCAAAAAAGGTTTTTGTAAAATGGCAAATGTAAACGTGCCATTGAATCTAATGTGCACCTTAATTTTCACAACGTTATTTGGCCAAAAAAGGTGATATTAGATTCAAGTGAATATGGTAGCACCCTCTAAAGAGAAACTCCCCCCCCCCTTGTTGGCTGATTGCTTATTATCCTCTTTTAAAGGGGCACCACTCAACTGCCCCTTTCTACCCTGCATCTTGATTTGTCATCCTATATAGATGCTGACACCCATATGCTGAGCAAATAAATTCCTGTTGCCATTTCACAATAGCCCTAGGTAGTAACATGAAGTTATTTATTGTCTGAAAAAGCAAGCAAATCCTTTCCCCACTTCTTTCTTTCTCTCTGCCAGCAGCTTTTCCTACTTGCATCGGCCACAAAATTTGACCTGTATCTCCAGCCAGATTTGTTTCAGAGCTTCCTCTGTGACTTTTCAATGTGGCTCTCAAGACTGAAGTTGGCCTGTTTAAAATGTTTCTCTTTTTTGCCCCCATTTGTTGTAATGTGGAGTCTAAAAGAAGCTGTAAATTCTTTTCTTTTTCAACCGCCCATCCGGCATGGATTAAGCCGGCCCAAATTATAGACAAATACACCCAGAAGTACTTGTGCAGGGCACCTTTAAAGTTTGATGTTTTAAGCAAAAGAAAGTCTATAACCTTTGGATTTTCTTTGAGAAATGTATGCAATTTGCTGGCTTGGTCACCCCTTCTGATGGGATGAAACCTGCCAAATTTCTGAATGACAGCTGCAGTACAAAAAGAATCAGGAGGGAGTGGGGACACCAGAAACCCCCAGGAAATACTAGGATAGGTTTAAAGTTGTCTCCCAGCAGCGACCCTTTAGCCCCAAGGGTCATTTGTGGAGAATTTACCCACCCCACTGGATTTTGGAGTGTGGTGTAGTGGTTAAGAGCAGTAGACTCGTAATCTGGGGAACCGGGTTCGCGTCTCCACTCCTCCACATGCAGCTGCTGGGTGACCTTGGGCCAGTCACACTTCTTTGAAGTCTCTCAGCCCCACTCACCTCACAGAGTGTTTGTTGTGGGGGAGGAAGGGAAAGGAGATTGTTAGCCGCTTTGAGACTCCTTCGGGTAGTGATAAAGCGGGATATCAAATCCAAACTCTTCTTCTTCATTATCTCTGCATTTACTTACATATGGTTAAGATATAATCCCCCCTCCCAAGCAATGTGATTGGAGTTGTCTGGGGAAATAATTCACTGTGATTACAAAGCTAGAACTCTCCATCAAAATGAAAGATTTCCCCCTGACACAAACACCCCCCCCCAAAAAAAAATCTTGGTTTCACTTCTCCAAAATGTGTTTTTTGAACACCCAAGACCACAGAGCTACTCAGAAGCTTAGGAGTCCCTGCTCTGACTCATGACATCTTGGAGTGCTGTCCAACTTGGAAACATAAGAGAACCTTCCCTGAATCACCCCAATCTGTCTTGTAATTTTGGGCACACGCAGAACGAATGCACTCCCTAGCGTGAACAGTTGAAAGTGAGAAGAACTGGGAAGAGAAGCTTCTACTGTATCTGAGAAGAGCTGTGTCAAATGATTTACTAGCTCTTACCCATGAGGCCAAGTTTGTTTCTGCTGCTGCTGTTGAGGCTGAGCATTTGACAATGGCATAGACACTTGTTGATGGTGGTGGGCTAGGCAAGCATTGTGCAAGACAAGGTGATTCTGCCTCTGCTGACTGACGCAGGAGGACAGCAGAAACAGCGTGGGAACTTCAGAAACTTTGTTTTCACTGATCCTAGGAAATAATTTATAGTATAAGAGTTACCATTAAAACAGGTTTCAGAACCAACGTTTAACTCAAACTATCAGTCTTGTTGCCTGGTCAGTTCATTTTCTTCCCTGCATGGTTGCTCCTTTCCCAGTTAATGTGTTAATGCGCAAAATTATAAGGAAATGTGGCAGCTGGGACTGGGTGCCTGAGGAAATCGAGAGTAGCACTGAAAGGTATGGAGCAAATGGCAGCAGGAAGGAATGACACATGGGCTCAGCTGGCCAACTGGAGAGATGTTGTATTTGTCATCTCTTGCATTTCCGCCCTTTGTACCTGCCATAAACCACCCATTAGGGTTTAGATCAGGCATGGCCAAACTTGGCCCTCCAGCTGTTTTGGGACTACAGTTCCCATCATCCCCGGCCACTGGTCCTGTTAGCTAGGGATGGTGGGAGTTGTAGTCCCAAAACAGCTGGAGGGCCAAGTTTGGCCATGCCTGGTTTAGATGAAAAACTTAATTCGTGTCATCTGCTGCAGCGCTATCCACGCTGCCCTGAGTAGTCCACCCACAATATGGGTGGATCACACACACTCTTGGTTTATTTAAATTAGCTTTTGTTCCCCTCTGCATTTTTTGGGAGTTGTAACCCAGAACATACAGGGGGCATCAGATTCGCAAAGCTTGGTTTAGAACATTTCAGTCCCTCTTTTCAACAGTCAAGAGTGAACACAGGAAGCTTAGTATTGTCCATACTGACTGGCTTTCTAGGATTTCAGCCAGTAAACCTAGATTGAACCTGGGACTTTTTGCATGCAAATCTTAAGCTCCACCATTAAGCCAGGGCCCTTCCCGCTCAGATATGCTTGCAAAAGTTTTGATTTAAATTAATATTTTGTATGCTGATATTCCAGCAACGAAGTTCACCTTAAAGCAAACCACAGCGATAGCAAAGCATTGGAAAACAACACAAATTACACTTCCAACAATTTGAGCAAATAATTACAGTTTTAAAAAAAAAAAAAACCCAAGCCATAGTAAAGTAAAACCAAAAACTCATCTAACAATTAATGCAGTTCAATACAAACCAATAATAAGTCAAAATACTTTTAAAACAAATAAGAACGTGTGACAGTAGCAGAGCAGCAGCCTAAGAAACATTTTGAAAGTTGCCTCCTCTGATATCAACCTGCTCGTGGTCAGGGCTTAGTTTCTGAGAAGAAGAAGAAGGAGGAGGTTTGGATTTGATACCCCGCTTTATCATTACCCTAAGGAGTCTCAAAGACTTTCCTTATAGTCCCTTTGCCAAACAAAGTGCCGAGAGAAGGGACGAAAGAGAAGAGAGCCTTTGCAGTAGTGCCATTTGAACTATGGAATAACCTTGCAGGACAGATTCACCAAGCCTGCTTTAAGCTTGCTCTGAAGAACCTGTTTTATTCTGTTGGACATTTTTTTCCAATGAATTGTTTCATACATTTTTTAGCCTGCTGCTGTTACTGTGTTTTTTTATCATGGTGATTTAAAGTGCTGGTTGATTTCTTAAATGTGCTTTAAAAAAAAAGTTAAAATTTAATATATGTATAATTATATTTACATATATATGTATATAACTATATTTATGTATATAACATACATATACATACAGATATATAGCTATATAGATATACGCGCATATATACACACACACACACACATATACACACACATATATAAAATAAGCTGCTGTGAGTTTAGTTTTATCACGGAATAGTGGGATGTAAGTGGCGTAAAACAGAGCTAGCATCACACAAGTTAAAACTTCTTCTTAAAATAAAATAGAACAATAGGAATGCTTCCAGGAATGGGGGTTTCATTCGTCAGCCCCTTCCTGTACATGAAGTGATACCACCAGGCAGCACGACAGCTAGGATGTCATGACTCTGACTACAGATAGGTAGCCGTGTTGGTCTGCCATAGTCAAAACAAAAAAATTTCCTTCCAGTAGCACCTTAAAGACCAACTAAGTTAGTTCTTGGTATGAGCTGTGTATCTGAAGAAGTGTGCATGCACACGAAAGCTCATACCAAGAACTAACTTAGTTGGTCTTTAAGGTGCCACTGGAAGGAAATTTTTTTGTTTTGACTCTGACTCTGACTGACTGACTGGAGATTTCTCAAGCTTCCCTTCCTATGCCATACCATTTGATGAGGTGATTAAGGGTGGGTGGATAGAAAGGGAAAGCAAGTCTTCATGATTGAGCAAATTCCTGGAAAATTGAGGAAAAAATCCAAGTAACCTTTGAGCAGTTGGAATTCCCCTGTTGGAAAATGAACCAAATGTCTTAAATTCATAGCCCATTAGGTTGAATTAATGGATAAAGCATAATTTTACCACCCTTCAAACATTACTTACAATCAAATTTCATAATGGCAATGTATTGTAGTTCATATCTGAAATGATCCAGTAGCTGATGAACTTTGCTAAAGAAAGAACTTCATTAGTTCTTTTTAGAGAACATTCCTCTCAAAATCTTCCTCAACAGTACTGATTCACGGTACTTTCTGTTCCTCAGAGCATCCATTCTCCTTTATCAGGCTTTTGTTTTGTTTTAAGATGTCTTTGACCTGACACCAGCAATTCTAAAATAGGGCTGACTTCTGTAACAGCACTTCCTCTATCACACCAAGGCTTCAGGCAGTGAGAAATGAATTGGCTAGAACTCCAGTGGTTCAAGGTAAACTAAATAGAAAGCAATGGCCCAAAACCTCTCTTCGTTTTGTTTTACAAAAGGAGCAATGAGACGAATTACTTTCAGAGAAAATAGATAGCAGGATACACACTAGATGATAGATAGATGATAGATAGATAGATAGATAGATAGATAGATAGATAGATAGATAGATGATAGATAGATGATAGATAGATAGATAGATAGATAGATAGATAGATAGATAGATAGATAGATAGATAGATATAGATGATAGATAGATAGATAGATAGATAGATAGATAGATAGATAGATAGAAAGAATGAATCATGAGCTTGTTCTTGCAAGTGATAAAATGAGCAAGCTTTTAAGAAAACACATTGGGGAGTGATTCTACTTGCTAAGCTTTCAGACATATTTGGCTTTGCATTATGAAGAATGCCTTTGCCATTGTGATTGCTCGAAAACATAAAAAAAAATATAGCTATAGCTGAAAATGTGTGTGATCTTTGGCACAAAAAAACATTTGCATTAGACCCAGGAAGGAGTTTTAATCGGAATTCAGGCAAAAGGTTTGCTTGCTCAGCCTGGATGAGATGTGGTGTTATGATACACAGTAAAATCACTGTATTTTAGTTGAAGATAACTTGTGGCAAAAGACAGGGTACAGCTTCATGAATAAGAATGTTAGCTTGATATGTTATTGACAAAGAGCCTGTCAGGTACCTTGAAAAGTGATAGCACCCAGGATATGGATTTCACTTTGGAGTGACAGAGACTATTTCTGGACTTGTTTACCCAGCTTGTTTAGATCTCTGTTGGAATGTGAAGGGTTTTCTTCTTCTTTCTTTTCACAAAGCACCCCTGACATAATTGCACACTTCCTCCTTTATTATACTTCCCTTCCGAGATCTGGCTCCAGCCAGTCTAGTTGGAACAATTACCTTCCACTCTAACCTGGACAGGTCTGCTGCTCTTTTAAGCTATGTAAACATCAATGGAGAGTTTCTTTTATATGCAGAATCAAACATACATTCAGGCTTCAGTATTTTAGATTTTCAAATGCCACAGACTTGATGATATTTATTTTTGCTTTCCGGTTTAATAATGAGACATTTATTCTGTTACGTGTTACGCATCTTATTGTCTGGTATCCTTGCTTAACCGCAGCAAGACAAATGAATTCAAAGAGGAAGGCATGGGAAGAACTTCACCATTCATGACTTTCTGAACAAAGAGAAATTGTGCACACCCTTTCTTTTACATGGTGTTCTTCCAAAGTGGATCCTTTCACAGCATTTGGAGACTTAGCAAGATTAGAGTAGTGAGATGAGAGAGGTGGGCATGGATGTGGTGTTTTGCTTGAGTATTGGAGACACTGGTTCAAATCCCCATTCAACCATGAAGTTCACTGGATCACCTTTAGCCAGGCATTACACATACGTCAGCCTAACCTCTTTCACAGGGTGAGGATATAGTGTGGGGAGCCATGTGTGTCACCTTGAACCCATTGGAGGAAAGGCAAGATGTGATTGAATGAAATTGAATAGGAAGACTGGAGGAGAAGGGAGACCGGGTACAGTCAATAACCCCTTGGCCAGTTCTTCACTAATACCTGGTTCAGGATGTTGTCTACACAGTTCGAGAATATTGTCCAACGTTTTAGAAGACCTGGGCAGTGTTTGGAGCCAATGTAAAGGGAAAATCAGCTTGTGAGAAGCCAGTCAGAGTGGAAGAGAAAAGTGGCTATGTTGCTGTCTTCAAATTCCCTTCTCCATAATTCGCCTTCTTTTCATAAAAGGCAGCCTGGGCTTGCTACATGTGTTTTGCATGTAATTAACTGTAACCTCCCTTTGTAACATTATAAAAGATCTCCTCTGATTCACCCAAGCACAAAGTGAAGTATGTGTGTGTGTGCATACATATCTACATTGGAATAAACTGCACAAAAGCATCTGTGGGTTCATCAAGACTTTCATATTTGTGTGTATCTGAAGAAGTGTGCATGCACACTTCATCAGATACCAAGCATGCACACGAAAGCTCATACCAATAACTAACCTAGTTGGTCTCTAAGGTGCTACTGGAAGGATTTTTCTTTGTTACATTTGTTGTGGGATAAGAATCCTGGGCAATGACATGAAGTTCTAAATTTAGTAGATTCATAGGGTTCTGTTCATACATTTAGTTGCTTTTACCTACAGTACTTGTTTTAAGTTTACAAGCTGGCCTGGTTTATACATAATGCTAAAACTGTTGTTGTTGATTTATAAACTTTGGTTAACTCAAACCTATCTTGGCATTATGTGTGAACTCCGGCCTCCTCCTTAACTATAGTTAAAGAGCTGTCACAACCAAAAGGTGTAGCCATGAGTGTAAGAGCAGCAAAAATCAAAATCAAACCACTCTCAAGGTTTGACTGCTCTTGTTGGTGCTTTTAACTATTTTGTGGTGTAATAAACCGAAGTCTAAGTGATCATCTGCCAGGTGCCTTGGCTTCAACTGTGGTTTATTAACTATGGTGAACGTTAATCATGGTTTAGCATTATATGCCAACCATGTCACTGTGTACTTACAAAAAAAAAATGCATTGGTATTGCTGTATTATAGCCTGGAATCGGGAACAGCCAGTAACTAAGGCAAAACTAAATTTCTTTCAAGTAGGTTATATATAAATGGTTTTTCACAAACTTCTCTGCTTTGGGGAGGAGCTAAGTGGTCCATGACATGATTCATTTGAGAGTAGACTTTATTTTTAAACCTTGTTGTGTACAGAAGTCCCTTATGCTAAGTTTTTCCTTTAACTCTGCTTTTCAGGTGGTTTTGGAGTGTACGTTGAAGAAGGACCTTATTTACAATAAGGTTACGCCAACTTTTCACCACTGGAAAATAGATGACAAAAAATTTGGCCTGACATTTCAGAGTCCGGCTGATGCAAGAGCATTTGATAGAGGCATCCGTAGGGCGGTAGAAGATCTTTCCCAAGGTATGAATCTCTGTTGCATAAGCATTTTTAAATATATAGTAATAATTTTAAAATAATTTTAAAACAATTATAGTAGTACCCACGATGTAATACTATATGTGTTAATAAAACTGTGCCAGTTCCCTTTTTGACTGGTTATCTACAGGCAGTTGTTTCTCTTTTCCCACTCTGGGCGGCCCCATTAATATTAAAAATAAACATGAAGAGCAGAAGCATAACTATTGTACATTTAGGTACAGTGTTAATGTACATTCATTAATGTTAAATGGCAAGCACCTGTTTTAGCCTTGAACAAGAGAGCAACATGCAGCTCCTACAGAGCTGGTCTATGTGGCTGAGGGGTAATGAGCAATGGTTACAGCAGAGATAGAACACGATGGTGCAGGTCAGCCATGGTAATGATCCCTGCTTACCAAGGGAAGAGGCAAATCACAAATTTGTGTTTAATATTTTTAAAGCCATATACAAAGCTACCAAAGAGAGTGAAGATCCTTTCATTGAAGGACCTTCACTACCTTTTATAGAGCATTGGCCACTTATCTAATTGTTTGGATTTCACTTGTATAACGTTAACTAACCTTCTTCCTTGGCACTCTGTCAGCTTCTATGATGCTTTGCTGTGAGCTGCGATTTTGAATAGTTTCCAGAGGATTATTTACTTGCAAATGTGTTTAGTTCATATTATGCCAAGTGAAGTGAGGCCTTCAGGTTTAGCAACCTTGTTCAGCAGCGTGTGTCTTTTGTTTTTGAGTCTGTATGTTTTGTAACATACTAGCTTTCGTGAATGTTGAAATATCAGGATGAAGTGTGCTGTGCACATTCAGGACACCATTCTGTATTTAAAGTTCAAACCCCTGTCTGATCCCACACCAGTTTTCATACGGCTTAGGAAAGGCATTAAACACACTGCAATGTAATGCCTCTCTTGAGCCCTGAATTATCAGAATGAAATTTGATACGTGTTGTTGACATAATTCTATGTTTGCTTGAACTTGACATTGGTAGTGTACATGCCTTGAATGCAGAAGGTCCCAGGTTCAAACCCTGTCATCTCCCATATAACAAAATTTAGGTGATGAGAAAGATCTCTGCCTGGATTCCAAAAGAGCCCCTATCACTCAGAATAGCTGTCTCAGAAAAAATGGAGAGTCTGGCTAGGGGTACATAGGAAGCTGCCTCCTACTAAATTCTCAACTCTCACATCTGAAAGAAACTTGAGATTTTTATGTTTGTCTTATTCTTCCATAGGTTGTCTGACGTCACATGATGAAATTGAAGTACCTGTAGATGGCTTTCCAGTAAGTGCTTTAAGCTTCCATTATGTTAATTGTATCGGAAGAGATGACAGGAGTTTTCAGTGCTGAAAGTAGTCTTACTTGTATTCGTTAAAACTTTTTGAACTTTAAATCTGCAGAAGGGTAACCACGTGAACCGTCTTGCCTTGTAACTATAGAGTTTAGGCTGGGTGACTTTTCTTTGTCATTTTTAATTCTCAAAGATATAAGCTATGACTTCGTTTGAGAGACATTTCTTTCTTTTTTTACCCTGGATGTGTTAATGAAAGAGTGAGTGGAAATAACTAAGGCAAAGGGGTGCTAAAGTGCCTGAAGCTTAATTTGAATTAAGACTGAGCTCTAGAAGAAAAATGTTCATTGCCAAAACTGATACCTGTGAAGGTTGTAGTATTATAAAAATGTCCTCTGATTGCATGCGGATTAAAGGGTTTAATGTCAGGCAGGCCTCATCAGGATTTAAACCTGTAACCCATTTTCAACGTTAAGATTCAGTCACACAACATGAGAAGCAACAGCAGGATCATTAGTACTTCAATGTTCTTCCCAAGGCTCCTGTAGACAAGTAATACACAGTGACTACAAAAAATCCATGGGTGAAATCCAGTGGACGTATGGGGAATCAAGGGTTAGAGTTTATGGATTTCATTCACATGAGCTGGAAACCCTTGTTCTAGTTTGGATTATCAGAAAGGCTTCACTTTAACTAAGGTAGTGAATTGAAAGCTTTTCAGCCATGGTCTTAGTGTGTGGTGATAGTCTATCGCTTTTAAAAGTGATATACAATGGTACCTCGGATTAAGAACTTGATTCGTTCTGGAGGTCCTAACCTGGAATGTATCTAAATAAGGATTATATTACTTTCTTATTGCAGTGTTGGAAAACCCAATTGTTGTGATGTGTTTTCAGTGGTTTTTTTGTTTTGTTTTTAGTCAAAGATTATTGCACACAAGTAGATCACTGTTTCGTAAGTGTGTGACTGAATTGCCATATATTAAGATGAGTTACAAGCCTGGAAATGGGGAAAATTGCCAGTCTTTGCTTTTAAAAGCATATCATTACTTGGCAACACATGTGGGTCTTTCAGGCAGTATCTGTGTCATCCGTATAGGCAGCAGGCTGCATCATCAAGATTATCACACATTCTCTCATATTTTATCTGAGAATAAACTATACCGTCCCTTCTGTAATCAGATGGGGGTGTGCTTCATCTGTTTAATAGCATTCACACATGTTGATAAGCAAAGATGAAAAGGTGTAGGGTGGGTGGCCATAGTTTGCCCAAAATAGCCTCATAGGCCAAATGCGTAAGCCTGGTGGGCCAAGACTGGCCCACAGACTGGGGGCGCCAATCCTAGAGATAGAACAACATCACCTCAGAAGGTGAAGGTCTCTTGCCTTGCCTCAGGGAGCAGGAAAACCCCCCATTAAAGGTTGGAAAATGGACACAAAATGTCACGTTGTGGTGTTTGTTTGTTTTTACATAATTGAAAACAAACACCACAGACATGATGTCCGTATGAGAAATGTGAATATCCTGGAAGAAAGTTTCAGAAAAACAGCAACTGAAATACTGGTGTCAGTTGGCAACTTCATTAATGTTGAGCTTGAGAATGATGGGTTGAAAAGAAACAGATCATTAGAGTGTTGCCACAGCTAAATCCCTGTAGTCATTACAGTTCCCACACGAGCTTGATGCTGACCTGCAACTTATGAATGCATAGTGAAGTGTCATGGGCCCAGGACCTTGCTTAGGAGGCATTTGGTTTATGGGTGTCTATCAATGAATTGTAACATGTTACGTTGGTCACTGGTCCTTTGCCTGAAAACCATTTTTCCATAGTTTCCAATAAAAATTACCATAAGTTTTCACACTTCCCCATGAAACATTAGCTCCTTATGTATTTTGCCTCAGGTGAGATTCTCCGCCCCCTACTTTTAGAGAAAACAATTGTCCAGGTTACAGATAAATTCTTGAGATTACAAAACTGTTATGTTGGTCACATTATTTTAAAACACCACAAAAATAGAGCATTTAAACTACTTGCTCATCCCACATGCCGACGTGGGGATCCAGGGCACAGTCCTTCAATGGCTGCGCTCGTTTCTCTCTGGTCGGGGACAGAGGGTGGCGCTTGGGGGGGGGAATTGTCATCGCGCCACTCCTTGGTGTGTGGAGTGCCTCAGGGTGCGATTCTCTCCCCGATGCTTTTTAACATCTTTATGCGCCCCCTTGCCCAGCTTGTCCGGAGTTTTGGGCTGGGCTGCCATCAGTATGCCGATGACACCCAACTCTATCTGTTGATGGACGGCCACCCTGACTCGGCCCCAGATACACTGACCAGATGTCTGGAAGCTGTGGCTGGATGGTTACGTGGGAGCCGGTTGAAGTTAAATCCTTCGAAGACAGAGGTCCTTTGGCTGGGACGGAGCGATATGGGATTGAGGGGGCAACTCCCATCTCTTGCGGGGGTGCAATTAGTGCCAACATCATCCGTTAAGAGTTTGGGTGTAATCTTCGATACCTCCCTCTCTATGGAGGTGCAGATTACAGCTATAACAAAGGCGGCATTTTTTCATCTCCGCCAAGCTAAGCAGTTGGCTCCTTATCTCTCTCGCCCTGACCTAGCCACTGTGATCCACGCGACGGTCACCTCCAGACTGGATTATTGTAACTCGCTCTACGTGGGGCTGCCCTTGAGACTGACCCAGAAACTCCAGCGGGTGCAGAATGCCGCGGCGAGACTCCTTATGGGGTCTTCGCTGCGAGATCATATCCATCCGGTATTATACCAGCTGCACTGGCTCCCGGTGGAGTACAGGATCAGGTTTAAGATGCTGGTTTTAACCTTTAAAGCCCTATACGGCCTAGGACCCTCGTACCTACGGGACCGCCTCTCCTGGTATGTCCCACAGAGAAATCTATGGTCTGCAAATAAAAACATCCTAAAGATCCCAGGCCACAAAGAGGTTAGGCTGGCCTCAACTAGAGCCAGGGCCTTCTCGGTCGCGGCTCCAATCTGGTGGAACACTCTGTCACAAGAGACTAGGGCCCTGCAGGACCTGACATCCTTCCGCAGGGCCTGCAAGACAGAGCTGCTCCACCAGGCCTTTGGTCAGGGCGCAGCCTGACCCCCTCCTCTGGCAATCGGCAATCTGCACAGAATTTGGCTTGATGGTTGCCATTAATTTGATTTTAATTTGATTTAATTAATTTTATAATGAATGTTTTAGAATGTCGGATTATTTTGATTGTTGTTAGCCGCCCTGAGCCCAGCTTCGGCTGGGGAGGGCGGGATATAAATAAATTATTATTATTATTATTATTATTATTGCGGCATACTTCTTTATTATTTTTGTAGGGAAGATCAAGCCAGTTAACTCACAAATAGTTTTGTGTTATTTGTGTTACTTCAAATAATATTAGCTAAAACAGAAAATACTCTGTAAAGAATCTTACAATTTTTATGTTGGTCACTGCGGAATTACCCAGCTGGTTTTCTTTAATAATTTATATGTAATGTGTTTGGGAAGGGAAGTAAGAGTCCTGACATTAGCAGACAATCCTAATTTGGGAGGCATTATTAATACAGAATAAGGATGAGGAAGTTCCACAGGAAGAACTGGGTGACCTCAAGAACTGCAGTAATGGAAATGGAATGAAACTGAGTTCTGCCAAGTAGAAGGCTGTGAACTTCGAGTGATAAGAGACATTTTTGTTTTCGGCCGGGGGCTCAGCAACAGGGGAAAGAGCTTGGGATCTTGGTTGATCACAAAATGACTGTTTCATTGATGCCGTGTTGTTACAGTATTGCTAAGAAGATAGAATCAATGTTTGCATTGATTTTGGCAAGGAATTATTACTACATATGTAAAATGCTCTGAAGGGACCCCGTTTGGAACGCTCGTGCATTGCTCGAAAAAAATTAATTTAGATTGCAACAAATGCGGGGGGGGGGGGCAACCAGTAGGATTCTGGGAAATGTGGACCTATGTGGAGAGCACAGAGCAAGAGAATGTTGCTTTGGCTTAGCTTTTAGAAGGGTGAGTTCATGCTATGCAGAACTTAAGAGGAACATCATCCAGTGGGGGAAATAAAAATTAATGGTTACCGATTGTCTGCTAATTTAGACTGGAGAGTAAAAATCATTGCTTTTTTCCAAGAATGCTGAGATTTCTGCAGAACATGTTATCATAAAAACCCCCCAGACGTTCTGTAATTTGTTAAAAATATGTTAATGCCCAGGGCAAAGAAAATCCTATGTCTTGGATTCACTTCTAAATATTTAGCTTAACTGAACTGATTAGGAATTTCCAACCAAAAGTAGCAGGATTAATCAGGAACTCTTAATCTCTTTATCCGATAATAAAGTCAAGGCAGTTTGGCAATGTGTTTTGGTTTTTTTTTTTTAACAAAAATTATGTTCTGTAACTGCAAATTTAAATTTCTGGTTACTATTTTTTCTAGTTCCAGTGTCTGAAGGATGTTCTGGGTTGGATGAGGGTAAACAAGCTGAAACTTAATCAAGATAAAACAGATGTGCAGTGGGTGGTGGACAAGTTAAAAGAAAAAAAAGGAGGAGTGTATTGAAGCATTGGCTGGAAGGGGAAAATGTTTCTTTGCCAATATGACATCAGGACTAAGAAAGGTGGCTGTCGTTAGCCCAAAGCGCCAAGGCAGGCCAATCTCAGAGGTCTGCCAGACCTAATTTAGGCCCGCAAGCTGAAGATTCTCCACCTCTGGTTTAAAGCTGTAAAGCTTTTCATCAGCACTTAGGATTGAGCCTAGATATGCACTGACAACCGTGTGCACTCATGAAGTTTCAGTGTGATCCAGGAGTGCCAACGTGTCCCCGGAACCATAGGTGCCCAGGGCCATGGATGCCATGAAGCATGCACGACCCTGGCACCTAAATTTGTGGGTGCCCGGCCCCTTCATGGGGAATTTTGTGGGTGCTCAGGGTCCCAGGGATTTGGCACCTGCGGCGTGTTCTGATAAGATCATCGGCCCTAGCCAACAGCTGGAAGGCCCTGCAAACCAGCTACACTTAGCCATCACAATAGCCTAGTCTGGAAGTCACCAGTGCATGAACAACTGTGGCAAGGTAGCTGGAGTACCAACTGAAATTAATAAAATGTGCCTCTGGCCACCCAAATTTCCCAAGTTAGTGCAGAGCCCAGAGACACATTCAAGCTTTCAGGCCACCCAAGCTAGTTTGGGTGCAGGCTGTCCTGAGATAACCATCTCCTAAACTGCTTAGGGCAAGTTAGGAACAGGATCAGGCCAGCAGGCCAGATCCTGAACTTTCCAACCATGATGCCAGGGTGGACTTTGGCATGTTGTTTTTCTTCCATAGGCTTTGCTTGGGGTGATTGTGGGGGAAAGATTTGTCCTGTGTGTACTGTGGACTTTGGCAAACGGTTTGTGTGTGTCTTTACCCATGAGTTGTTTGACATGTTTTTAGTTTATATTTTAAAATTGTTTTACTGGCTAAAGTTAGTCAGTGACATTTCATAAGGGTGTTCCCCCTCACCCTCACATAGACGCTCGGTATGAACCTTTCTTGAGAGAAAGTTAAATGGTGTTGAATGGAATGCTGGGTAGAATGAGAATGAGTGTTGGGCAGAGAGGATCAGTTGAAAAATGACCATGTGAGATATGAAAGTACAGACCAGGCCTCAGCCTTGAAGTTTAAAGTTCAGGTAAGCATAGGTGTGACAGGAAACAGACAGAAGAAATAAGAAATGAGTAAAAATAGTTTTGAGAGGTATGAAGGAAAACTGCTGAAGTGCACAGCAGCAGGATTTCTGTCAGACAGTTTATGAAGGCACAGGGGAGCCTTCAGCTCTTATTCTGTGTGGATGATATTGGTTGCCAATTAGGTACTTGTAACATAGAATGATAACTTCAGTCACATAGACTCCATTTGTCTATTCAGTTAGTGGACAGGTGTGGGAAGTCCATCACTTTGCCACCGGCAGCCAACCAGCATCAAGGTAGTGGTGATGCTGGAACTAACAAGATAGGATGCCATATCCATTTTGCCCGGAATAACATGTCTGCTAAGACTGTGGTTGTAATTTCCTGGCAATCTGGAGCTTGAGTGGAAACTTCTGTTAATATGTTATTTTGTTAATTGAATTAATGTCAAAACACGTTAGCCAGCCTTCATAAAATGGCTGACTAGTCTACTGCACTGCAATATCTTAGGTTTGGAGAACAGGAGTTTGTGCTCTCAGGGTATTTTTCTGTATGCTAAAAAGGGGGGAAGATGCTATATTCTGTGCTGTACTGAACAACATGTCACAAAGTACAGTACAGTACTAAAAAGCCACCTTTTTGCTATAGTATAGTGGTAATGACTATTGCCCAGACTATCTGCTGCAGATTGCCAAAGCAACTGAAGTTTTGCACACATGTTTGTTTGTTTTACAAAAATGAAAACTAATGGTTCATTTTGATTTTCGAAAAAAGATTTCAGAGTTTGACGGCCCACCTGGCAGCCATAGGCAGCAAGAGATTACATACACTATAGATAGGTGAATGGGCTCCTGTATGACCATTCAGCCCTTACTCCACCAGCCCACTTGGTTTCTGTGCTCACTGCAGAGGAAATGTCTTCCCTTTCTCCAATTGTTTTTCTTTTGCAGGTTGGAAACTGTCTGGTTTGTGAACTCTTACAAGTGGTGTGAACTGGTCTACTGCTGTAGTTTCTGTAATTAAATTTGGAGGCTTCATAGAGCAGACTGTTGTCTGTAGAAATTTATGACACAATAACCTAGCTAGGTAAACTCAAAAGCTCTACAAAAATCTGTTAGTCGCATCAAATTTTCTGTGCTGATTTGCAGTTATAAGTAGTCTAATCCCCCATGAAGCTGAAGTTCACTGCTGTTCAATTTAGGAGGCAAATTTTGCATGAAGATTAGTATGTCTATGTTTGCAAGAAGATTGAATTGATCCACACCTGCCAGGAATTGAACATTGCTTGCAATACAAAAGGTTTTGAATTACGTAACTTTATTGAGAGTAAACTAGGCACAAGATTTCTGCCTATATCCTTTTATGCTTCTTCAAAAGATACTCTTCCTGTTTTGCTTTTGTAGTTTGCTTTCATTTGGGATCCTAAAAGGAGGAAAATGTTGTATCTGTAATTCAGCTATGCTTTTAGGATGTGCTTTATATGGGAAATGTTCTGTCTTAAATGACCGGAAAATATTCTGCAGATTCTAGGCCGCTGCTGAAGGTATTCAGGATGTAGGGCAGAAAATATGCAACTAATTGTAGGGAAACAGCTGTTGGCATTGAAAGTAATTGCTCTGTTCTGCAGAATCACTAAAGCAGAGGTTATTTTGAACTTGAGTCTTAATTCATAATTCAAATGGGATATGGGTGTTGCTTTTAAAAATACAGTCTTATGAAAGGGCTAATAAGCACAAGGGTCAGAAAATACGTAGCCTTTTCTAAGAGGTAGGAGAGTATAGTCTCCTTTACTCTTTTGTCAGATCACTTGTTCAGGGATAGAGGATTGTTTTAACAAGGCTTGCAGAAGAGCGCCGCGTTCTCTTACCCAACCTTCATCCTGGGAAAAGTGAGGAGAGGAGTTTTGAAGAAGAGAGGATCTCAGTCTGGTTTTCATTTTCTCTACAGCTGTCATCTGGCTTTGAGTTCTGCTGGGCTTCTACAGCTGGAGAGTCATTTTATTGCTTTTACCCAGCATCCTTTTGCTTGTGCACACAGAAATGTTTTAATAGTCTTGGAAAAAAGTCAGAGTATCTCTTAGCAACCATAGGACAGTAATTATTATACCAGCAGCTGGGAGCAAACCAGATTTCCGTTGTGCATTAAAAACTGGCGTAGGTTACTTCATAGATGATACTGGCTAGCCTATGCCAGTGCTGTGGTTGAAGGATATTGAATGTGGGCGGTGTGTAATTGCTTTGGCAGTAGAAAAGAAGTGGGGATTTGTGCATCTATGTCTGTGTTTTATGTGAGATAGAGACCATCAAACACTATATTTAATGTGGCACGTTTTTATACTGTAAAAATATTTTGCTGGTTTTATTTAGTCTTGTTTTCAATACAATAGTAGCCTGTGTTTGGGCCTCTTACTGTCAGAACCGTATTTCTTGATTTTATTTTGTTGCTGCTGCTGTTGTTTTAAGTTTTAATAACCATCCCGTGACAAAACAACCTAAACTAATTGCTTCCTATCCAAAGAACTATTCTGAAATACTTCATCAAAATGGTTTGTTTGGAAAACAAAATCTTTTTTATTAGGGACTGTGTAGCTACTGGGAGTTTGAGGAATTGAGTGTAAAAGGATGGGTACTGAGAACATGACACAAACACTGAACTTTTGTATGAACTACAGAAAAGATGTCAAGCATTTGTTGAAAATGGTAATAACACATAAATAGCCCCCAACACCAAATAAGGGTGTAGTTTGCAGTTTCCCACTGCACTGATATCGCCTTTGCTTACTTAGTGTTGAGAATTCATATGCCTCCACAGGAGTATCTGAAGTCCAGAGGCTGTTATAGCCCAACTCCATGCTGCAGTGCTGTGGCTTGCTTCAGCAGATCCTTGCTAGTTATACTGGGTTGTTAGTGGTTGTGTGGTACCCTGGACTATTAAGGTCTTTGGACCCCAAGAAGGGTTGGCGTTTGCTAATGCACACAGTGCTTGTCAGAAAAGCTTTCCACAGCACCATCTGGTGTAGCAAGTTTGGAAAGTTATTTTCCTCCCACCCACCCTTTTATGTCTATAGCAAGCATGTTAATATGCTCTTCCACAACAATTGATTAGATTCTGCCCGACTTCACAATAGTCGGTTCAGCTCCTGATGAGCACTGTTTTCTACAATCTAGGAAGCTGTAAAAAGTGACTTGCTCATTGTATTATCTTAGAATTTACTACTTATTTACTACCTTCATCACTTAGGAATGACACTTAAAAGTGAATTGTGGAGAACATTATCTTTTGTTGAGGTGGCTGAGCATCTTTGTCTATTAAATACAGTGCCCATCTGCACAGTAACAGTACTTCTAACAAGTCTCATTTTGTTGAAGGTACAGAAAGGTGTAAGCATTTAAAGTACATTTGTCAGAAACATGCTCACAAAATGAGCATCTTCCCAAGGAACAGATTTTGTGTAGTGTCTTGCACATTAAGGCAACCTGTCCCAATGTATTTTGGACTACAACTCCCATAAGTCCCAACCAGCTGTCTAAGACTGAAAGAGCTGCAAGTTGCCAAAGGCTGCATCAAGGCACAACCATCATATACTCTGAAAACAGCAGGTGTGGCATAAGAATATATACTCTGCCTGTTTGAAGTGTTAAATTCCATGGAAATCCTTGCCCTAATTATGGTCTTGCAATAAGTGTTCAGGTGATCACAGTTTCCCACACCAATTTGGTGGCCTTCTATTACAGAAGTGAGAGTGAGTCACACACCCAACCCGGTTGGCTGCTCTATTTCAGGGATCTGCCGGAACCAGGGGCAATTGCTGTGGTTAGTTGGTGGTCAGGTGGTTGACAAATATCAAGTCTTCAGTGCCAATCACTGCTTGGAAAAGGAAATGGCATACAATCCTCTCTGTAGTGATGTTTTCTAGATGTATAAATAACCAACTGGGAAATGGAGTTTGTGTGGTCCCATATCCATACCATGCAATCATGGAAATTGTAGGTCTGAAGGGCTGTTAGTGTTTTTCTTGTGCTGGGTGTGTTTGTGACTTGTACATTCAGTAAGCATTCCATAAGGGGGATACTAAAAGTATTTTTGACACTGCATAAATGCTGCCTCCAGCATGTAATCTGTGGCATTTGTTTACAATAGAATTTTTGTAAATGTTTAGTATGCGACTTGTTTTGATTTTAATTGAAGTCATATGCATTGTCATCCATCTGAATTGCTGGGATGACTCAAGCACAACAACAACAACAACAACAAAAAATGAATTATAATTTATTATCATTCCCAGGCTATTCCAGAAAGCATACCGAGTTTGCTAATGAAAGATCATCTTTTCCAACATGAACCTGGAGTGAGCAATGATTCTTACAAAAGCTTAAGTATAAGACCCTCAACCTTTGAAGATTTCAGCTCAAGAAGACCGTTTTTCCACAACCAATCCAACCAGGTAACAGCTCTGCAACTAGAAAAAAACAGCTGTCAGAAATTTGGCTTAGTTATTTTATTGTCTAGGCTAGACCTATAATGGGAGCCAAAGCTTTTCCACTATGTTAGAGAGCCATGGCAAGCCTCAGGCTCACATACTCCCTTCTCTTCCCTCTTTCATGCACCAGACTTAAAAGTGGAAGTGACTACAGGAAGAGATTAAAAACATCGGCTTCCACTTTTGAACAAGCTATAGTTCTTCGGGTTCCAGTGTCATGGGAAGTTGCAGCTTGTTTAAAAGTAGAAGATGCTTCTGATATCTCTTTGGCTGTATTCCCACGTGGGGTTTATTGTGTTAGTTTAACTGACTATAAGGCTAGTGCTTCTTTCTTTTTTTCTAACTTTCCTTTCACACTACACAAGCCTGTTCCATCGTATCTCAACCCCTATACGGCCATGTTGCGGTAAAGGCCATTCACACAGCAAGAACTAGCAACAGACATCAACAGATGTCAACATGCCACCACCATTCTGCTACTCTGTGCTGAAATACTAGCCTTGAAGTGGGCAAGGAATGCACTACATCAGGGGTGTCAAACTCAAATTCATCGGGGGCCGCATCAGCAGTTTGGTCACCCTCAAAGGGCCACTTGTAACAAGTGGAGGTTTCCTGAATGCATGTAAAGTGGAGGTTTCTAGTGTAGAACGGCCGGCACCGCTAGAGGGCAGACGTTCTCTGGCTTGAGGGCTGCCACGCATGCGCTGAAGAGGCGGCTTTCTTGTGTCAAAAAAAAAAAAGCGAGAATAAAAGGTGAAGGCTGGCGGCCGGTGGCGGCTACACGGGCCACATGACGAGGTCTGGCGGGCCGGATTCGGCCCGCGGACCTTGTGTTTGACACCCGTGCACTACATGCTGGTAGTCTGCCACACAGCTCGTCATGTGAGCGGCTGTGGCACGAACCTGTGAAAAAAGCAGGAAAATCACCACACAGAATCACATGGTTTTTCGGGGGAGGGGGCTGCAAGAGGGTGGGGTTTTTGCAATCAAATAACATGGAAATGAGCGCTAGACTATATCCTCATACATATTTTCAGAAGTGGCTTTTATGTTGTGTGAAAGCTCAGTTTTTCTGTGCAAAATAACTACCAGGGAAACATCAGGGAAAGGGAATAAACTGTGGTGTGAATGAAGCCATTCTCTGCTGAAAGGGGTGGTGGTGTGTGTGGCTCATGCAACTGGAAACCATGACTTCCCATTTCTTCTGAATTGAGCAAATATGTGCAGTCGCAGCAACTTCCACCTTGTGCCTCTCCCTTCCCATCTGCATACTTCCCTCTTTTCCCTCGCCTGCTGTGTACAATTCCTTCTGTCACTTAGGAATTTTTACTCACCCAGCCTTTCTCATTGACGTATACTTGCTCAGTCCCGTTGATTCTGCCTTCCTTTCCACTGCCATACAGCTTCTCGAAAGATGCTAAAGCCCCTACCAGGCTACTTGCCCTCCTTCCTGGGCCTCTCAGCCACATAGTTTTCTTATTCCCCTTTACAGTTTCCATTGTTGCCTCCAGGCAAGCAGCTCAGTCTGTGTCACAGTCCCACCCACTTCCTGCTCTGGACATTGATTTCTTCCTCTCCTCCACCCAAACAATCCCTCACTTCACAAAGCTCGTCTTCTGTTTTCCACCTGAGCAGTAGAAATGCTTATTTTTTAAAAATACAGCAGCTGGGGAACACTCCCCAAGAAATAGTCATGTTTTTGTCAGTCAAGGAATATTTTATGAGGTCTCAAAAAATCCATTTGCCAGAGAAAAAGGCCCCCAGCGTCTCCCTTTCCCTCCAGGCTCACAGGAGGATAGAAAGAATATACATATACTTATACATATACGTATAAGAATATACATTTCATTTGTGTGCTCGCTCTCCACAGTTCAAGCCATGCTCAAGGCAGCTTACAAGATAACAAAAATACAATTTCCACATAAATTATAATATCTAAAATAAAGATTAAAAAAAATCAGCTACAACCCGCCCGCCCCCCAACAAAAACTTCTGCTTTTGTAGCTGGAGTCAGCCAGGGCCCTGCCCTCTTGGGCCGGGTGGGAAAAGGCCTGCAAGGCAGGGAGCAGATCTTCCAAGACTCACAGCCAAGATGGTCTCATATTGTGTTGAGCCCTGGAGCAAGCAGAAGCAGAACTGGCCACACACACTGCTTCTGCCCTCAGCGAAGCCCAGAACAATACAAGGCCTCCTGTCCCAAATTCTCAAGAGGAGAGGAGAGGTCAATGATGGCCACAGACTGCAGCTGGCTAGTAAGCAAAGTCAGACCCTGGTTTTGTCGCTTTACTGTTATGATTTTAGGTGGAAGAACAAAAATGTCTGCTGGCATTTAAATTCGTGAGTTGTCTTTTTTTTTTATTGTCCAGCCTCTAAAATCCTTTGTGGTGAAAATAGAGCACTCCATGATAAATTTAATATTATATTTTCCTAACCTTGTAGTTGATCTTATGCCTCTTTTACCCACAATTCTATATTGTGGCACCCAGGTATCCTGGAGTACCTCAGATATAGGCATAAGATTTTCTCTCACCTGAGTATACCTGGGTTAGGGAAATTTCCCATGTGCAGGTGTGCAAAGATCACATATGTCTACTTTGTAAGATTTATATTTGTGAATGCTACTACTTGCAGCTCTTCAACTGTAGTCCAGCATTACTGTGTACACCACCACCCAAGGTTTTTTTTTGGGGGGGGGGTTGCCTGCACCATTGTACTGTATACCTATGTAGAAAGAAAGTTTTGTGCAAAGTAGCTTTTGCCTGACTTCAGCCTGATCTCTCATTTTCCTGACATCCTTCCCCCCCCCCCAAGGTTGCAGAGTTAAAGCCCAGAACAATCTATTACTGAAGCTTAGGCTTGCATTACTCTGTTTTATTTTAGAGTGATCTTCTACTTAGATTTCAAAGATTTCCCTATTTAGCTTGCTCTAGTTGTTTAGACAGTTTTAACCATTGGCAAGGGTGACCGATTACAATTTTTATTACTTTGAGCCAAGCCATTTTGAATCTCAAATATTCCAGCAGAAGTTTGCTCTGCCCTATAATGGAGTGTCTTGTTTTTGCCCTTGGCAGGGATGGGAAAGGATTGTTTGCTTTTTAATCTTTGCTCATAAACTAAAACTTTATAGCAAACTTATTTTCATTAATAGTGAAAGATGTTTCTGTCATCGCTGGCCGATCCTTTAGAAGGTTATGGAAAAGTTATTTCTGTCTTGGTTTTGTGGATTTCCATTGGTGCCAGCAAAGTGAGCAACTTCTTTGGTACTGGCTACAAGTTCTCACCACAAGTGTTAATGTGTTTGTTAAGCAAGTACTTCAGTAATCAAGGACTGCTTCTTCAAAAAGCATTTTGAAATAATTCAGGCATGAGTTGCAAAGTGGCTTTTATTTCTACACCTGTAAGAAATCCTCCACCCTTTGCAATATGATTTAAAATTAACCACTTTCTGCAGGCAGCCTGAAATTCTGGTCACACCTACCCAGAGTAAGTCCTATTAAACTCAATGGGGCTTACTTCTGAGTAGATATGCACAGAATTGCACTTGGGGGGCTAGTTCCAAGAATTTCAGAAGCATGGATCACCTGAGCTCCTAATTCTCCACTTTGTCATTTGGAGACTTTTTTGAGTCTCACCCATGTTTGAAAATGGTCTGCTTCACAGTTATCTCGAGTGTTGTGTTGCATTCACAAATCCTACTTCACATTGTTAAAGCAGAATTGTGAGTTGAATAATTTCTGCTTTTGAAATTCCTGCTCTTTGTTAGACACTACCTTTTCTGAGACCCATCCTTTTTGTCCAGAGCAACCCAAAAGGTGGCAGTGGAGGAAATAAAGGCAGATTAACTGCCTTTCCCAGTGCCCTGCCAGCAAGACACTGTGTGTGTGTGTGTGTGTGTGTGTGTGTGTGTGTGTGTTTCTCCTCTCTTCTTCCAAATGTTATTACTGGTCAACTCTTTCCCTCCCACCCCCAATTTGCACTCACCCTCTTTTCTTCATGGTTTTTGTTTTTCATTTGCTTGAGCTTTCCATCTCCTCATTATTTTCATGTCTTAGGTGACCTACGATGGGCATTCAGGGGAGGGATGCAGGGTTGTGAATACCTTTGTATAGCATATAATTGTTAAGGTGCCTAATCAGCATTAAATATGAATAGATTTCATGAAGCTGCAATCCTGTGATTCCAAGGAGGGTGACCCATGAATTGCAGGAATCATTGTACTGAACAGGAAAAGGAAAATGCACCCGCCACCACTTTTTGTCTTACCAATGCAAGCCCAGATGGGAAATGGCAGTTCATCCATTTTGAGTTCTGCCCCCCATAACACCCCCCCACACACACACCATTTGGATTACTCTGCCTATCATCTTTGTCAGGTACTCTTCAATTCAGTTTACGGAAAACAAGTAGGGATGAAACCTCCTGACAATAAAGTTCTCTGGTACTTAATCATCAGCTTGTGCTGAGAGATTCTGTCACACTTGTGTGTAATACAAAGTGTATTTTGCTTCCCTTTCAGATACCCCTGAAGCCAGTCAGGAATGTCAGTTTTCAGGACGATGAAGAAATTGTTCGAATAAACCCTCGTGACATCTTAATACGCCGCTATGCAGACTATAGGCACCCAGACATGTGGAAAAATGACTTGGATAGGGATGAAGGCGACGCCTCGCTGCAGTGTCCCAAGGCAGATAGTAAAAAACCAGACTATCTGTACCCTTCCGGGGACGGAACTAAGTTGAATTCACTAAAAGATTCCAAGTGTTCTGTGGTACTGAAAACGCAGCCTTCCTCGTTCAAATTGAAAAAGTCGAAAAGGAGGAAAGAGGACGGGGAGCGCTCTCGCTGCATATACTGCCAGGAAAGGTTTAATCACGAAGAGAATGGCCGGGGCAAATGCCAGGACGCTCCCGATCCCATCAAGAGATGCATCTACCAAGTTAGCTGCATGCTTTGTGCTGAGAGCATGCTCTACCATTGTATGTCAGACTCGGAGGGGGATTTCTCTGACCCCTGCTCTTGTGACACTAGCGACGACAAGTTCTGCTTGCGATGGCTCGCCCTTGTCACGTTGTCTTTCATTGCGCCGTGTATGTGCTGCTACCTCCCCTTAAGAGCGTGCCACCATTGTGGTGAGGTCTGTGGATGCTGCGGAGGGAAGCATAAAGCGGCTGGATGAACCAGTCTGGTACCACGTTTGGGCTAACAACGTCTTTATTTTCAGGAAGTATCTAACTCGTGGAAGCATTTGGCAAGCAGAAGGGGGAAACCTGTCGTGTATGAAAGGTCAATTCTGAAAGAAGCATCAGAACTTGTTGCATTGTAGGAATGCTGGCCACGCCGAATGATCTGCTTTTAAGTGCATGGTGCAAGTTGTGTCGGGAGTTCTTGCGAAAGGAAAGCCTTTTCTTAACGATTGGTGGTTGAAAGAAGTATAAACTGCAGTCCGTACTATAAGGGATCAACTTCAGCAATTTGTACATATTGAGGTTAGGTGATGGGGGCTGTTGAAAGAATCTATTTAGCAGAAAATTTAACTCAACCTGCAGTAGCGAGAGCTGATTTAAAACTAAGGAAAGTTTAAAACTTGGCGACTGCAAGAAACTAAATTGATTTTAAATGCAACTAAATTGCTTATAAATAGTTTTTTGGAAACAACTTTATGTACAAATAACAAATGTTTATATTTAACAAAATATATGGTACGAATTATTAAATCTTCCTTCCCCTTTCCAGTTGCAACACAGTTATGGACCACATTTCCAGTCACATTCCATGGTAGTATTTCTCGATATTTAACTAGTTAACTTAGTAGCATTTCTATTCAAAATGGACAAATCAATATTTTCAGTCTTGTTTCCCTTCAGCTACATTTTTGTATTGAGTTCTCTCTGTACATTCTGGTAATCTGAAAGCCTTTAAAATATTAATTATTGTAGTCTTGAATGACCAATGTTTTGTTAAGCACAGGTGTAATTGTCTAATGCTCTTATAAGAACATAACATTTATTTTTATATATAAATTACTCTGTATTCAGCGAAATGGCAAAGGAGTTTTTTTCCTTTCTCAACCAGCAAATTTTCTTCTAGGGTTTCCTTGATTTCAGATGTTTGGGGAAAGAAAAATACAACAAAATAATTGTCATAATATATATTTATCATGCAATTCAACGGTACCAATTATTACTTCAAACTAGCAAAAGAACAAAAAAGCATCCATTATTCTAATCTTATTTGGCCTATCAGAAATTTACAATACTCCGTATATCAAACTATAACCCAGGTAGGGAAAAGCAAATGAATTTTTTGTGAATGGAAGTGGGTTTTATTTTGTCTTTGTTGTAGCATATTAATAATGAATGTTTAACTTAACATTTGGCTATGTGCTCTAAATACCAATTTGGGGAAATTTCTAAATGTCATCCATCATATAACATAGCTGAGTATACAGGTTTTTAATTAATAAAACTCTCTAAAGCAGTGAAGCAGTCATTCATTCAAAATCGTTAATGGGTGGAGGGGAAAAACCATGTGTTTAATATGCTCTTACAATTAAAATTATAATTGCACACTACCTTTTCTTTTATTTCCATGCATTTTTTCCCCAGTGAAATGTTTTGGTTTATTTTCTTCCAAAGACCATGTTCAATCATAGGAATCTTTCCTTCCCCTCCTCTTCTCAGAGCCCAGGTATCAAACTGAACAACTGTATATAACACTATCTGTAAAATACTTTTTTAAAGAAAGCATTTATATTTATATGACAGCTTGAACTGACAACGTTATGTACATAGATCATCTTGAAGTATTATTTCACATTGAAAAGAAGACAAATATATTGATAACTATAGAAGTTAAGAGCTCCTTTCTAGTTTTGTACTTTAAAAAAAAAGCCTGTATGGATAACCGAAGTCAGCAAACACGACACTGTAGCAGCAATCTCTTTAAATCCTTTCCTTTTATATATTTGAGAACTGCTGCTCCAGAAGACTTTCACGCTTCACATATTGAGCTAAACTTGGTTGCCTAGATAGACTGTTAACTTTTTTTCCAAATAAACAAACAAAAACGAGACAGAGATTCGTAACCTGCATTTCACTGTTGACATAGGACCTGCATCTTGTGATATAGCATTTACTAAAACATTATGCTTTTAATTAAAAATGGAGCATGGTATCAACAACCCAAGAAAAGAACTTGCTGGCTGTACAGAAAAGTCCTTTGGAACTTTGTGTGTATGTGTGCGTATGTGCGTACTTTGGGAAGAGACAAATCTAACCATTTTCTATGAGCACTCATCAACATAGTGCAACTCTTGGTTCTTGTAGTAGTGAAACCTTATATGCTTTAAAAAAAATTACTGAATATGTGCATTAATATTTTCAGTATATATTTAACCACTTTGCTGCTAAACATTTACTATCCTTTACTCTTGAAGAAATATTATTCCTATTTTGTTTTTTTTAAAAAAATACAAATTAATATGGATACTGGTATATAGGTTGTGTTATTTGCAACTGATCTAATTTGAAATAATTGCATCGGTTCAGTATCTGGTTTCATGGATTGTGTGATGTCGGCCACATTTCTGTATGTTTAGGCTTTTGCTTTAACGGGGGAATTTCTTAACTAACTGTGGCCAACTCACATATGAAGTTGCCTTATAGGGAGTCAGACCATGGGTTAATCCATCTCTGTGCTCAAATTAGTGGTCATTTTTCAAGATCTCATCTGCTAACTGAGGTGCTTTTTTAACTGGGGATGCCAGTGATTAAACTAAGAAATGATGTATGGCTCTATCTTCCTGGAACAAACCATTGAATCGCCACTTCTCAATCCACTAATTCTAATTCATAGAATCCGCCATGGAGTTGTTTTGTTGAATCTCATGGATTTCAGTGCACTTAATTTTTTTTGTCCTTAAATCGGATTGTGGCCCCTGTGTGCATTTTATCTTTTCACCCTGCTTTCTCAGAAGGAGGCTGGGTTAGGGACAAAGAGTCAACAGATAAGAGGTTTACTGTAAAGCATGTAAATTCAGGTGCCTTTTAAGGTGTAATGTAATGAGGGACTTTTCTCCAAGCCTATATCAACTCATGTGCAGTAATTGCCGAAGGATGTTCAGGTTTCAGCCTCCTAAAAGGTGCTACCTGAAAGAAGGAGTGTTCTGTCTGAGGTGAAAGCAGCTAGCTATAACATTAGGGTACCACCTACTGGACAAACATGATTTAGGAAACTTAACTTTATTCATGCAGCCTATATATATATACACACACACACACACACACACACACACAAACACACACACACTTTCTCTGATAGTTGTTTAAAACATCAATGCCAAAATAGGGGATGGAAAGAGATCCTTGCAATTTCAGCAACTGCAGTTGTTTTAGACACAATTGAATTAATAAACATGTCCCATTGAAAGTCCAGTAGTGTAAAACAAGACATTCTTACTATCAGGCTTTGTGGAAATGCAAATGTTCCAGACCAAAATAAAACAATAGCTGGAAGTTTCTGGTTCCTCCCCACCCCACCCCCCATCCTGTTAATTGACATTGTTGGTGTTATTCCAGAAGAGTCATTCTTGAAAGTTTAGAAGATTATATTCCACCTTGCAAAACAGTGAGCCTTTAACTTTTCTATATTATTTTGTTGTTAAAAAAAAAATCCCCACAAAAGCCTACGTTTCTGTTTCATATAGAAATCTTTGAGCCAGTAGTTCTAAAACTTAGGGCCTTGAACTTGAATGAAAACAGTCATGAGTTGTACCACACGTGTCCCGCTATCCACCTGTTTGTTATGCAGAAATTCACTTATCTAGACACAGTTATTCACAGCTGATTCAGATATTTGAATAGCTGGAGTTTGCCCACTTCCTTACATGTTAGTGCTGTGCTGGTGTACGGCAGCCGTTTTTGGGAAGAAACCATACAGAGAGAGTGCAGACAAATCAGTTTTTCATTTGTCTCTATTTCATAGCTGTCAACTTTCCCCTTTTCTTGCGAGGAATCCTATTCGGAATAAGGGAATTTCCCTTTAAAAAAGGGAAAGGTTGACAGCTATGCTCTATTTTGCTGGCTGGCTGCAGCCATTTTGGGCAGAGGGGAGAGAGATTACGGATTAGAAATGTTCCCATAGGGAATGGAAATCGCCAGCTCACTGTGTGAATGCTTGCCTAACAATTTCCTGGGAATGCATTGTGTTCAGAAAGTGAACTGTGTGTATTTTTCCCACCAGCCAACACCTGGGGCACTTGAATGTTCTGGGCCCCTAAGCGTTGCACATTAAAGTTATTTGGAGGTAGTGTCACCTTTACTTCACTTCTCATCCCAACAGAATTTTGAATTTGCATGATTTTTTGAGAAACCTTCTTCTGTTCCTCCTTCAGAACCAATGTTAAGATTTGTGCCCTAGTGTATACAGATCCTTGCATATAGCAGCTTCATTACCTGCAATCTCGCCTGTGAAAGAGACTTATTCTTGCTGGGTCAGAAGGTCTCAGAGGACGCAGATACTTTAAAAGTGGTGCCCAAGTTCAAAGCAAATTTAGATCTAGAGCACAGACTTCTGTATTGACCAAACTGCACACTTTCAAACAGCAATTTCAGATATTTTTGCATGCTGGAATGCAACATTCCCATTTTTCTTCTATAATCTTTCTGTGAGTAATCCTGTATGTGTGTACAAGGAAGAAAAACCTCGAGAACTCCCCATGTAAATAATACACAATGTTTGTGTTGGTCTTTCGATCTCCAGAGAACATAGAACACTGTATATATGGAGTCTACAGTGGTCCACACACTCTTGAGGGAGAAGAATAAAGGAGATGGTTTAGTATTCCAATTAGTACTATTAAAGTTGGCAGCCTGGTGGTTAAAACTTGCATATGCTTTTTGGTGCACTGATGAAGTAGCATTTAAATGGCATCTCCCTCCCCCCCCCCTCAGCATCTTAACTGCAATAGCTGTGGTTAGCTTTGGAAATTAAAACAAAACCTAGTGGGGAAAACTTTGTATTGGGAGCTGCAGCATAATCTGTACATAGGTTTTTTCCCCTCCCTCTTGTTTGTGAATATTTTGCTTAGTGCAATTTGCTTTCCACCCTATTGACCTCAAAAAAGTGCCTCACTTGTATATTATTTCCATTAAAATATTAATTGCTATCTCTTTCTACTAAATGATGTAGGTTTAAGTTTTAATTCCATGCCATAGATGTATTTCTTTCTATGTATAAGAATATAGCTGGTTACCTTGAGGACATAATGTAAATACACATACGAGTTTTAACTGTTTTGTTATCATACCCTTTGTAAGTTGCCATACTGGATAATATCATAAAACAGATTTAAGTTTCAATGTTTTCCTGCAATTACCTGATTAAAACTATCATGAAATTAAAGGGAGATATGTCATGTGTTTTTGTATTTCACTTTTGGGATGGCTCAGAGCAGGGAAAGAGGAAAATATTGGTGCAGAAGAGTACCTTTCAGAATTGTGTAGCATTAAGATGGATTCAGCAACATGGGCCTACTGCCTTGCATAAAATAATAAAATTGTAGAAGTGACCCTGAGGGCAATCTAGTCCAACCCCCTGCAATGCAGAAATCTCAGCTAAAGCATCCCTGACAGATGTCCATCCAACCTCTGCTTAAAAACCAAGGAAGGAGAATCTACCACGTTCCAAGGGAATCTTTTCCACTGTTGAAGAGTTATTACAGTTAAAAAGTTCTTCCTGATGTTTAGTCGGAATCTCCTTGCTTGTGACTTGAGGCCATTCAGGTCCTACCCGCCACAGGAGAAAACAAGCTGGCTGCATCTTCCATGTGACAGCCCTTTCGATATTTGAAGATGGCTATCATAGCCAATCTCGGTCTCCTTTTCAAGGCCAAACGTACCCAGTTCCCTCAACCACTCCTCATAAGTCTTGGTTTTCAGAACTTTTATCATCTTGGTCGCCCTCCTCTGCATACATTACACCTTTCTAATGTGAGCTGTGGTGTGTTTTTTGGCATACATACACAAAGCAGTGGTGTTCTTGGCAGCTTCCTTTTTTCTTTTTACATTCTAACCTTGTGTACAGATAGGTAAAGGTAAAGGGACTCCTGACCATTAGGTCCAACGACTCTGGGGTTGCGGCGCTCATCTCGCTTTATTGGCCGAGGGAGCCAGCATACAGCTTCCGGGTCATGTGGCCAGCATGACTAAGCCTCTTCTGGCGAACCAGAGCAGCAAACGGAAACGCAGTTTACCTTCCCGCCAGAGCGGTACCTATTTATCTGCTTGCACTTAGACGTACTTTCGAACTGCTAGGTTGGCAGGAGCAGGGACCGAGCAACGGGAGCTCACCCCGTCATGGGGATTCGAACCGCCGACCTTCTGATTGGCAAGTCCTAGGCTCTGTGGTTTAAAATACACCAATTTAAATTGTTGAGACTAGCCTAGGCTTTCAAGTAAGTAATTGTTTTTCTTGGTCAAATATCCAAAAGTACCACCAATCTTTCCCCAGTTTGCCACCTTAGCTTATTTTGCTATGGAAAAGGAGCAAGTCGGATGCACATGTGCCCCTCTCAAGCGATTCAAGGCCTGTTTCATAAGTATCTGGGTCAGCTGTTGTGTTCAGGTCCTGCTTGCAGGCTTGCCATTGGTGGGCCATTGTGAGAGCAGGATGATGCACTGGATCAGTGGTTCTCAACCTGTGAGTCCCCAGATGATGTTGAACTACAACTCCCATCATCCCTGACCACTGGCTAGGAATGATGGGAGTTGTAGTCCAACAACATCTGGGGACCTACAGGTTGAAAAACACTGTACTAGATGGAACTTTGGTCTGATCCAGCATGGCATTTCTTATGTTCTTACATTAACCAGATACCAAATATGAAACAAAAACTGACCCTCTGTGTGATATTGATCTTTACTCATATTTTAGTGGGGTTGGGCAGCATTGTTTTCTGGGCAGCTGCAGATCCTATATTCCTGCATCCCTTACCTTCCCTCAAGTTATTGGGCTACATTTTGGAGTCATGCGGCACTGAGGATTTGCACAGAATCCATGCCCTGGAGCCTTGATCTAACTACCATTGCCCTCACAGGACTCCTAATTATTATTATAATTTATACCCTGCCCATCTGGCTGGGTTTCCCCAGCCACTCTGGGCGGCTTCCAACAAAATATTAAAATACAATAGTCTATTAAACATGAAAAGCTTCCCTAAACAGGGCTGCCTTCAGATGTCTTCTAAAAGTCTGGTAGTTGTTTTTCTCTTCTAAATAGGGACAAACAGTGGGTGACTTTCTGTAATGACCTCTCTGTGGACTTCCAGAGACATCTGGCCATGGCAAGAAGCAGGTTTCCTTGATATGATCCAGAAGTGCCATTATTATTTGGAGGTTCTGGCTGCCACATACACTGCTCCAAAAGGTCCACACAGAGAGGGGTATTGTCGCAAGGGGTGTGCAAGATTAAATTTGTTCTTGAATTTGCTTCAGATGTTTCACTGAGTTTTATTGTTTTTGTGTTTTAACCCCTTTTAAATGCTTGCTTTAATTTTAATTTTAATTTTATTTTATTCTCTTGTGTTTCCCGCCCATTTAGAGGACAGAAGAGACAGAAAATCCATAAATAAGGTTAGTGTTTCTGGGGAAGGTGACTTTAGGGAAACAATTCCCATGGTCTCCATTAGGTACATTAGTTAGCTGTCCTTCCCCTATTACTTCCCCAAGAGTTACACAACCACTTAAGTTACATCCACGTTCTCTAGCCTGAGCACTGAATATTATAAACATATTCAAATATTTATGGCTAGCAACATTAAGTTGCACAGACTTTAAAACCAGATCATATTGCAGCACCACTGTAAATCACATCTTCAGCAACCCCATTGTTCAGTCGACAGAATTCCCAAATGCCTATAGACAGTAACATTTGATCCCTGGGAAACGGGAACTGAGGTTCTGATGCATCAGATACAATTTTCCCGCTGAAAGCCATGAGGAACTGTTAAAACCATTTTTATTCTTAAGAGGCACAAAGTTATTTCTTTTTAATTGTACTGAAAAGAGGAACAAGATGTGGAGGGGCAGTGGTAGAAGTTCTTTGGGGGTATGAGTCAAGGGATAAAAATAGAAAAGGGCAGGAGGAGGAATATGAGAAGCCAAGAGATACTGCCTTGCCATCGTCTAGGGGTGTGTGTGTGTGTGAACTAAGCAAATCTTAGTAAACCGGCCCATGCTTTGTCAGCAAAGCTTGCCAGGTTTCTGTCTTTCTGTTAATATTTAATAATAATAATAATAATAATAATAATAATAATAATAATAATAATAATAATAATAATATCTTTATTGTCATTGCCCCCTCTCGGGGACAACGAAATTACTGCACTTAATTATTTAAGTGCAGGAAGGAATGTACTAGCAGATAGATTTAACTTTTCAGAAGTTATATCCCATTTCAGAAGAACACCAGAAATTAATTTAGGATAATAATTATATTGATCAAAAGTCTCTGGTTACATTCACTTTTCACCTAAAAGGGAATTAAAATCACAAGTAAAACTAGACCTTAATAAGCTACTGTGGTGAAATCAAGATCTTGCTTTTACGATTTCCAAGGATCCAGGGGGGAAAGGAAGAAAATAAACAGAAATGGACTTTACTGCAAAATGTTATCTGTTAGCTTTCCAAAGAGGCAGTGGCGGAAGTACAGTTTTGGTTTGAAATTTACTATCATTTATTCCCTATCTCATTTGGCCATGTCTTCTGTAAAAACTTCACTCTGTCGCTGACCTGTCCTCTGGATCAAATGCAATAAGCCTATTAAGTCACCTGCACATCCTGCTAGGAGACATTGTGTAGTCTCAATAAGAAAAGAACATCCAAAAAAGTAATCCAGACATGGCTGATGGAATCACAGTATCAGTTTATTTAAGTTTGCTATTCTTTACATTTTCGTTTTGCCTTGGCAATGTCAACATACTTTAGAGGGTTGCTGGGGGGAAAAATACCAAAAGCACTCTGAACCATGAATGTAGTTTGAAAGTTTAAAATTACTTCAGTAACTTATTCTCGACAAGTATTTCTAGCTACATCAGCAAAGCTGCGGCACTGCAGCCAGTTTCCTGTCCTACATTGCCCAGAATGCTGTGCCTGAAGGACTACCAACCCTTCCTTTGAGTGGGGAAAGGCAAGGCTGGCCAGCCCTGCTGTACCATTAGCAGCCACAAATCAATTGATAGAGTGTGGGTGGGATACAGGAGCAAGCAGGGCAGAGAGGATGCAGCCTTGCTTTAGGCAACACAATGCCCTGCTCTGACTGCTTACTTTCTGAAGTATAAGATAAAGCTGAGAGCAGAAAAATGTGAGATTCAATGTAATTTTGGACAGAAGCACACATCTGCCTATTTCCCCTTCCTGGTTACCATATAAGACTGTCCCTGATAAAATTATGCAGACATGCAGCTAAATTTCCCTAAAACCGTCTCAAAGGTGGTATTGACAGAGGAAGCGCATGCTCCCGATGTTTTAATTTTGTCCTGAAAGTTTCGGGTTCATATTCATTCTCACAAATGGCCTAATTTGACAGACAGCCTTTGCAAAGAAAATTAACACAAGCTATCCTGTCTCCTGATCATCTTGCCGGAAAGAATACAGCAAGGATTGTCAAAGTGCGTGCTTAATGGCTGTGGAATTAATGGATTTGTGTTCTGTGTTGACAAGAAATGGCAAGCTCCCTTGAATTCATGCTTTAAAACGTATTTAAAGCATTCATTTGCTGAGCTTTGAAAACTCACTAAGTATGGGTGCCCTTTTCTCTCTTTGTTGCATGCTTTTTGTTTTTAAAGGGGGGGGGGAGTATTGATCTGTCCTCTCTTGTGTACTTTGAGATCAATTAACTGCATTAGCCCTGAGGACACTGGGAAATGTGAGTGCAAGATATGACACTCTACTTCCTGGGCCAGGAGAGGAGTTGGCTGGCCTAAGGCTGTGTGGTGGAATAGAGCTTGCCTATTAGTCATCTGCTATGCTAAGTCCAGCGTTCTCTTTCCATAATCATCACACAGCCATGTGTTCATCAGTTATTCCAAGAGTTGAACCAGATGAGTTGTTTTCTCTTCTTCTACACTCCACAGGACTGGCTTCACATTTCCTTTTCTTTTTTGCTTCTTTTCTTTTCTATTATTATTATTATTATTATTATTATTATTATTATTATTTATTAAGAATACCCCATCCATCTGGCTCACCCATCTGGTTTCCCCAAAAAACAAACCTGCTTCCTAAAAATAGGTAGACTGCTACCTATTTCGGAGAATCAGATGACATAAATTGTTTGGGGAATCAGATGGCATAAAGAGAGTTCCCAGAATGCCACAGTATTTCCCATAATGCCACAGAAAGAGAACTTCCCTTCAATAAACTGATCAGAATTATAAACCAGGTTTTAAAAAACTCACTGTTCTATGTGAACCCTATGTGAACATGGTAATGGGCTCACCTGAAAGCTTCACTGATAGCTTGGTGGGCACTTTGAAAGATAAGAACCACTTCCCCACTTGCTGTTATTCCTCCAGCAGCTAGTATACTGCTGCTGAATCGTAAGCTTCTTTTTAAGCATTGTGGTAAAAAACAATAAAGCCTGCCATAAACCAAGTGAAATAATTAGTTCGCCCAGTTCAGTGCTCTGTATGTGGGCATTGCTGGGCAGTTTCTCTCCAGGGTTCCAGACAGGAGTCTCCCAGCCAAGCCTGGAGCTGACAGGGATTGAATCTGGAACCTTCCGCACACAAGCTATAGTTCTTCCGGCTTGCCTTCCATTAATTTGTCTAGTATTCTTTAAAAGCAATCTAAGGTAGTGGCATGAGCAAATTTTTATTCTGAAAGTGTGGTCCAGGGGGAAAAGCTTGAGAACCACTGTTTTTAGAGTGAATCAGCATTCATTAATAATTTTATTAAAAACAAACGTACACCATCAGCCAAACAATTGGCCAGATGTGACCCATAACTTCTAACTAAACAGTGAAAGCAGTTTATGGTTTACTGGGAAGAACAAAATGAGTAATAAGCTGGGCTGGCCCTACTATAAGATAATTCACAAAAGTAGTACACACTGCCACATTTCAGGGGAAATGCAGGCCCCTGTGACCGTGGAAGCCACAGCTTCAGTGCTGTAGAAATAGCTATTGGCGGTGGGGACCTGACACCAAACCCATTTTGATTGAAACCATTATTGATTTATTTTTTGTTTATTTAGTTACTGATTTGACTTTAAAAGAGAAACCCACAGAAATTCAATACAGTCATAGCATTTCTCAATCTCTTGTTGCAAACAGACTTGTCTTTGCATTCTTTGCTGTGACATATTTGCCAGATTGTGGGGGCAGGAGTTGGGGCCTTTTCCTTTCAGTTGTTAGCCCATCTTCATATTTCCAAATTCCGACTCCACTTACTCAGGAGCGAGCATCCAACATATTTTCAGAGGAACTGTCATATTTATCTGTCTAAAATATGTATCTCTCAGACAACCAATTTCCAAAGGGGTGAATGTGTTAGTCTGTTGCTGTAAATACAAAAACAGAAAAATCTCGTGGCACCTTAAAGGCTCAACACATTTATTGTGACATTGACTTTCATGGGCCAGAGTTCACTTCATCAGTTGCATCTTGGCAACGCTGAGTAAATTAATATCCGTAGTGGGATAGGAATCTATTGGCTTGGATTCAGAGATGCCTGCAGTGAGTGGAAAAGCACTTCCATTTGAGCAAGGCAGTGCTGTTGAATTCCTCCAGTTTGGCCATCCTGCTGCAGCCCCCATCCCATGCCAACACAGAGGGATTTTTGGTGGGGTGCAGGGGACTATAATGGGGGGCAAAGAGACAGGCAAGTCCCAATGTGTGGCAGGGATTCCATTTGATCTTTTCCAGGGCTTTTTTCAGCCTGCACGCCCCAGACCGCAGGTGGGCGCTATTGTAAAGTAAAGGTAAAGAGACCCCTAATCATTAGGGTCCAGTCATGACTAAGCCGCTTCTGGCGAACCAGAGCTGCACAGGGAAACGCCCTTTACCTTTCCGCCGGAGCAGTACCTATTTATCTACTTGCACTTTGATGTGCTTTCAAACTGCTAGGTTGGCAGGAGCTGGGACTGAGCAACGGGAGCTCACCCCGTCACAGGGATTCGAACCGCCGACCTTCTGATCGGCAAGTCCTAGGCTCTGTGGTATAACCCACAGCGCCACCCGCTATTGTAGGGTTGCCATAATTCAAAAAGTGATTTTTGTAAAATAAAAAAAGCTTTTTTTTTCCTTTTTGGAAATGGGTTGCCATATGTCCGGATTTCTGTCCAGACACTGTTTCCGATGACTGAAACTCGGCTATGTCCGGGAAATTCTGGACATATGGCAACCCTACACTATTGCCATTATAGGAGAACAAGGCAGGAATTCGTGGTGGGTTCCAGCACCTCTTTTTCTGGAAAAATAGAACTGATCTTTTCTATGTTGCCGCTATTCAGTTAGATTTGAACAGAGACTGTGGTAATTTACACAGCGTTATTAAGATGATCACCTGTTATGGCTGCTTGCTTATTTTGCATACATTCAGTTGTCATGAACTATACTTTCTGCATTCCATCGTCATCATGCAGAAGCTGTTCTACATTTCAAGACCTCCATGCTGAGATAAAACTGGAAGCCTATCCAGACACTGGATTATCCCAGTATTTTTTTTATCTCATCTCAGTCCATTTGGAAGACTGCACTGCCCATTTCTAGATGTGGAAATATGAACGTCAGTCCTTGCTTAGATTACATCCGCCACGGAGTCAGTTGTGCCAACCATGGTCACCATTATGGGTTAGCTTTGTGGGTGGTGACATGTATCTATTTGTAGAGTGACAGTAAATTTATGTGTAGTGTTTATATGACATGTAGGTTGGTGTGTAATTTGGGAACTTGTGTGGGCAGAACCTTGGTTGATGCATATGTACCTGGCTGGCCCCAAATGAAAATCATTTTCTTTAAGAGTTTGCAGATACATAACAACCTCTTGGAAAATAGTTTTAGGTTTCTTTAATCAGCTTTTTTTAAAAACAACAACAACCAAGTTTTAAGCATCTTTCTAGGGGTTCTAAGCATCAAAGCACAGTGGTGGTGTCAGCATTCCCTTGCCTACTTTGCTTATAATGCCAAGCTCTGAAGAAGGAACTTCCTTGTCCCTTTTCCAGAATAGTGGCAAGATGAGGAAGGGAGGAGATAACAGAGATGCTGCTAGCACGGCTTCTTCTGTTACAGCGGCAAAGAAAGTAAAAAAGAAGAGGGGGCAGAGGGAGAGGACAGTGCTGCTACCATGAAGAAAAGGATGGGAAGTGGAGGAGTATGGGTGGCAGCAATAGTAGGCCTGTACTGTTCTGTGTCCAGGGGAGCTGTTTACCAGCTCCATCTGGTACGCAGGCTAGGACCCTACCTGTCTGCAGACTGTCTCGCCAGAGTGGTGCATGCTCTAGTTATCTCCCCCTTGGACTACTGCAATGTGCTCTATGTGGGGCTACCTTTGAAAGTGACCTGGAAACGACAACTGTCAGAGCTGGCTCCAGGTCCCAGCTCACAGAGGACCAACGCTGGCCGGTAGTAATGTACAAAAGTCTTTATTGAAGTACAGTTTCCATTTTCAAGCCGCAGCGCCCCAGCTCTACGTCTTAGAGGCTAGACCGGCGAAGCTCCATATGAGTCTCCACCCCCTGTACACCAGCTTAAGACTCTAACCTTACTCCACCTCTTACGTCTCTCCTTTCTCCTCTGGGTCCTTCTGCCCCCCGGGGTCTCCTCCTTTCTGGACTCTTCTGACGCTGACGCTGACCCCCCTGACTCCTCCCCCTCCTTTCGGCGGGCTTTGGGACCTGGCTCCCTATCCGGGCTGCCAACTGCGCCGCCCTCCTGTACATTTGAACTTGGCGCGCGCGCCCAGCCTCCAACCTTCCTCTTGACCGTTTCCTCGCTCTCCGATGGAGGCGTGGCCAATCCTGACTCCTCTCCTCCCGCTGGTGGTGAGTTTCCTGATCCCGATACCTGGGACTCCTCCCCCCCACTGCGCTCTGGTGGGGAAGCTGGTCCTGATTTCCAACTGCTGCTCTCTGAGTCCCCTCTGGCCCCTTCTTCCTGGGGTGTCCCCCTAGGCACCCCCCCTTGCTCTGACCATGGGAGCCCCTTTCTGTGAATCTTCCGATTCGCTGGAAAGACTCAGAGACCTCGGACCGCTGTCATCGCTAACATTTCCTTCGGATTCCTCCCCCTCGCTCTATATTTCCTCCCTTTCCTGTGCCTCTGCTCCTGAGCCCCTGACAACAACTAATCCAGAATGCGGCAGCTAGACTGATGACTGGGAGCGGCTGCCGAGACCACATAACACCAGTCTTGAAAGACCTACACTGGCTCCCAGTACGTTTCCGAGCACAATTCAAAGTGTTGGTGCTGACCTTTAAAGCCCTAAACGACCTCTGTCCAGTATACCTGAAGGAGTGTCTCCACCCCCATCGTTCTGCCTGGACACTAAGGTCTAGCGCCAAGGGCCTTCTGGCGGTTCCCTCACTGAGAGAAGCGAAGTTACAGCGAACAGAGGGCCTTCTCAGTAGTGGTGCCTGCCCTATGGAACACCCTCCCACCAGACGTCAAAGGAAAAAGCAACTACCAGATTTTTAGGAGACATCTGAAGGCAGCCCTATTTAGGGAAGCTTTTAATATCTGAAGGACTATTCTATTTTAATATTTTGTTGGAAGCCACCCAGAGCGGCTGGGGAAACCCAGCCTGTTGGGCGGGGTATAAATAATACATTATGATTATGATTTATAATTATATACTTGTCAGTGGCAGCAACAGGGAGTGAGGCAGGGGGGCATCTTGTTTGGGGGTGATCTATCAACTGCAGGGGGTGCCAGCAGCAAGGGGGCATCAGTTGCATGATGCCGATGACCCCCTGAAGCCTGTTGCCAATCCTCTTTTCTGGAAAAGCTCTGAGAGAACGATCCCATTTGAAACTGAGATTCCAATCTCTAAACTGGAATGTGTGGGTGATCTGTGTGGAGCAAGAGAAATCATCACAGTTTCTGGGTTCCAGGAAACTGCAAAGGCTACGATGAAATCCTGATGAGTATTTCTTGCTAAATTAAGAGCTGCTTGATTCATCCCCATTGAGAATTTATTTTTGCACATGGTGTATCACACAATGCATCCTCCTAATCCAGTGGAATCTAGCCCATTCTTAATGTTCCAAAAGGAAATGTCAGTCCCTGTGATCAAACAGCCTTTCCCTATCCAGCAAAAATTTAGTCCGCAGAGTAATATTTAGTTTGGCAAAGAGGGAAATTCTCAAGTTGCACAATATTGTCATAACTTTTGCTGCACCCCTCCCCTCTTCCTTCCCCCCCCTTTTCTTTTCCCTAGACTCGCCTGCCCTGCAGAAGTACATGTGTGAAGACATTCTTCTGTCCTTTCCGAGTTGTTTTGGTTAGTAATTTAGTGATGGCTAACAAAGACACGTACTGTTTATGATTTCCATTCTCCCAGATTCCTAACACATTCTACATACCCTGGCAAGGCAGTGGGCTCTGTCAGAGGAAGATAACCAGACTCTTAATGATTCATTCAAACTTCTTTTTAAAATAATAATAATAATAATAATAATAATAATAATAATAATTTTAATGCTTAATAAAAGAGTTTTCCCCCTAGGGAAATAGGGGAATAGGGTTGATATTGGGGAATAGGGTTGACATTCAGTTTCTTGGAGGAGGGGAGAATTAAGGAGATGGCCCACCTACATATACACACGTAATTCACTATATAGTGTATCTCACCCTATAAATTGGGGTCACGGCGGACTGAGCTGTCTCTCTAGGAACACATGTCAATGGTCTGCATCTGCATCGACAGGAAACTTGGGGCTCCTCCAGACAACCTGTTTATTGAGGATTCTCCCTGATTTGATTTGAATTAATTTTATAATAAAATAATTTTAGAATGTTGTATTATTTTATTGTTGTTAGCCGCCCTGAGCTCGGCTTCGGCTGGGGAGGGCGGGATATAAATAAAATTTATTATTATTATTTATTATTTGCTTGCACAAAGCTTATGCAGAGGTTTATCTATGTCTGGTTTTTATTGAATATTTGTTCTGATTTGTTTGTGAGGAGGTCATACAGCAATGAGTGGATATAAATGCTTAGAATAAATAACTGGTTAAAATTTTAGATGGCTTGCTGTTGAATTAGTGCTTGGAGGACTTCTAAAAATATTCCATTTTAATGGGGTTGAAAGGGTAACTGCATCTCACCATCCATTAGCATTGAGACTGTCCTTGTGACCTAAACAGGACCATTTTTTTATTAATGGGCTCATACACAATGTTAACAAAGCACATGAACTACTGACAGATATAGTTAAGAAATTTATCAGGATAGCTCACTTGTCCAAAAATGAACATAAAAAGATATTCAAGTCTCTTCAGTGTTTCATAAAAAGAAAACAAAAACCACTAGACAATTGTTGAAAATGTTTGGAATGTACTGAATGTAGAAATGTACACATTTATTTTTTTGAATGGTATGGTTTATGAGTTACTCATTCTTAACATGTATTTTCTACCTTTGTTAGCAAACTTCTGTAGTCAATATGTGAGATTTTAGAGTTAACTTTTTTTTCCCTTTTAAGAGTGCTCTACGATGCATTTACCTAGAGGACTGAAGACCAAAATTCACCTTTATTACCTCATCCCAATAGTTCCTTCCCTTGCTCATAATATGGTACATCTCTGTTTTCCTTCAAGGGGGAACCGCTAAGGGTGGGGGAAATGTGATGGTTAGCTATTTACGAACCTCAAGTTGCTAGGTGATGCCATGTGACTTCTTTGTTTAAAGAGCCACCCACATTTTAGCATCAACAACTGAAAGAGAAAATAAGGTTGGAGAGAAAACAAAGTGCTTTTTTTCCCTGGGTGGGGTGGGTGAGTTGACTTGAGCTACAAAAACTTCCTAAAAATAATCTGCTCCTATATGCCTTGCAGCATAGTTCTTTTATCTACCAGCTTGTGCTATGGATGGGTGACTCGTTTATTGAGGAAGGAACATCAATGAATCATCCAGCAGAGAGAGCCTCAGAATTAAGCCTCTTCCACACACCCACATCTCATTATGTATATGAGTCACGCCACCAGGATGTATATATGCATTTATCTATGTAAAAATGTGTAAGAGAGAGAGGAAGCGGGGGAAAGCATGGTAAGGTAGGCATTGCTTGTTAAGTACAGGCAGATCCTATAATATATAATCAACTTGCATAATGCAAGTCCTTTTTTCTAGATGTGTGAGCGCCTACTGATGCTATTGCACAATTACTTCTAGCCATTAGAACAGCAGTGGGAAACACTAGAAGAAGAAGAAAAAGAGGAAGAGGAAGAGGAGGAGGAGTTTGGATTTGCTATCCTGCTTTATCACTACCCAAAGGAGTCTCAAAGCAGCTAACATTCTCCTTTCCCTTCCTCCCCCACAACAAACACTCTGTGAGGTGAGTGGGGCTGAGAGACTTCAAAGAAGTGTGACTAGCCCAAGGTCACCCAGCAGCTGCATGTGGAGGAGCGGAGACGCGAACCCGGTTCACCAGATTACGAGTCTACCGCTCTTAACCACTACACCACACTGGCTCTCTCCAGTCCTCCCCTTTTGCCCCTCCAAACACTTATCTGGCTTTTTGGCCCAGCTGCACTGGGTACCAGCAGCTACTAGCCACTATGGATATGTTCTACCTTCAGTGTTGATAGAAGTATGCCTCTGAAGGCCGGTTGGTGAGATTCACAAGTGGGGACAGTGCTGTTTCCTTCCTGTCCAGCTTGCTGGCTTCTCATAGGCACCTGGTTGGCCATTCTGTGAACAGAATGCTGGAGTAGATGGACCATTGGCCTGATCCAGCAGGCTCATCTTACTTTCTCACGCACTGTTGTCTCACCCATTCTGTTGAAAGAGAGTGGGGCAGGTATAGACGCAGCTGGTCTAAAATGGGGGTTGCTGGCATGATCAATCAGTTTCAAAGGTGTCAGTAGCAATCCTTCTCTACAAGTGGCACTGCGGCTGTTCAAGAGCTCTGTATTTGGATATCTTCAAGTTTCAAATGCTAACAGTTGTTAGGCCTTCACAACTTGAGATCCACCAAGCGAAAGTCAGTCCATCAGTTGTATGTGGAAGCCTATGAGGTGCTTAATAATTGTCCCTCCCCCTCCCTTTTCTTAGCTGTCTGCAATGAGAAACATAGAGTAGAACCAACTGGTGGGCTCTGTACAACTTAAAAAGACCACAGATTGTGTAGATCCAGCTCAAGGATCCAGGAGTAAGAAGTGGGAAATCTTGAGTTTATGGTGTCTGAACCGTATCGTGAAGGCTATATTAGAAAAACTAATAAAAGTGCAATTTGTGGTTTAAAGTGAAACCAGATGGCTCAGCATGCTGTGAAACAAACGTGCAGGGCAAGTTCAGTTCATTTCTCCAAAACTGTCATACTTGTCAGGAGCCTCTGGAAACTGTGTTCAGCTGCCCCAAGTGGTGAACCACTGAACTGCAAGTGGTCACCTTTTCAGTGAAGAACCTTCCGGGCTGATTCTGCCCACTCAGGCTAGCTGTTAGATCTTTTTGATCAGCAAGGGCTACAAGGGCTTTCCAGTGGAGACTTGTCTTGACATCTGGCTTGCTCCTTGGCCTAGTCTCCTGGTTTGCCCTCCATTCCTGACATCTCATTTGCCACATGCTTCATGGTTCCTGGGCAGGCTCACCTCAGACAATCTGGGTTCTGGCCCTAGTGGTGAAAGCCCTAGTGAATTATCTTAATCAGCCAGTGGCATCAGGTGGTTTCCAGTGCTATGGGTCTCACTAGTCTCTTAGGTCACATGGGCCACACTCTCCTGATTGGTTAATCAGTGCAAGTATTTCTGTTTGCCCAGTGGAATGATCCTCTCTCTCCTTCCCCCATACACTGTTCTGGGTTTTTTCCTGACCCCCCGAGAGCCAATTTCAGGGGTGGTGGGCATGGAAGGTGGTGTGGGAAAGCCCTGTTGCGCAAGTGACAGTCCTTTATGCAGGGCACAAGCCCATGGCTCTCTTCCTGACAGATGCTGAGAGGTCAAATCATATTCAACCATTGCAGTGCTGTCGGGGACTGGGCAGAGGAGAAATGGTGGAGACCACCTCCCCATCCTGACCCTTCCAGGGAGGAGGAAGAGGAAGACAGTTTAGAATTACAACAGGGGTTTGAGGGAGGTCACAGCTCAGAGGCAGATGAGGGGGAAAGTTGGGAAATCATGGGAGAGTCAGAGCAACACCCAGCTGACACGTCATTAGAAAGCATTCCAGACCCTCCATCTCCCAGAACCCAGCAAACCTTAAAAGTGGGAGAGCAAAGAGCTCGAAGACAGAGGGCACATAGTAGCATCCATAGAGGAGACAATGAGAATGACGAATGAGGAAGTGGGAAAGACGGGGGTGGAGAGTCACTCGGACAATGACATTATCCAAGAGTCTGGGTTCTATAAGCTTCTCTCTGTAAAAACTGAAGTAAAAAAGGATGTTAAGAAACTTTTTCCTTGACTTTATACTTCCCTGGGCAACCAGCTGGGGCCGCTGACAGCATCCTGACAAGCGCTCACCATTAGCTTCTCAGTATGATTTGTTTTTATGCTTGTTTCAGGTTTTATTTTAAGAGGTGAAAGAGGGTAAAGCAGAAAGATTGGCGAGGGCAATGAGAGAATGAGAAAATTGGGGAATCAGAAAGATGGACATAAGGCTTTGATCCTACATTCACTGAAGGAAAGTTTCCTTCCTATTTCTCTGCTGCTTTCTAAAAAGCCTCAGGGGGCTCTCCAAAGGAATGTCGGAAGGGGACACAGGTTGCTCCTCCCATCAACTTCCATACATTAATTTAAGACCCCATGCTTAGTTTAGGGGTAGTCCTTTTGGCACCCCTCCACTTCCTATCTCCCATTGTTTGAGAGGGACAGCACTGCTCCAGAAAGGCTTTGAGGGTTGGCACAGATGTCTGCAGGCAGGAGGCAGAGATAGAAAACTTTCCTTCCATTAGCTTTGTCTTAGGAGCCCAGCCACAATGAAAAAAATGAGAAGGGAGTCCACCAATTTATGCATTTATTTAGCTGTACAGTGGTACCTCGGGTTAAGTACTTAATTCGTTCCGGAGGCCCGTTCTTAACCTGAAACTGATCTTAACACTGAAGCACCACTTTAGCTAATAGGGCCTCCTGCTGCCGCTGCGCCGCCAGAGCACGATTTCTGTTCTCATCCTGAAGCAAAGTTCTTAACCTGAAGCACTATTTCTGGGTTAGTGGAGTCCGTAACCTGAAGCGTATGTAACCTGAAGTGTATGTAACCTGAAGGTACCACTGTATTGTGGTGCTTCTCCCTAGCCTGTCTTCTCTCGGCTTCTCACATTCTGTAATCTACAGAACCTGGTATCCTTCAGATATTTTTCCCAACCTGGTATTCTTCAGATATTTTTGGACAGCAGCTTCTATCACCTGGTGCTGGCTGGAGCTAAGGGAGAGTTGCTGTGGTCAAAAAATTCTGGAGAAGCCTATTGGGGAAGGCAGATCTAGATGAGGGCACATTTGTATTATTTGGGCTTATCCTTAAGGAACACCACGATACACACACATCGGGGTTAGCCGCAAATATGAGCGCAAATCCTCTGAAGTGATTTCAGGCTGCGGCCTGGGAAGTTCTTTCTGGCAATTTCTTAAAAACAGCAAATCTGATCACACCAAGCCAACTTCCTGGCATAACAGATGGAAACTATTTAAAAAACTATTCCGATATTCTGTGAACACACTTCGCAGCAAATGATGAAGCATGCTTGTGAGTCAAGCCCCATTATAAAAGATGTCTCATATATACCTCATATTACTGCCTTGCTGTCGAGCCACAAGTGGTTTCCTAGCAAAACAACCTTTGCCATTTTATCGCAGGGCTTTTCAGACTTATCTGCCCTCAGGTAAGTTTTCCCACCACTGCATATCTGCCAAGCAGTCCTTGCATGTTTGCCCCAGAGCCCCAGCGTGTATTTCAGAGGATTTGGCAGAGACAGAGACATAGTCTAGGGAGCAAGCTCAGTCCACATGGTGTGCTCGCTGGGCCTATGGGGCTTCACTGTTTCTCTGCATGTACTGACACTGTACTCTAGAACAAGAGTAGGCTGACTTCAGGCTTGTCACCTCTTCTATGTTTTCATTTTTTTTACCAGAACCCCAAGATCTACCAAATAAAGTCAGGTGCAAAAGACATACATACGGATGATACCCAGAATAGGATGATACCCAGAAAAGGGACGCTGGTGGTGCTAGGAGCCTAGGACTTGCTGATCAGAAGGTCGGTGGTTCGAATCCCTGCGACGGGGTGAGCTCCCGTGAGCTCCTCGGTCCCTGCTCCTGCCCACCTAGCAGTTCGAAAGCACGTCAAAGTGCAAGTAGATAAATAAGTCCCGCTGTGGTGGGAAGGTAAACGGCGTTTCCGTGTGCTGCTCTGGTTCGCCAGAAGCGCCTTAGTGTCATGCTGGCCACATGACCTGGAAGCTGTATGCCGGCTCCCTTGGCCAATAAAGCGAGATGAGCGCCGCAACCCCAGAGTCATCCGCAACTGGACCTAATGATCATGGGTCCTTTTTAAATGCTTTCCTCAGGGAGGTTCATATGGCACCTTCATTATACATCTTTAGGCATCAGGTGAAAAGGTTCCTATTCACCCCAGGCCTTTGGCTAATTCATATTCTACAGCCTTTTAAATTTTTTTTTGGGGGGGGTAATTGTTTCGTTTGGTTTTTGTTTAAACTGTTTATTTTGTGCTTTTATCCTGTATTTTTATCTTGTGGACAGTCCTCAGATCTTCAGATGACGGGCAGTATATAAATTTAATTAATTAATTAATGATAGGCAGATCATTCTATTCATAATTGCACCACTTTTTCAGGTGTTTTCTTACAGTCAGTTCCATCCCATTTCCACTCAATCCGCAACTAAATAGAAACAAACAAAATCTGCCTTCCAATATTAATTTAAATACTTATTTTAAAAGAGAATTTCTCTTAAAACATGTATTTCTAAACACATGTTGGTATAAAGACCCAGCCCAAGACAAACAGTTGTTGATGCTATTCTTCTCAGAACAACATTTGCGTTAAGGCTCAAGTGCAAATTTAAAAACAGCAACAACCCAGCAACATCAATTTAAATCATGTTGTGAACTGTTGGATGGTTCAGTAAAATGATTCACACCATATGGACCATTTTATTTTTAAAAGAAAAATGAGAAATAGGGGAAGGAACATACACTGCACTTGGATGAGGTTGGCTACAGAAGAGGCCAATGTCACAGCATGTCTGCTTTTGTTTTATTTCAGTTGGTTAGGGATGAAGAACAGATAAGCTCCATACACTGAGCTAGTGGAACATAAGAGCACGATCCAACTTTTTAATCCTGTTGATTTCAGTGGGAAAGATGTAAAGTTGAAGCTAATCCATGTTTGTTAGACACACCCAAAAAGTCCCTTAGTACTGCTAATAAAATACAAAAATGGCCATTATTATGTAGATATATAGTGGAACCTTGGTTTTCAAGCATCTCGGAAGTCGAATGTTTTGGTTTTCGAATGCTGAAAACCCGGAAGTAATTGCTTCCGTTTTCGAACGCACCTCAGAAGTTGAAGAGCTTCCGAGGAGAGTTTCTCAATTTTCTCAGTTGAGTTTGCTGACCTCCCATTGCGCCTCGGTTGTTGAACATTTTGGTCGAATGGTCTTCCAGAATGGATTACATTCAACAACTAAGGTTCCACTGTATAAACTGTTTCAAAGACATCATTGAGACTATTCAACCACCCATCTCCTCAGGCACACCAACTTAGGCCCCACACCGTGGGTGTGCAGGCCATGCGCGCCATGATGTCATGGCGCCACGTCACAACATTGTGGCACGTGTGTGAACTACAACACAGTGGCGGTGACTGGGCCAGGGCCTGTGCCTCCGCCACGGGACCTCTGTTGGGGCCTGCTGTGGCTGCATTCCACAAGCATGTCTGGGGCCGCACCGAGTCCCAACAAAGGCCCCACGATGGAGGCACAGGCCCCAGCCCTGTTGCTGCCATGACGGCGGAACACCAAAGGTAAGGCAGCAGGCACAGCAGCAGCAGGGTTGGAGGCCAGGCATCCACAGCAAATATTTTGTGCATGCCCAAGTCCCCAGGGCCCCCAGGAATTGGTGCCAGTGCATCTCATTGTTGTTGGCATCTGTCTCTCGAGAGAGTCAGTGGAAGAGTGCATCAAAAGTCAAGCTGTAAAGACCAATATGGGCGAGTCATATTTTATTGCAGCTGGGGCAGATGAAGCTGTCCAGTTTCACTGGGGCAGATGCACCATGGCGTTTCTACTCTCTGTGCTCCTCCCGGCAATCATTTTTCTTCTGGTCACTGCTGTGGATACAAGACCTGACTGTCTCCAGGCATTGCAGTTGTCTGCAGGGGATCACCACAAGGCAGGGTTAATGTTGGCAGCCTCCGTGTTAGGTCTGCAGACATCTTTATAACACAGAGTTGGTATTTTCCCCACAGTACTCAACAGTACAGTGGTGCCTCGGGTTACATACGCTTCAGGTTACATACGCTTCAGGTTACAGACTCCACTAACCCAGAAATAGTGCTTCAGGTTAAGAACTTTGCTTCAGGATGAGAACAGAAATCGTGCTCTTGCGGCGCGGCAGCAGCAGGAGGCCCCATTAACTAAAGTGGTGCTTCAGGTTAAGAACAGTTTCAGGTTAAGAATGGACCTCTGGAACAAATTAAGTACTTAACCCGAGGTACCACTGTAGTTGTTACACAAAGGTGTCAGTCACCTTTGTCCATGTAAAGGGCCACAATGCTGGAGTTGAGTGTGTCTTGTGGCACTGTTTTCCAGCACTGCAAGAGAAGGCCATGGAGGTGCATCATGAGGGTGGAGACGAGTCCAGCTTTCAGAACTTCTGTTGGGATTCCGTCCTGTTCCTGAACTTGAAGGTAAAGGTAAAGGGACCCCTGACCATTAGGTCCAGTCATGGCCGACTCTGGGGTTGCGGCGCTCATTTCGCTTTATTGCCCGAGGGAGCCGACGTACAGCTTCCAGGTCATGTGGCCAGCATGACTAAGCTGCTTCTGGCGAACCAGAACAGCACACGGAAACGCTGTTTACCTTCCCGCCAGTACCATATGCCTAATAGTTGATGGCATTCTTCAAGGGAGGCAGGAATATCCAGCTCTTCCAAACAGGCGGAAAGCTGTCAGTTGCTGTGGCAAAGACCATGCTTTCTGCTGAGTACAGTTCTTGATAGTGCGCCACCCATCACTACATCTGCTTGCTGTGATCTGTGATTATCTTTCCAGACAAGGTTTTCAGTAGGACAGTTTTTCTGACCATTGGTCCAAAAGCCGTCTTTATGCTTTTGTACATTTTGTGAGTGTTGCCGCTGTCAGCAGAGAGTTGAATGCTCTGACACAGCTTTAGCTAGCAGTCACTGGCACATTGTCTAGCAATCTGCTGGGCATCGTTCCTTGTCTTTCTCAGTGCAGCAAGTGTCTTGTTTTGTGTGTGGCATTATCAAAAAGGCTATTTTAGCTAACACCTTTCATTTCAAGTGACGCTATTAGGGAATCAGCTCAAAGTATAGATTTGGATCTCATAGTAAATCCTATGAGCCATCCTTTTCAAGGGTTCCTTGTGAACTCTTATTCTTTAAAAACTCTGGGCATTTAAAGAGAATTCCATTTAGAGAAAAATCTTTCAAATGTGACTTTTAAAAGGGTAGGCATGAAATAGAACATCATTAAGAATACCTTAATGTAACTCAATTAAATCTTTGTTGGTTAGTTGTTATTTTTAAAATCTAACCACTAGCTTAAATTCTCTGGTCACCAACATTTAAGAAGAGATCTTCTCTTTTTAGTTCATCTGTTTTTCTAACAATAAACCACCATGTGCTTTCAAAACTATCACCATCTTTTATATTTTGAAATTTATTCAATTGTTTTTAAAACTGAATAGGGCAACTGAGGGGTGCAATGCTATTCCTGGAAGCAAGCCTCATGGAAATCAATGGGATTTACTTTTGAGTAAACATGCAAAGAATAGCAAAATTGTTTTTCAAGTTCTCATTCTCTTCTCTTTGCTGCTAACACTGTGATGCCCTCCAGTGGCTGATAATTTTCTGCTCAGTCCTGTACAGAGAATTATTTAAACAGAAATAAATCATGGAAAGACTTCAGTGATTTGCCCGTGGTGAGTTCAGCCCATATGTGATCTGGATAGTTGTTCATATTGCATAACCAGTCATTTTATCAGCTTTCCCCCAAAATATAATAAAAGTATTAATCATCTCAGGCTTATTACTAAGATGTATAATACCATAAAGACAAGGAGAAACAAAACACCTATTTGACCTTTTCTTTTATAGAGTGGAAAGAGAGTTGTTCAGACCTGCATTCCAAGAGGTGTGAAGCTTAATCAGAGATCAAATGCAAAACATGCCACTGCGATGATACCTACTCATCAGGCTTTTGACAAGACAGTTTCCTGTGACAGCTTAATCTGCAACATAATCTAACAACAAATTAAATGTACCCTGCAGAACTAATATACTCCAACCTATCTTTATAACCTGAAAGCTTTGATATTTTTAAAAATAGCCTTGGGGTTGTGAAGAGTTAGCATGTTCCTTCACGCTAATTAAAATGATGTTTAAGTATAGGAAACTCAATCAGGGATTTACCACCTTCAAAGAGAAGGAAAGCACTATATTCTTCAGAACTTCTATGGCTCATGCCTTAAACATAGTTGTGGTCTGATGGAAGTCTCTCATACAAACACAGTCACCAACAGACAATAGCTTTCAGAGAGACAATATTGTATTTCAGGGGTGAGGAACCTTTTTCTGCAAAAGGGAGTCACAATTCTGGGGTCTGCATCACACTGTTGACTCATGTTCAGCTCATAGATCATTTCCACAAGTACTACTAGTAGGTGTCTTATGATGCCTTATGAGGAACGGCTAAGGGAGCTGGGCATGTTTAGCCTGGAGAAGAGGAGGTTAAGGGGTGATATGATAGCCATGTTCAAATATATAAAAGGATGTCACATAGAGGAGGGAGAAAGGCTGTTTTCTGCTGCTCCAGAGAAGCGGACACGGAGCAATGGATCCAAACTACAAGAAAGAAGATTCCACCTAAACATTAGGAAGAACTTCCTGACAGTAAGAGCTGTTCGACAGTGGAATTTGCTGCCAAGGAGTGTGGTGGAGTCTCCTTCTTTGGAGGTCTTCAAGCAGAGACTTGACAACCATATGTCAGGAGTGCTCTGATGGTGTTTCCTGCTTGGCAGGGGGTTGGACTCGATGGCCCTTGTGGTCTATTCCAACTCTATGATTCTATGATTCTATGTGTCCCCCATCTTATATTTGTGCAGCTGGGTCTTCCTGCCTAAGTGTAGAAACTTTGGCCTGTTCCTCTTTAGCTACAGAAATTCATTTGATTAGTTTTGGCCCAGTTCGTTATTGCCCCTTTAGACAGAAAATGAATCAGGTTCTAGGCTTTTGCCTCTCTCCCCTTGCTATTCAAGTATATTATCCATTTTTAAAGAGAGCTTTCTTTAAGCAAACATTCATATTCACATATCCACCGGTGTTCACACTTAAGAACATTTGTTTAACCTTTCCCAAATAGGCTTGTGTTGAATGGGGAAAACGGAAGATTTTAGGCTGCAGTTCTGTGCCTATTTATCTGGAAGTGTTATTCTTATTTCTGTTTTTAATTGAATTTATATACCGCCCTATACTTGCAGGTCTCAGAGAGGTTCGCAGAATAAAACTGAAATATAAAACCACAAAATACATAATCAAAATAAAAACAACCCAATAACACCTCCCCCCCCAAAAAAAACCAGCACATTTTAAAGGGCACAGGATGTCAATCAAATCAACCAAAGGCCTGGTTAAAAAGGAACATTTTTATGTCCTTGCTTTGAACTCAATGGGACCGTCTTCAGAGTAGACGTGTGTCGCATCGGGACAACAGGCAAATGTTAGGCATTGGCAGGGCCGGATTTAGGTTTGATGAGGCCCTCAGATACTGGAGGTAATGGGGCCCTTTATAGGTTCAGCTGTCCTTTGTCAACAACAAATTGTCACTCTTTTTTGTGTTGAATATATGCTATATGGTAATTTATGGACCTAATAGGTATCTAAAGTCATTTGCCACTGTTGCTGTATGTAGGTTTTATTTTATTTGTTTTCTATCTTATATTTTGAAAATGTACACCTAGTGGTTTTTCCCCCTTTAATTTTTTTGGGGGCCCCCAAGAGAGTAGGGCCCTAAGCTATAGCTTTTTTAGCTTATACGTAAATCCGACACTGGTGGGGAAATAAAAGACTGAAGCGAGCAGGCTTTGCAGGAAAGTTTGCACGCTCTAGTTGAGAAGCTGAGCTGACTCCTCCTAATCTAAGGCGGCTCTCTGAACAGATTTCGTACTGCTGCTGCTGCTGATTATGCGGAATATCATGCACACCCGAATGTGCACGACTCTTCTTTCCTCCCTTTTCCAAATTCCTAGCAACGGTGCGGATTTATCGGGATTAATCTGTAAGGGCGCTTGAACTGCAAGGGGGAACCAAATAGCTGGGCAGCGGGAGGGTAGCCGGGCCCGTCTGAGCAGCGCGCCGGATGGCGGGCGTTCTCGGGGGCGGGGCCGAGGCGGCTGCGGGCAATGAAGGCACCGGCGCAGGATCTGAAAATGGAGTGCGACATCCTGGACGCGCTGGAGGCTCTGGGGTGAGCGGGGCGAAGGCGACGCGGCGGAGCTCGGGGCGAGGAGCTGGGGGACCGCTGCAGAGAGGTGGTTCGGGAAGGCCGGCTGGAGAGGAGGGCCGCTCGGGGATGCGCGTGCAATCCGGTTCAAAGCAAGGCACCCCTTTGAAAATACTCGCCGCCAGTGCCTGCGCTGCCTCTCAAATCCCGGGGTTCCCCTTGGCCTCCCCTTTGACCCACGTGTGCGTGGGAGAATTGTTCGTGGAGCCCGGGGTGGACCAAGCGCGGTATTTGCGCGCGCGTGACACGCTTCCAAAAATCTCTGCTGCTCTGATTCCGCTGATCAAAGACTGGGAGAGAAATCAAACTGTTTGTTGTGAATACAGGTTTAAAAAAGAAACAAAGACCTTCGGGTATCGGGCGGTATATAAATAATAATAATAATAATAAACAAATAATATCCAAGTATTAATGAATAATAATAGGTAGACATTTGTTTCTCAAGTTAGCAGTTTAACAGGCACAGAGTCTTGATTGCTCACTGAGTACCAACTGCTGAGTCTGCTGTGTTGCAGCAGTATTTATCGCTTCCAAATGTGTGCTAATTTGATTAGTTGAATAGGAGGGCTCCCGCTTTGAGCAAAGAACTTTGGTAATACATGCAAAATGCATGCATTATTTATTTACTTTTTTAAAAAGAATAGCTGGAAGTTAGGTTGGTAGAATACCATAGTAGTCTTGCAATAATTGAAAGTAAGAATCAGTGGGTACAAATGATTATATACTGATGTTCTACTAGCAGCCCAATCCTAACATGATCACAAGGAAGAAAGCTCTGTGGTTTCAGTGTCACAGCTTCCAAGTAAGGTTGCTTAGTTATTGCAGCCTTAAACTTATTTAACTGCCCTGGCTTGCGCTTTCTTGATGGGGAAGAAAATGTACATATTGAGATGGAAGAACCCCCAGGTTTTATAGTTTGCCATGTATGCTACCATATTCCAGGGACTTTTTATCTTCTTCATGCCCCATGTGTGGTGTCCCTGAATGAGAAATTGGCATGTGGCAAAACTAGACTCAAAATGAGATTCCATCCAACAAGTATTGGAGAAGTGTGTAAAAATGTTTTTAAAAGGCACAATGCAGTGAGGCTAGGATTATCGGCAGGGTGTAGGTCAAATGTTGCAACTGTAAACTCTTATCATGTGCTTGTATTTCACAGATGGGAGTTTTAAATGAATTTTTGTATTTCATTCTTAGTTACATAAAATGTTGCTTTCTTTTTATTGATTTCACACACACAGCAGCACAATACTGCATGCTGGTTACGAACTTAATTCGTTCCGGAGGTCTGTTCTTAACCTGAGGTACCCCTTTAGCTAATGGGGCCTCCTGCTGCCATGGCACCGCCGCCGCACGTTTTCTGTTCTTATCCTGAGGTAAAGTTCTCAGCCTGAGGTACTACTTCCGGGTTAGCGGAGTGTGTAACCCGAAGCATTTGTAACCCGAGGGTGTTTGTAACCCGAGGGACCACTGTACTGTACTCGCTTGCTTCTGTATGGAGTAGCAGGTGAATCAGAAGTTCACATGTATCCAGTAATGTTATAGGTGCTTGTTACAGTTCAAGCTTTTATGAACATCCTGGAAAGTTCATAGCAAAAGCCCATCTCGTCCTGCATCCTGTTTTTACAGCGGCCAACCAGATGGAAAGCCCACAAGTTCCCCAATTTTGCTCTCCAGCAACAACTAGTCAAATGCATATTGCCTTTGATATTTGAAGTACTACATAGTCTGTATGATGCATTTAGAATAACCTAGGTGTACGCCTTGGAATGCAACGTGCGAAGTTACGCTTGGCATTTGATACAGTTATTGGCAACATGTTGAAACATTGCTGACCATTCTCTAAAAATGATAGTACAAAAACTGCCATGGGATTTCCATCCATTTACAGTAACAAATTTTCAAACTTGTAGTTGGCTTTTTAAAAAAAAACTGCCCCTGATTAATCAGGCAGAAGATTTTGATTTTTTAAATTATTTGAATACAGTGTGCATATAAATGCATGTTAAAAGAGGCATTCTCATTTCTCACACACAGGAGGAATAGTTCTTCTAAGATGAAAACATATTCTTCCCAAATAGTTTTATCCCATATGTGAATTTATTTGGTAGATTAAAACTCATATAATCAACATTTGGTTGCAGCCTTAATAAATAATAAAAATAATGGTATAATTCATTTCTGTGGAGTCAAGAGATGGAAGGAACAAATGACATAATGGTAAGAAGTAAAGTTGTTCCCCACCCCCAGCCAAAAAACCCCCAGCCAATTCTTTTGTTACTACAAAAAATAATGTTGAGAGGCGTAATTTTACATTAGGCACTCCTCTGCATATTGTACAGATTTGTTGTCGCTAAAACATATCCATATTGAAGTTCTGTTTGCCTTAAACATTTTAAAAATGGGTAAACAAAAAGAGTTATTTTTGATTCACAACCACTTTAATTGCACACACTGAACTATCCAACAATAATACACTCTTACTTTTCAATAAAGGAATATTTGTGAATGACTGAATAAATTCCACAGTGAAACATTTTTTCTACTTTTAAATTTTAATTCCTGTACTTAGGTCATATGTTTTGTGTTCTGTATTTTGCTCCCCAGGTACAAAGGCCCTCTTTTGGATGAAGATGCCCTTAATAAAGCAGCTGAGAGTGGTCTGGCTTCACAAGACTTCTGCGATCTTTGTGTTTGGTTAAGTTCCCAAATACAGCCGTTGTGTGACTTGGAAGAAAGCATCTCCTCAACAGCTGGTAATTTGACATGATTTTAATCTGTTGGAATCTTGTTTGTGTGTTTGTCATAGCTTTCCATTTTGTAATTTATCTATAAACATCTCATGAATGTTTCACTTTGGAAATAAATTTGTTGTGGAGATAATTGAAGTGATTTTTGACATTCTGCTGTGATATTAACACGATTAATGAAGAAAAGTAGTGATGTTTCTACAGTCTTTCTAACCTGGGGAACTGGATGTATTATCGAAGGGGGGAAATTGTGTTTGTTTTGTCACCTGATTGAACAGATCATGCACTCAAAAAAATTAAGAGGATTCTTTTATATTGGTGAACATGACCCTAAAACCTTCATTGCTTGAACCGAAACTCAAACACAAGCACTTTAAAACAGGAAAGGTACCTGACTTCTCCCTACAAAGGCAGACGAAAAGAGACCCGAGTCTTTTTCAGGTGTAATGAATGGAATGCAGCAAACGTATCACATGTGAGTTGAGGCAGTGGAGAGAAACATATTAGCTGCACACATACACAGTGTTGATTTCAGTTGCCTTCTAGCTTGTGAAACTGCAGAGCTGGGAGCCTCTTGTATGCAGCCAGGAGCAGCCTTATATTTGGGTATTTTATTTCTTGTTTTTCCCTCTTCCCCCCTCACAATTTTAAAAGTGTTGTGGCTTATTTATCAGGTCCGGGTTTATATTCAGGCCTAATACACCGGGTAATAGGGTTTATCACTTACTTGTTCTTTGCTGCTGCCAAAATACAGAAAATCAACCCTTGCAACAGAAATAAATGCCAAGTTGTGCTTTCATCTGCCATTCAATTCTGTCTTTTTTTGGCTGACTTAGTTTTTTTCGTGCAATTATTCTGTGTATTTTTGGTCTGTGGCCACAGACATGTGATCTCACGGTGAGTTTGGGGTAGCCCAATGCAAAACTCCTGAGGATCCATGTGGATCCATGCTTTGTAACCATGTTTTTGCACCACTGCGGCCCCAAGCAACAGTGGGAGCATGATTTTTTTGGTGCAAGCTGTAGCCATGGACATGCTATGTGATCTGATGGTGAATTTGGGGTGACCCAGTGCAAAAATCCTGAGGATCCATGTGAATCCGTGCTTTGTAACCAGGCTCTCTGTCCCTCTCTTCTCCCCACTCAGTGGCTCTTCTCCCGCTTTGCTGTTTCAAAGCGAGCAAAGCGAGCCACGGAGGAGGGAAGGAAGGGGAACCATGGATCCTCTGCTCACGACTGCAGCAGATCCCCCCACCATCCGTAGGCATTCGCTCCATAACACGCACAGACATTTCCCCTTACTTTCTAGGAGGAAAAAAGTGAGTGTTATGGAGCAAAAAATACGGTAATTCTGGAGGATATGATATTAGTTCAGAGCATCACATTATTCTGATTTTTAAAATTAGGTTTTTTCCAGCAAAATGTTACCTTCAAAATTTTAAGAGCAATTTGTATGATATTTTTTCTGAATTAGTTCACCTGGTTCCCAACTATTTTTTAAAGCACCAGAGCTGGAACCTGATATTTTTTAAGTGTATGATTTTTTAAGTGTATGACACTTTCTTCCCCTATATGTTTGTTAAAGGTGGTGAAGACGTTGAAAGTTTACAGCTTGAGATGAGTGGCTTTTTAAAAGAGCTGGCTTGTCCATATTCATCACTTGTATCTGGAGAAATTAAAGAGCGGTTAAAAAAGAAAGAAGATTGTCTTAAAGTCCTATGTAAGTTACCAGAGTCTTTCTGTTTGCAGTTTTACAGGTGACTGTTTTGTTTCACGCAGAATTCTGGAGACAGAAGAGGCCCACTTTTTCTGGCCTTGTACAGCCTACATCCAGGCTTATGCATTGCAGTAGCCACATGGCAGCAGAGAATAATATTTGAAACCTGGGTACAATAGTTTAGAACTGAACAAAAAAAGGTCCACTTTATGCTGCCATATATCTGCCTGTCAGGAAGTCACAGGGCTGGTTTCCACTGCTGACTTCTACCCCATTACATTTCTGCATTTATAACTGGGCAGAGAATGGTTTGTGTGACCTGGGCTCTGTTTGGAATCAGGCAAACATTATTTCTAGACCAGATGCTCCCTTTCAAGAGTGCAGCCTGGTTCTTGCTAATCTTTCTCCAAGGAATTGCAACTCTTCCCAGGCCACTCCCCCTCTCTCCAAGCCCCGCCCCTCAATGTCCCTGCCCTCAAGTGCTTTTGCTGGCTGAAATGTGTCATTGGATTGAAACAATGCCTCTTGCTTGCCTGGATAGAAATGGGTGGAAGGGGAGATCTCTGACTTTTGCATGGCAGTGCAGCAAGCAGCGTTCCAAAGGCCAGGCTCCACCCACATTCCAAAGGCCAGGCTCCACCCATCTGTGGCTCCACCCAATTTTGTCTCTGGTCCTGCCAGCCATTGGCATGTGGCCCCTGCAAGGTTGCTCACTGCCTGGTCTCTGTAGCCCTTGGGCTGAAAATGTTGTAACACTGACACGGCTTTTAAATTCTTTTCCATTTTTTCTTCGCATCTTGTTTAATTTTCATAATTACATCCCCACACAGCTATGACCAGAGAGCATTAATCTTACTGGTTTGCTTGTTGAGACATATGCACAGATCCTTCTCTAGCTTTTACGTATCTTTCCCCCCCCCCTCCAGTATTTTTAAGCACAGAACTTCAGGCTTTGCAGATACTGAAATTGAAAGAACGTAAAAGTTCTCATTTGACGAAGAATAATGACATCCACCAAGAAATCCAAATGATCTGCGATGTCCTGGGTCTACCAAAGTCATCACCTTCATCATCTGATATTCCGGTCTTATTAAGCAATATAGAGTCAAAGGTACAGTGTGTATTTTCTACATTGGAGTGCCATTGGTATTAGTTTTGTACACCTGCACAGCCCCAGTCCCCTGTAAACAACAACAACCAAGGAGTTGAAAGGGCATTCTCAGGGTGACAGGCAGATAGGATACCTCTTTTGGAGCTTTTTTTCAGTGGGAACTCACTAGAACTCCGTTCTAACACCTCTTGGGTGAGTTCTGGCACCTCTCAGGTGGTCATTGCCATTCTAAAACATAGAGGGAGGCGCTCATGGTGAGTTCTAACACCCCTTTTTCTAGAAGAATGGCACAGCTAGTAGTTGCTCTGAAATGCCCTATGTTTTTGTTCAACTGGAAGGAATTATGGCATCAGGGGAAGCCTGCATAGTTGTTGCTCATAGAGCCCCACCTTGGGCAAAAGATTCCTGCATTGCAGGGAGTTGGACTACATGATCTTCATGGTCCCTTCCAACTCTACAGTTCTGTGATTTTAGGATTTCCCCCCACCCACCTCAGGTATGTGTGGTAGCAATGGAGCCTGCATTGGTAAGGACAGCCATGCAACCCCTTTCCTCATTAGATGTCCCTTCATGTGTGAAGAAATCTGCACAGGAACCCAGAAAGAAGTCTAGGTGACTGTAGCAGCTCTTATGTGGTAGCTGTTTTGCCTGCCCTTTGACCCTCTCCACGCTGCTGTCCCCTTGCTTACTCTGGCTGCAGCAGCTAGCATCTTCTCACAACAGCAGCTGAAAGAAGAAAAGGTAGTGTTTCACTCCTAAGTGAACCAGCCAGGGAACACGGCATTCTTCCATACTTGGGCACGGGCAGGAGGAGTCAGTCATGTGGTGAGGGGGAAGAAGCATCTGGCCTGCCTGTGTGAATCATCTCATAAGATGACATTGAGAGAAAGGATCCAATTGTCTTTGTGGAAATTTTATTGTACTTTTAGTGTCACTATGTAGATACCCAGGATTCATGTAATTGGTTTTATATAAATATATGTATCTTTTACTTTTTCAGGTTAAGGACATTTTATCAAAAATTCCAAACACTTATGTGGGCAAATCTCTGCTTAAAACTCCTTTGAATTCAGATCAAATGGTAAAAATTAAGTTTTTTCACTTTTATATTCAATAGCATACAAAAAGTGATTGCAGCTTTTTGCTTTTCTGTCTTTATTTGGATCAAAAGTGAATGCATTCTTCTATGATTTTTGACATAAAAGAAGACATTTGTAGCATCTGCAGTTGAAAAGTGTTGTGACTATTTAAAGTATTTTCTGTATTTTAGACTGCTATTGAACTGTTTTGTGCTCCAATGCCATAGGGAAGGTTGGAAAAAATAAACGAGATTCTTCTCAGTGAATATGAATGCCGTCGTCGTATGTTAATGAAGCGCTTAGACGTAACTGTACAGTCCTTTGGTTGGTCCGATAGAGCAAAGGTAAACATGTTTTATCCTCAACTTCCTGGTAGCTGTCTCTCCTGTTCCATAAGCATTTAATTGATGATGCACAATTTGTTAATATAACAGTTTTATATTGTAAATACTAGAGAGAATCCCAGTTACTGGTTTCTCTCTACATTCAGGGGCATAGTGGGGTGTGTTTTTTTAAAGGGATTGTATTATATATTTTTCCATCATAAATACCAGTTCAAAGGTATACATATAGCCAAGAATTATGTGTGCAGCTGCAGTTTCTTTGAAATTCCTTCTGCATGAGTGCTGGCAGCTGAAGAGACAAGCTGCTGCTTAAACTGAAAACTGGCTTGCAACTTTGGCAGCGGGAGCTATGAAGCAAAAACACCACCACCTTAAAATAAAGCTCTGAATGCATGCATGATTCATTCTACCTCCTAACTGCAACCTTCCTCATATATAGCATTACTCAAATAGCGCCAAATGTTGCTAAGGCGTTCGGCCAGCTGTTCCTCTTGTTGCAAGGACCTTATGTGATACTAGACTGCAAAAGGAACATGGCATATTGGACATAACTTAAAGTGCTCCCCGCTTTTGTTTTAATATTTCTGCAACTCTGCAATATGTCTACATTTATTTTTAAGGTGAAAACAGATGATATTGCAAGGATTTATCAACCCAAACGTTATGGACTCTCTCCTAAATCAACTATTTCATTAGCCCATCTTCTAGCAGCTCGTGAAGACTTGTCGAAGATCATAAGAACAAGCAGCGGATCGTCACGAGAAAAGACCATTTGCTCAATCAACAAGGTATGATTTCCCCCTCATGCAAGATGATGATGATGATGATAATAATTTATTACTTGTACCCCGCCCATCTGGCTGGGTTTCCCCAGCCACTCTGGGCGGCTTCCATAGAAACCATAAATACACTAAAATATCACACATTAAAAACTTCCCTGAACAGGGCTGCTTTAAGATGTCTTCTGAATGTTAGGTAGTTATTTATCGCTTTGACATCTGATGGGAGGGCGTTCCACAGGGTGGGCGCCACTACCGAGAAGGTCCTCTGCCTGGTTCCCTGTAGCTTTGCTTCTCGCAATGAGGGAACCGCCAGAAGGCCCTCGGCGCTGGACCTCAGCGTCCGGGCAGAACGATGGGGGTGGAGCTTCAAGCTTTAGGAGCTTTCTTGAGCTGACCCAACCATTCATAATATGCCAGTGCTTGTAAACATGTCTAATGTGTGAAGTCCTTAATAATTGAATGTCTTCCTGGTAATCTAATGAGGTTGGTAACTGTGCACTGAGGAATCTGAATTCCTCTGGCTTTATTATTATTGGATTATTTATTAAATTTGTATACCACCCCTATACCTGTAGATCTCAGGGCGTTGATAGGAGAACATCCCCTGGAAGCCCCATGTGCTCAGTGATGGGGGAAATATGGAATAGAAATGTACTAAAATAAAATTTTAAAAGTTTGCTTCCATTGCAGGTCTTGATGGGAAGAGTACCAGATCGTGGAGGCAGACCAACAGAAATTGACCCACCACCACCTGAAATGCCCCCTTGGCAGAAGAGACAAGATGGTGGTGGTAGAGGTGGAAGAGGAGGAGGTCGAGGAGGAGGGGGTGGCTGGGGGGAGGGGGTGGTGGTAGAGGAGGAGGAGGGGGTGGAGGTTGGAGAGGAGGAGGAGGAGGAGGAGGGGGTTTTCAAGGGAGGGGAGGAGGCTACGGTGGGAGAGGTGGGTATGGCGAGTCATATGGTGGAAGGGGAGGGGGAGGAGGCTACAGGAGATACTGATACCACTAAATGTTAACTGACACAAACTGTTCATTGGGAGTCTGGGATAAATTGTAGCTGACTTTGCCACATGATGTTTGAATTATGTTGGTCATGCTTTTTTGAAAATTACAATATTCGGTTCCCTATAAATCACTTTGCTCATGATAGCTTTCCTCCACATGCGACTTCCTTTTATGAGCTTGCATGTACGTGTGTGCATTTGTCAGAAGTGATGATCTATATGTGGTCTAAAACCATGGTTAGCAGGGAGTTCCTGTGTGCAGCGTCTGTGAGAGACTGTGAGCCCAGAGAACATGCAAGGTTTTCTGTATAGAAGTGATATCTATGTAGAAAATGTTCCATGTGCGCAGTGGCCTTATATGTTTCAAGTGTAAAAAAACGGTTAAAGAAGCAATTGGGTTTTTAGACTCTGAGATCTGGATTTTTATGTAATATGAGAAGCTTTGGAAACATGAGCATTAACAAAATAAAACAGAATATAAAATTAAAATTGATTTTCTTTGTAAGTTTTCAAATTGCAGTGATTCCCTCAAACGTGGGAAGCATTGTATATTAGATTTGGCATCCAATTTCTTCAAAACATTTATGAAAAATGTAGAAATGTAATGTTATCTGATTCAAAATTAAAACTCCAGGAGGTTTCCATGAAAATGCTGGGGGGATGCGAGTCTGTATATATATATTTTTTTTGCAGTGACGATAATTGGAGGTCTGCATTTTTTGGTTGGCCTGTGATTGCCAGGCTATTTCTGCTTGCCAGCTGGCTGGCTGTCAGCAAGCAAACACCTTCTCCCAACAGCAAAAAAAAAAGATTGCTCCTTTCCTGTAGGAAACACTGGAGGAAAGTATTCCAGCTTCACCTGATGCATGGCCAAGTCTCTTCAGCTCCTCACTTCTCTTTCCTGTGAGAAAGAAAGGGGGATAGTGCAAGCTTCTGCTGCCCACCACTGAGCAGCGGCTGCAGGTAGCTCCCCCCCCCTTCTCTTCTCTCCAAGAGGTGAGGCCTCTTGCTCCAAACTTTCCTCCTAACCTTGTAGCCGAGGAGGAGTCGGGGGAGCACAGCAAAACTGCTGGGAGGATACCCACCAACTCTTACTGCTTCTAAGTTGAAAGGAAGGGTTTACTTGATGTGGTGAGCATAATTGCCAATACCATAACCAATATGGAAAAGACAGGACTTCCATAAAATTGACCTATACCGTGAACTTACAATAAAGCTAACTGGTTCCCAGTGTGTTCTACCAGAGTTGGCTGTAGAGAAGGAAGGAAAAAATGTGTGCGCATGCGCCTGGAAATGTTATCCTCCGACCTGATATCATTCTTACACCCTCCTTGCTTCCTGATAAGTAAGCACGGGGGCTGGAAATATTTGACAAAGCTAACCACTAGAGCAAGCAGAAGAATAGGACAGCGGAACCTCGGTTTTCGAGCATCTTGGGAACCGAACGATTCGTAAGCCGAACGCCGAAAACCCAGAAGTAATTGCTTCCGTTTTCAAACGCGCCTCAGAAGTCGAACGGCTTCTGAGGCGCGTTTCTCCGTTTTTTCAATGGGTTTTGCCCACCGCCCATTGATCCTTGGTTTTTGGATATTTCAGAAGTCGAACAGTCTTCCGGAATGGGTTACGTTCAAAAACCGAGGTTCCACTGTACCTCAGTTGGGGCCTCTTTCCTGCATTTCTTTCCCTGGGAGAAAAACGAGTTTTTGTCCTTCTTCCTTGTATACAGAGTTATGTACACACATATCCTAAGCTCATTCTAGCTGTTAGATGGTACAGAGTTGGTGTTTTTAGTTAGCTGTATATGGAGACGAAGTTACACAACTATTCCCAGCTAGAAGGAAAAAAAGCGAAGGGTGGAATATTACAAATATTTTCTCTGCCCAAGCATGATCAGCTTGCCAGATGGAGACACCCCCTCTCCTCCCCTACATGCTGTTCTGGGGTTCTGTGAGCCAGAGGTTGGGGAAAGCCTGAAAGTCTTTTAACAGGGCTTCCCTTGACAGCATTCATTAAGTAAATTCCACCCTAAGACATCTACCCTGTTTTTTTTTAAAATATAAACTTTTTTTAAAAAAACATTCCTTACCCTTTGCAAATCACAATATATTTCAAAACGGTAAAATACTGGCAGTTTTGATCCCTATACAGGTGTGTCTTATCAACCTAAAAAAAATGCAATAAATTAAACTTGCTTGATTTTTTAACGTTTCTATAAATCAGTTTTTTGTATGTTTTAAACCTGAACTGTATTTTGTGAAACACATTTTCTGTAAATAGTTTTGTGTTGAGAGCAATTCCATTTATGTTTGAACACTTTCCTTTTAAAAATGCTTGTGGACATAGTGAAAACCTTGTGCTTTTTGACAACCAACTGGAGAGTATTTTGTGTTTAAGAAATAGGTTGTTTACACCTGTGAGCACTGAGAAATAAAGTACTGTAAAGCTGTCATCAGTGTAGCTTTTTGTACATTGAATACTACTGGCTAGCTACAGTATGCAAGAGGGGGCAGGCCTGTGATCAGGAACCAGCAGTATGGGGAGTGGCAGTGGCAATGGTGCTTGAAATTAAGTAACACAAAGTGGTAGATCAGGGCAACTTCTATCTTTCTTCAGTCTTTTCTGGAGCAAGCTTTTCTGGAACACTGCATCATAAGCAGTGTTTTCCCATGTCTCCCTTCACAGGTGGCAGTTGCGCGCGCGCACACACACACACACACACACACACACACCGATCTCCAGGAAGAGACAGTCATAGCTCAGTGGTAGAACATCAGCTTGGCATGCAGAATTGTGCAAATGTAGAGCGGCCATGGTCAATTTTTGCATGCAGCCCTAGAAGATGTGGCCCCTCAGGCTGAAAAAGATGCCTCATCTCTGGTAAGAATACAAAAGCCCTTCTGGATCATGCCAAAAGCTAGAGGCCTATAAGAATCTCAGAAGCATTTGTGAGTCTCAGCAACTGATATTTGGAGGCAGAACATAGCCACTGACATCCTTATCCCCCATGAATTAGTTTATTCCTCTTTTGTTGTTGTTTAGTCATTTAGTCATGTCCGACTCTTTGTGACCCCATGGACCAGAGCACGCCAGGCACTCCTGTCTTCCACTGCCTCCCGCAGTTTGGTCAGACTCATGCTGGTAGCTTCGAGAACACTGTCCAACCATCTCGTCCTCTGTCGTCCCCTTCTCCTTGTGCCCTCCATCTTTCCCAGCATCAGGGTCTTTTTCCAGGGAGTCTTCTCTTCTCATGAGGTGGCCAAAGTATTGGAGCCTCAGCTTCAGGATCTGTCCTTCCAGTGAGCACTCAGGGCTGATTTCCTTAAGAATGGATAGGTTTGATCTTCTTGCAGTCCATGGGACTCTCAAGAGTCTCCTCCAGCACCATAATTCAAAGGCATCAATTCTTCGGCGATCAGCCTTCTTTATGGTCCAGCTTTCACTTCCATACATCACTACTGGGAAAACCATAGCTTTAACTATACGGACCTTTGTTGGCAAGGTGATGTCTCTGCTTTTTAAGATGCTGTCTAGGTTTGTCATTGCTTTTCTCCCAAGAAGCAAGCATCTTAATTTTGTGGCTGCTGTCACCATCTGCAGTGATTCCTCTTTTAAAGCTATACAAATTGGCGGCCATCACTACAACTTGTGGCAGCAAATTCACTCATTTGCCTATGCACTGTGTGAAGGTGCTTTCTTTTGTCTGCTCTGAACCTTCCAACATTCAGCTTCATTGAATGGCTCCAGTTTCCAGCTTTATGAGAAAAGAAGAAAGAATTTTCTTTATCCATTTTGTCCACGTGATGCATAATCAGGAGTTTGAAGTAGATTACCGGGAGAAAGCGAAAGTTAAAAAGGCAGATCAAGAGATTATCATAATTCACCTGAAGCTTGGTTCTCTTACAAATGTGATCTGTGTACGGACAGCTGTTATTTATTCTCTGGCATCATGTAAGAACTAGCATGTTTCTAATTTGATGGATGCAGTTAATTCTCAAGCCTTCATGTCTGTCTGATGGTAAATACCAGCTGTCACCACGTGGGGTGCACCTGCATTAAGAAACATTCTCTGCATGGAACTGAGAGAGGCAGGATGAAAATCTCAGCACCTTATGCCAAAAATAATTATGGGAATTGCATCTGGCTGATCAGCTAAGAACTGAAAGTATTTGGAGGCTTTTGCCAGACCCAAGGCTACCACAGATAGTTTAAGAACAGAGCACAAAAAATTACTGTGTAACTTAATTTTAATAAATATCAAACAAAAAAATTGCACTTTAGCCAACCTTTATAGCCTGTACATTTTATAGATCAGTTTCTTTGATTGTCATAGTTTCACATATATCACGGTCAATGAAAGCAATTTATTTAAAGAAAAATAGCACACAATTGGTGTTATAACGTATTCCTAATACTTTTTTTTATTTTACTATTTTCATCTTGTTTGGACAACAGTAAATGAGAGGTGACTGGCATAAATATAAGACAACAGGCCTAACAAGGTGCCAAGTTTGCGTTGCTTTGACTTGTGTATTTGGCACAAAGAATGCTGATGGAAAGACGGTGAGCTAGGTCAATACCACCCACGGACAGCTGAATGTCCAGATACTGTCTTTCAAAAAGTTCGAAATGGCTGCCATGCGTGTGCTAGAGCAGTAATACATGCACTTGCTTGCACTGGAGATCACCCATACTCATGTTTCCTTGACAAAACCGTACTTGTTAACAGAACTGTGCTTGTGGCACCAAAGCCTTGCCACAAACCACGCATGCAGCTGCTTGAGAGGATAAAACTACAGCATAAGCTTATGGGAGTTCACCCCAAGATAAATCCCAGTGAGCTCCACAAGGCTCATTGTCGTGCAACTGTCCCCAGAATTATGACCTTCATTTATTTTATGTACTCTGGTCTAGCCAAATATCCTGAGTCAATATAAAAATACTGAATGACGAAGCAGTGCAGAATCATAAAAACCAATCGTTCACAGAGGTTAAATTTCAGCCCAACTCAGAAAGGCAACTATATCAAATGCTCTTCAGAATAGTAACAGAGGTGGCTCTCTGGGAAGAGTTGCCACTGAAAAGACTGTCGTCTGAGTCACACCCTGTTTATACCTCAGATAGCTGTGGCATTCTTAGCAGAGAGAGCCTCATTGGATCATACGGGATGTGAAGGGCTTCCTTCAGATAATAAGTCATTTAGGCCTTTACAAGTCAGTACCAGTTCTCTGAAATCTGCCCACAAATTAATTAGCAAACCAGTCCAAATGTAGCTCTTTTAGGGCCAATGTAATTTGCTGCTTCTTACTATTTCTTATTAATAGCTTGGTCTGCTGCACTCAGGACAAACTGAGCTTTCCACACAGTCCTCAGCGGCATTTCCCCATTATGCTAATCAAATCTAGGTTTACCAATACATGCATGTTGAGGGCAAGGTCTTAGTTTCCTGGGAAAGGGTACAACTAGTGCCCCACGTGTAACTTGAAAAATGCACTCCTACTCATCACTGCTCACGTGGGCCCAGGTAGTATTTCCAAGCAGCATCTTACCCAGGGCAGGTGCTCCTATCTACTACCATATTTACTAATAATTAACATGCTTGTCTTAAACAAACTGATTATCAACCTTCCTCAATCTCATAACTCACTCTAAGCACCCATTAAGAATTTTGACTGCCTCACTGGGATTTGAGAAGGTAAGCTATAATCAGGTACCACTTGCCTACTAATGACACTGTCATGCAAAACCTCACACCATTGCCATGCAGATGGTAAAACAATGTGTGAGACAAAATGGAATCCAAGTCCTATGGCTCAGTTAACCACTCCATAAACATTCAAAGATTCTTACAGAAAGTTTAAGGTGAAATCCTACTGTCACATAGGGTTTAGGGGGGTGTCCTCTCCATGTTTTGGGGCAGAAAACAAAGCCTGCCCCAGAGAACACTTCATTGCAACTGTGGAAACCACTGCCATCAGTGCTCAGATGACAAGGAGGAAGGGAAATGTGTGTGTTACGAGTAGACCAACTAGTCTAATACTAGTTTTGACTGGATACTTTGTAGGTTTGCCCAGAAAGAAAACGGCTGCCTGTGAGTAGACTGCTGAAGGAGGGCAAATGTTTGCAAAGGAAAAAGCAAACTTGCCAGATGTGTCAGTTTAGCTTTTCATTTCTATGTTCCCTAGATTGTTCTTGTTTAGTGTATAGCTTCTAAGAATCAACACAGTTCACATAGGTTTTAGAAAATCATGCTTGGTCAATTTTAAATATTACATATATATGTACAGTTTGTAAAGTGTAGTTACTTTATCAGATCAGCTAACAATAAGAACAGGTGCTAGTTCCTTCAACTCACAAATTTACATTACAGAAGCTGCTCACATAAATAATCTTACAAGCCTCTTACTCTAGGCTTCGTAAGTGAAAGTACAAAAAAAGTTATTTAACCATGAAATTACTCCAAAAGGAGTAAGCATACACAGTGGAACACAAAGTACAAACACCACCATTTCTGGGCACATCATAATGTCATTCTTGTAAAAAATAAATTATAGATTCAATTTGAAGCCAGAGATTTAACCAGAAGTTGTGAATAAATATTAACACAAACTACAGAAAGGGTCACAAGTGTCTGATACCATATTTTACAGTGCATCATTTATGTGTCAGTTCTAGAATCATGATAAGATGGAAATCTAAAGTGATTTTCGCAAGACAACACAAAGCAGCTTTTAGCATCTCTAATGCTATTTGTCCACAGGTCTAACGAATACGTATTGATTGTGCAGGGCTACAGTTTTGAATTATTAATCTTAATTATGCCAACCCTCCAAGGGCAGCAAGGTTGGCTGTAGAGGTAGGGGGTGTATCCAGCACTGCAGTGTCATTCGCATAACAGGCGCCTGTGCAAACAATAACACTTCCCCTCTTCCTTTCCTACTGCCTGTGGTCAGCCCCCCCCACCCCACCCCTGGCCTCATGCCCTCAAAATCTGCTCCAAATGCTTGTGAGATATTCTGGAGCAGATTTGTTTTGGGGGAGGGTGTGCCAGTGGTCCATGAGCAGATTTCGGGACCTTTGTGTGTGTCAACCTTGTTCGCCATGCACACTGAGAGCTACACTGAATTCCACCCCTTGTTATGAAGGCAGCAAGAGTAACTCTTGCCATAATTCCAAATGCCGTCATTTCCGCCAAACAAAGGGCAAACTGTCTGAAACCTGTTGACAAGGCATGCATATGCCCACAAGTACTAATATCAGGCAGGACAGGGAAGACTGAACAGGAATACCGCTGTTTAAAAACCTGCCGCTCTGCATACGTTTGAATGCATCGCCCTCAAAGGTCCCATTGCCTTTACTGTCTTCCTGGCTACAAGCAGTCTCCGTGTTCCCTGCTGTCCAATATGTGGTTTCTTCGAATGCTGAGGAATTCAATCTTCTTATGTGCCTGTTTAAGCCGTAGCTTCAAAGCTTCATTCTCTGTTGTAAGGATGTTTCTCTCCTAAGCAAAAAACACAGGTTAGTGTCATCCAAGCAGAATATACTTTAAAGAACAGTTTCAGTATCTACAGTCCTCCTTAGCAGCAACACTTGCTTGACTAGCATCTTATTCTCCAGGTTCACTTAACTATTATTCAAATTATAACAGCTTGAACAGTAAATGGAGTGAAAAATAAACAGCTGTCTGCATAAGAGAGGAGCAATTACTGCTACTGCATCTCTCAAGAAAACGAGACATGCTCTCACGTGCAAAAGACAACATTTAATCAAGACTCTAAGAGAACACATCTGTCTAATATATAGATTTTTTGCCTTATCCATTGTAGGCAATGCGAAGGGAGAAGGAAAATGTCGCTCCATCCCAACCTGGCTACAAGAAAATGGCAGAGGAATGGATTTGGTGGTAGCTCTGCCATTCTCTCCCCATCCCAGGCAATGAGATTACAAGCTGGGATTGCTTTGTTAACAGGCTTCCACCCCAATGACACTCATTAGGCAGCCGAAGTATCACATCCCTTATAACTATTTGACATTTAGCAGTAGATATATCAGGCGTGTTACCTGCCAACTGAACAAAATTGAACTTGGGTCTTCCCAGTCTATTCTGACTTTCTCAAACTGGTTCCCATTTGTCATAGTGGTAATTCTGCACACTGTGTTATTTATTACATGTGATTCTTAGAAACTGTTTGCAGTACCTGCTCTAATTCCTGGTATGTGGGTTTTAGAGCACAGGGCTCCTGCTTTGCTTTTTGACTGCAGTCCTTGTTTTCCCATTTCACATACGCCTTTTTACGACTAAGAACCGGGCTGGGACACGGCGACAGTGGAGTAGGCTGCAGAAGTGTGTTTTCAGGTAGCGTTCCTGGCTCTCTCTGTTGCCTGGGGAGCCCATCACTAGGTGCCACCACTAAGTCAGTTTGTGTACTCTTGTGTACCACAGATGGCTTTAGCCTCACTGAGATCTTCTGAGCTGACACCCCCATAAGCATAATAGTTCTATCTTTGCTCCCTTCACTGTGCTCCACAACTTCTCCGTTAGGAAATGGAAATCCTCCCTCCTCCAGACCTGTAGGGGATGGGAAAACGAGGGGATGGGAAACACACAAATATATAAATATGGGAGATGAAAGCAGGGCAGTGGTTAAAATGAGTTGCATGCTATCCTTTAAACTTAATTATCAAAGTAGGTGAAATGCTTTGCTGATATAGCTACCGTATTTTTTGCTCTATAGGATGCACTGGACCATAGGACACACCTTGTTTTAGAGGGGGAGAACAAGAAAAAAAAACGATCCCCCTCTCTGCTCAGTGCCCCTCCAGCAAAGTGGCGGGAGAAACGGAGTCCCTTCCATTTCTCCCCCCGCTTGGCTGAAGGGGCGCTGCACAGCTCTCCCTCTCTGCTGAAGCCAGGAGAGTCTTGCTCTCCCGGTTCAGCAAAAGGAAGAGCAAGACTCCTGGCTTCAGCGAAAGGAACCTGAAGCCCGCGGAGCGCAGCGGGAACTCGCACTGCACTCCAAAGGCTTCAGCGAAAGCAATGCGAAGCCTCCGGAGCATGGACGGAGCGCTCCCTCTGCGCTTTGGAGGCTTCGCATTGCTATTGCTGAAGCCAAGGAGCCTGCATTCGTTCCATAGGATGCACACACATTTCCCCTTAATTTTTGGAGGGGGAAAAGGGTGTCCTATAGAGCGAAAAATACGGTACATATCATTCTTCCCAGACTTCTCTTTCTATCCATTGTTGCCCACTTACTTAATTAATATCACTCCTGCCTGCATTGGTGAAGTGAAGAAACAAAACATCTACATGATCCGTAATGTGGAGATAATAATATAGGGCTTTTGCAAGCATTACTGAAAATTTATTGAAAACATGTATATCTTGCTATTCCACTTTTTAAAGAAAGGCACGCAACGTGGTTTACAACTAGGATTCTAACTTCCATAATCCCGAGTTAGCAGGACCAGTAGTCTGATATGATGAGATCTGAAGTCCAACAACACCCAGGGACCCCAGGTTTAAGAAAGGCTGCTATAGGTGGAAATGGTGTAGGAGTGGAATGAAGTTGGGCTAACCCAATTTCTTCATTCGTGAATTCTTCATAAGAAACTTTCTCACCATGCATGTGTTCTTTGAGCCCCATGGGACAAAGACTAGATGCAAGGGCTGAAGCAGGGCTGTTGTCTACTGCTGGGACTTTGGCTCTTCTCTTGCATTCGAATACAACCAGATCTTTGCATTGCTTGTGGCAGTTCATTCCACAATCTGCAAACAAATACAAACAAGGAAAGGTCATTGGCTTGAAAGCAAAAACTAAGCAGGGGGAGGGGTGTCTTTTCTCATACTAATATTTCATTTCCCACCCCATGAAGCCCCATGAAGTTCTTTCCTCTGTAGAAACCCCACAAAATGCTAAAAAAAAACCCCAACTTACAGCACAAGTCGATGCATGATTGACTCTACTATGTCCAATGTTGCTTACTCCCTAGTAAGTGTGATTCGGATTGCAGCCATAGTTGTGATAAGCAAGGACGGAGTACTTTCCTTTACTATGTGTTACTTCTTGTGCCACTTTCATATTTATTAATGCCATATTTAATTCAGATCACATGGCTGTGTTACATTCTGCTGCTGCTTAGTATCCAAGCAATACAATCACCTACCATTTAATGTCCAAAATGTGTGAGTGTAGGAGGGAATGGTTCCTTAAATTATCTAAGCTGTTTTCTAGAAGGATGCAGGATCTGAGAGCTGGAAGTAGCCAGGGGGTGGGGAGACACTGGGGGTGACTTTGAATGTTTCTAGGTGGTTTGTGCTAGACCCTCTGAACTTCCTACAGATTGAGACTTTGTCTCTCAGCTTAGTCTTAGGTCTATTTCTCAAAGGAAAAGGTTTCACAACACAAAATTGGGTCATGGATATGGTAAGGCACTCTTAGAGTAGAACCACAGCACTGCTGTCATTTATAAGCCCTTTAAAATCATTAACAAAAGCAGAATGTGTTACCTTTGCATCTATATCCTTGTTTAATAACTCCCCAGAGCTGAAAATTCAAGCAAAGACATATTATCACACTACAGTGAACTTAAGACAGTAGACTCATACCTTTCCTCAACCTCAATTCACGACTCCATTTTGCAAAGTCATCCAAACAAAATGACCCATCCGCACATGTGTTCTGAGGTTTCTGCTTCTCCTTTTCAAAAATCAATGCTTTGCCCCATTAAGAACAGACTAAATCTCCAAATAGAAAATCCAAGTGCTTTTTATTCTGGGGGTACTCAAAGGTATGCAGTACCCACAACTTTTTAAAAAAATGTTAAAAGTGTAGCACTTACTGTGACAACTTCATGGTACCTGCACCTTCCTTTCTTAAAAAAATATTAAAATGCACTAGAAAATCCTATGCAAGAGATAAGGGTTGCTATCATCCACGGAGCTCCAAAACTATCAAAATCTAAACCACAATCACAATCTACACTCCCTTGGATTCTTAATTGTCTAAGAAAATTACCAGCATGTTTTACCCACCACTTTTGCTGAATTTATAGTATTCTGTTCCATTTGGAACTGCTTAATATGTTTTATAATTGTGATGGTTTTATTTGTTTTTATAATTGTAGATTCTATTGTTGTAACCCGCCATGGGATCTTACAGTGTCGGGAGGGTAGAAAATCTTAAAAGAAAAAAGAAAAAGAAAAGAAAAGCTATGGTTCCTCCTCATTCGGCAGCTAATAGCAATTATACTATTAAAAGCTAAAGGGGCAAAGTTAATTTAGCCATGCTAACAGCAAACTAGAGTTGATGCTATAATAAAATATTTGTGGATAACAGTTTGCTGCACGCAGCATGTAGCATTATTTACTTTTTAAAATACCCCCTAAACCCAAGCTTACAAATCCAGCGCAGTTGTCACAGAACGTAGGCTTCAGGTAAGTGGTCTCTTGGAAGTTGTGGGCGAAGCCAAGGCCTAGTTTAGAATAGATTGAGCTGGCCCTCATGAAGTAAGCTGTGATTTCATCCCTGCTAATCAGACCTTCCCTGTAAAAACATACACATACACGCAAGGAAGAGGGTCATTTGAGGTTTAATACTGCTAAAATCACAAGGAGTTAACAGTGTCTCCTGCTCTGTTTCACTACACCCACACACACTGCCAACCCTCTGGTAAATTAGAGACTAAGGTAAATGCATTAATTCATTTTCACAGCAATGAACATCTAGAAATATATTACACGCACACACACACATACACCCCACATGATCCTGTCAAGCAGGTCATGAGTTCTGCAGCAACTCATTTAACATTCAACAAAAACAGCTTAAGGAGCAGGCTTCACAATTGATTCTGAACACGCTGCACAATTATCGAAACAAAGGAGAAGCCCAGGGAATACTTCCTAACACTGAACCTTCAAATTGCTCTTTACAATTTCTAATGCCATTTGGGACAATGAACAGTCCTGGAGGAATATGGAAATTGCACAACAGGGGACTCCTCCCCTAAACATAAAAGAAGAACGTTGTTCCAACATTAACTCTTTGAAGGTAAGCAGGTTCCTGACTTGTAACTGTTGTTCTGAAAATAATCGCACAAATGGGCGATTTACCAATTGGAGGGAAGCTCAAGCTAGTGGTCTTGAGACACACACACACACACACCACCCACTTCCAGAATGCAGCCCAGCTACCCACAATTCTTCAGTCCATTCATCTGAGTGGGAAGCACATGGGTGCAAGTTAACCTATCACGGCAATTAAAAAATGGAAGAGCAAAAGCATAAATGTTGTTTGGATGTACACACCTGTCCTTGTCCATTACACAAAATGAGAAAGGAAAGCTTGCTGCAATCTTCTCAAATTCTTCCTGAGAAATGTACCCATCCAGATCATGGTCGTAATTTTTGAAAACAGACTGAACAGAACAAAAGGGGGGAAATTAAATGGAACCAACTAAAAATCATTTCAGTTTGGTTTTTTAAAGCACTTGCTACAAGTTAATATTATTCGAACAAATACTACAATGTTCTATGGTAATTCAATTTCAAAATTAAATGCACTTTAGTACAGGCATTATATAATGCAACAATGGCAACAGCTTGTGGGCATATCTATGAGTTCCTCTCATAGGAAAACCTGTGCAGTGTTTTATGAGACAGATTCTTGACTAGCATTTAGGTATATTGGAGTAAGGTAACTTCTGCAAGCTGCTCTGACTATGTTCTCTGCACATAAGTACATATGCTGCATACATATGGCAGCTTTGTCAAGTACACACCTTACTCTAAGACTTCATTTAGCTTACACAACTTGACAAAGCACACGGTATGGCTCCCTATCTGCTTTTCTCTCATTCTCCTCCTTCACTCTTTGAACATCTTGTAAATTCTCTTACATTTCCCCCACTCTCACAGTTTTCTCCCCCCCGCTTGGGCACAGTAAATTGCAAGTTATATGCTGCAGTGGGGGGTCCTATATCTAGAGAGAAATCTAGGTTATCTCTCTAAAGCATAAGTGACAGTACTGAGATTCTTATACCTGGGCTACACATTATGGTCACCACTGAGATCAGCAGCCCCATGTTGTGTTTCCCACCTCCAGCTGTTTACATCCACAGCACTCACAGTATGAAGTGAGGACACCATCAGAAAGCATGTTTCACTCTTTTTGCTCCATGCTTTTGGAAGCTGAGAGCAGAGAAACCTACTGCATGATGGTCCCACTTAATGCTGCAAGGAGAATGGGAAATCTGAAATGGGTGGGAAACTTGCAACAGGGATATTTACTCCCATGGTGAATGTACCATGAATGTACCATGAGCCAAATCAGGCCTGCAAGATGTTAATATAAAACAAGCATGATAAACAATTTGCATACTTACATCTACCATTCTCTGAACGTGTTTGCTAATGATCTTTGGGTCAGGTTTTGGGGCTACACCAGAGGCCCAGTCTGCTACTACTGGCGGTTTAGAAGGCGTCAAAGGCTAAAATAAGAATTATATACATCTGCATTAAAACTTCCTTTTCATGTTATTGAAAGAAAAATAAACTTTTGTTAAGAGCAGTTATTCCTAGATGTTTTAAAATATCCTTACCAAATAAATATTAAGCATTGCATGTATATTGAAAATCTAAGTAAACCAATGAGACACAACTAACTTGGTGCATCCTAGTTGTATTTATCTATAATCCCACCTTTCGGAGCAGAGCTCACCCAAGGCAGCTCACACAATCATAAAAGCACAATGACTGATTATATAAAAATAATTGAAACCAGAAAAGGCAGTAACAGTTCTTAAGAGGTCAATTAAAACATATAACAGAGAGTAACGTGAACTATACTTGGTTATGTAACTCTCTAGAAATTTTTTTTAAAGAAAAATTGCTTCAGAAACCTCCGTAGCATAGAGGCCATGTGCACCTCTGAGGGGAGAGAATTCCACAGTCTATATGCTATTAACCTCACTCTGATTATATCATTCTCACAAGGATGGAAGATACCAAATTACAGTTGGCAAGTTGCACTTTCCCTACATTTGAAATATTCACATTCAGATGCTGTCACATAGAATACAGAATTGTAGAGTTGGAAGGGACGACGAGGGTCATCAAGTCCAAACCCCTGTGATGCAGGAATCTTTTGCCCAATCTGGGGCTCAAACCCATAGCCCTGAGGTTAAGAGTCTCAAGTTCCATTGCTTAGCTATATCCTGGTGTGCATTGCAATACAGCAGCGTTGGAACCTGCAGTGCACCTGCAGGTGGCAGGTTTGAAGGAAGGTGGCTGTCATCTGGAGCCTCCTCTAGTCTGTTAATCACTCACTGGGTGACAGCAGAGCCGAGCCAAAAGCCCATCAGTGCCCTGAGTTTGGAAGTCCCACCCATGAAGAACTGAGATACTGGGTTGCTTCAGCAGCTACTGGACTGACTCCAAAGAGAGCAACTCAAAAGGGGATTGGAGAGTAGCCAGGCCCTCTCTTCTTCTCCTCCCTCCTCTCCCCAGATGGTTTTCTGGCCTTTTGTCAAGCCTGTAGTGGGAGGCCAGATTAGGCTTGAGGAGTCCTGGGGAATGATAGTCACAATATATGCTGTTGTCACTATCCCTGGCTTTGAGAGGGCTTGGTTTGGCTCCCTTTTGACCTCCTGCCTGGCTTGTGGTGAAATACTGGTTTGAGGGTTCTACCATCCAGATAATTTGTGGCCTTTCGGTATTTATCTCTGCTCTGGTATACTGGTTGCTAGGTTAGATTTTCAAAGCAGTAAATATTATATTTTTTTCTTGCTAGTGCTGAACTTCTTTAAAATTTGCTGATATAATGTGCTCCAAAATGATTTTGATGCATCTGGGCAACAAATATTGTTATTTTGCTTGTTTGAATTAAGGATCTTGTGCTTACTGAAATGTATAAATGGAATAGGTTACTGAGTGGTTTGCTATGGCATTATTCATGGAAATATTACAGAGCTGAAAAGCTATTGCTGCAAGTTAAGTGGCTCCAAGTAATTCAAAGCACAATTTCTTTGCAGAAAAGCAGGATATAAACCCAAACTAATCTAGTAAAAATAGCACTGTTAAGTACCAACATGCAGGTTTAATGCATGGAAACTATAACTAAATTGCTAGGATTCTTACTGCAGCCCGGTGACTTTTTGGCTCTCGTGCATATGAAAGTTCATAGATTTCATCTTCCGTGTAGTAAAGATCAAGGGACAGCTGAAAACAAACACAGAAACAGTTTACTCTCTAAGTTGCTGCAGCTTCTCTGGCAAGAGCTTGTCTTTTTAAAAGAAGTGTAACTGAAGCATTTTATAATGCATACTGAAATGGTATAAGCTTATGGTGTTGTTGTGTTGTTGTTGTTTTAAAAAATACGATTGTTTTGATTTTGACTTTTTTTAACGGAAAGTATTAGACGTACCTTTTAAAAGAAAGAGGATCAACAATGGAATTTAAAATCCCATTTCCAATAATACATAAGTAATTTTTATACTTCAAGTTGGCAGCTTTCACTTAAGGTGCCTTAACACTTATATTGTGAAAGATCACAGATCTGTCCTTTTTGGATGTGTCAAGTTATTTTGCTAAAATGTAATGGGAAGCAAATGTTTTGTGGACCAAAGTCCATGAGAGAACAACTTGTGATAGCAGTGGCATGCGGGGTGAAGCATCTTACAGCTTCAGTTCTTAGAGCCAATTCTAATCTTAGTGTTGCAGAGTAGATACTCCCAAAAAAGGTTTCCATGAGTTTAGAGCTCCATGAGACCATGCTGATATATTCACTCCCACACAGGTGAGCTGCAGTGTGTGGTATGTACCCATGAGACACCTACCATTCACCCTCCACTCTCAGAAGTAGGCCACTGGCATAGAAAGTTACATGGAATCTGGCAATCTAAGAAGGCAACTGTGCATCTATTCTGGAACTTCTTTTAGCTGTAGGACACCCTAGATAAGTGATGTAGTTTCGCATTGCAACTGAACCACGACAGTACAGTATCTGAAAGGGCCATAATGAAGCACCATAAATTAGCAGCATTATGTTAGTGAATGATCTCATGGAAGTGGACTCACCAGCCCTCAAGAAAACAAGTAGGCACACACTCAGTGGTTTTCCAAAAATCACAAGGCCTATCTCCCTATTGATATGTCACTGTACTGCTGAGTAAAGACCTACAATTCACTGTGCCAGGAAACTTTTGGGTATCACATGACAGGGCAGAGTCTCAGAGATGTGCTCTCCCAAGCCAACATTCTCAGCACGTTCACACTCCTGTCTCAGTGATGTCTACGCTAGCTTTGTCATGTCCACAGAAGTGAAGGTGGCATAATCCCCAAGGAGCCGTCTTCAGGCACCAGACCAACTGGGCATTACAAAGATGTCTGCATCTGTGACACGAAGGCTAGCAACATTAACCCTGCCATTTAAGCAGTCCCTTGCAGATGACTGCAGTGGCTGGAGACAGACAGTCAGGTCATGTATCCAGAGGACAAATGACCACTGGGAGAATGGCACAGGGAGAAAAAATACCATGGTGCATCTGCAGCAGCACACCTGGACGCATTTTGTTGCACCCAGCTGCAGCAAAGCATGTCTCCCGTATCTGTCTCTACAGCCATCCCAGGCACTGTAACCTTACAACAGTATGACTTCACTCCCAAAAGCGCATTCCGCCGTTGTATCCCGAGACAGACAGATGCCAACAACATCATACTGGTCTACAACAACAACATCATGAGCAAAGACCTACAGGGAACAAATACCCTGCCTACCTTAAAATTGCTTGCCTGGTTTAACAGTCCAAGCTTTCTGACATTTAAATAATTCCACAGGATGGGGAAAAGTAAAAGACATTTAAAATACGATCTGTAAAGACGGAGACTTACTGTGAGGAGATGAACAAGATCCTTGTTAGCTTCCAGGGGAGGGCCTATCTCTTGCAGCTGTATCAGTTCATTGACATGATTATACAAAGAATACAATTTATGTATATTAACTTTTTTGTCTTCCAAGTAATCTGGCATGGCCTCATAAAGGGAGATCAAGTCTTTTAGATGTACTCCAAGGATAGGGATCTTAAAGTTACTGCACTCGCTGTAAGCACGTCGATAATTATCATAGTTCCTACAAGATGATAGCAGTTCTGTCATTTCATTAAACACCTAAAGAAAAAGAAAGAAAAGCATGAATTCACTAGGCTCACCGTTAGGGCCACTTTAGAACCACATCACCAGCAGATGAATTTCGCATACTTGCCGTTAAATTCAATGTAAATATACTGGCTGAATTTCAAGCCATGGCTTAGGACTAATGATTCCCCCCTCCCCTTCCCTTATCTAGTGTGGATGACAGTGGATGACATTAGAATCTTATACGTCTGTTTTAGATTAACTGCAGTTTAGCATAGCATCCTAATCCTAAACTGTGGTTAATCTTAAATACCGTGAGTTGAACTGAAACTTGCTTGTTTCAACTCGCCACTGTCCATGTTCAGAAACACAGTAAACTATGCTTAATCTAAAAACAGAAGTGAAGGATTCCAAACTCCTCCTTGCAATCCCACTGGAGGAGAAGGGAGGGGAGCTCACAAGTCTGAGGCTAGTTGAAATTGTTTCTCATGATGCTCAACTATGGTTTAGTGTTACATCTGAATGAGGCCACCACCATGAGAGTTGTGCAGTCTTACAGCACATGATAGACAACTTCTCTTTTTATAAATCAGGCTTTAGCTACAGTGGCAAAACCTCAACAAACTCTATTAATTGAGCAATATTTCCATTTTGGTGGCATAAATAATAAATGAGTATATTTATTGAGAGAGGGACCCATAACTGTGAAAGGAATATAGTCTGTTAGCAAATCTGATTTCATTATTGTGAATCACTTTTACAATTCTTATGGCTGAAAAGCAGTATACAAATATTGCAAAATAAAGACACGGAACAGAGGGAAGAGTTCAACGAACCTTATGAATATCATGAGGAACATGAGAACTTGTTTCTTTAAGTCTAGAGATGGAACTATGGCAAAGGCCACCTATCACAGCCATTAATGTATTGAAATTCTGCAACTGATGAAGTTTCTGTATAAAAAAAAATAGGAACAGTCAGTATTCAGTTTTTGATTTTGATACTTCTCAACTGACATGATAGAACAGAGAGACCTGACCTCAATGAGATTTGACTGCCCCCCACCATTTAACACAATTTAACTCAATGTCAGTATCCCACATTTATATATTTCGCCCTTCCCAAATTATTCTAAATAGGTGCCGGGGGGGGGGATTACTTCAAAAAACTCAAAACAATTTACAGCTGACCTGGGCCACATGAATGAATTTGATGAATACTTCAGCTCGAAGCTGCGGTGTCGGCCTATTGAGTACCATTAGCTGCACCCACTGGGAGATACCGTTACAAAGAGCAATTGAGCGTTCCATGGTTGGATTGTCCTTCACACAGCCATTCATGATGTAGTTCTGATAATCTGGAAGCTTAAACGAAAAGAAGGTTGGTGGAGCAAAATTAACATTAATTCTGCTTCTATTACTGTATTCCTTATATCCCCTGTTTTTGCAGTGAGACAGACCTCTAAAGCAGGCATGTCCAAAGTCCGTTGTGGGGTCCTAATTCAGCCCGCCGGTCCGTTTAATCCGGCCCCTGTGGCCCTCTTTGAAAAAAGTTTGGACACCCCTGCTCTAAAGTCTTTAAAGGCTATGTGATACCTAATGTGTAGAGGTGTCCTGCTTACTTTTGAGCATCTCCATCCCCAAACTGGACATTTTTAATAGCTGCTTAGAAATTCTCCACATGAGCAAAGTTATCCACACGGCAAGCTGCTCCATACATTATTTCTAAGCAGTACATGGAGCAAACTGTATGCCAGGTGTGGGCAACCTTTTTTCAGTCACATTCCCTCACAGGTAAATCTGTCAGGGGCTGTGGGTGGAGTCAGAACCACTGACAGACAGAACCTGACAAAAAGGTGTTATGGATTCGCTAACCCGAAATAAAGACCACCCTACTTAATTTTTCACCGATCCTATATTAATCTGCTCGCATATAACCATCACTGGGTTTGGATTACAGTCAAATATGTACACAGAGGATGAGAGCTGTTCCTATAATTATTTAATTTGTTTAATTGATTAATTAATTTTAATTAATTAAAACCACACCAAGATATTGTTCTGGAAAACAAGTGAAAGTAATTCCTTTCTGTAGAAGCTTATCAATTTGTTCTCAGACTACTAATGGGAAAACTTCTCTTCTACAACCAGGAAATACATTATCCTTACGCTTCTTGTAACCAATAATCATTAACAGTTTAATGGCAAAATGTTAAGCATTATATAAGTGTGTGTGTGTCTGTGTGTCAGGGATACACAGAGACGTGACTCCAGCTTTCAAGGCTGTTAGATTTTAACTTAGCACATGAGAGGAGTCATGAACCTAGAGCTTAAAATAAAAAGTACTGACACATGACTAAGTGAGAGCTTTTACAGTTTATTCCCCTAACTGCTAAACTTACATCTGAGAATCTGAGCAATGTTTTTCAGGAGACAGGAGGAGTATGTTAGGGGTTTTTTTTTTTGAGGGGGGGGACACATTCCACAGCTTTGGAGCAATATGGTTATGCATTTTCAAGCAAAAAGGTGAAGAGAATAAAGAACTGATATTTATAAACAACCTGTTCCTGATGGAAAACAAATCATGCACAATTTTAGCCCAACAGAATAGGACTGCCAGGTTTAATGGGTTGCATCCAGAGGTGGTTTTACACTAGTGAAAAGCACTTCCGCAAGTCAAGATTCACTGCAGCTGCTCCTACACCTGATGAAAAACTGAATCTGAAGATTGGGGGGACCTTACATAATAGGATGAAATATGGTGCAAAGGACTATAGTAGGTAAGCAGCTTGGCAGAAACTGGGGAACTTGCCTTGTATGAGCATAAACAGCATCTGCTAGTGAAATGCCACCATTGGATACAATCCATTATGACCCATTAACAGTATTTAAAATATTCGCCTTTCGTACCTTTCTATCCGCTGGGAAGGAAATGTCCCCAAAGCCTACTAGACCATCCATCTATTTTAAAACCAAACCATCTAGACCAGGAGTGGGGGAACTTTTATCAGCTCATGGGCCTCCCAAACAGCTACATGCCAGAGGCAAAAATGCATAGGGAATGGATGTGATGCTTATTTTTGTATTCCAGCCATACTAATGCCAGAGGTTTGCACATCCAAGCAAGTGAGAAGAATTATCACCATTCAAGGCTGCATTTCAGTACTCAAGGAGGGCAAAGAGCATGACCAGTGACTGACAGGACCTGGGGAGAGTCCTGGGGGATTTGTATTTGACCAGCAGGCTGAAGGTTTCCTACCCCTGAACTACACATACACCCTGTTAAAGAAACACCATTTGAGCTATCAACTTATGAAAATCCATCTGCTCACTGATATCCGTCGGAAGGATTTGAATTCAAGGTAAGTGAGGTGGTCTGACAACTCCTCTGGTTCCAAGTGATCAAAGAGTAGTGACACTTTTCGTTTCTTACTGCTGTTAGATTTTATCCGCTGCGTGATCTTTCTGGACCACTCTCGGGCATTTCTTTAAAAAGAAAGAGAAAGGAAAACCAAAAGGGGTAATTTATCGTCTGCAGCAGAATTTACTAGCATATTCCTTTCCAAACAAAATCACACATTCATTCATTCATTCAATTTATATCCCTCTCAAAGGAGAACATGGCAAAAAACCACAATAATAATCATACTGACAATAATAGTTTAAAAAACCCATAATAATCATGATAATAATTTTATTATTTATGCCTCATCCATCTGACTGGGTTGCCCCAGCCACTCTAGCTGGCTTCCAATAGATATAAAAACATAACAAAACATCAAACATTAAAAACTTCCCTACACGAGGCTGCCCTCAGATGTCTAATAACTGTTATAAAAATAGTTTTAAACTTTCTCTCAGCCAGCGATTTCAGGGTTTCCAGGAACAGTGTACTTCAACCATCATGAGGGAGACAGAGGCACCTCATGAACGAGGGCATTCAATAAACAGGGTGAAACAACTGAAAAGGCCATGATGGGTCAATGCCAAGCAGACAGTCCCTGGTGGCGGCAGCATCAACAAGCCCTCACCTGTCAATCATAAGGTCTGAGGTGAATGAGGTTCTTTTAGGTACTTGGGTCCTAAGCCGTTTAGGGCTTTATATGCTAGTACTAACACCATGAATTGGGCCTAGCAGTGTTTTCAGGACAGTTGCATTCTGCTCCAATTATAACTAAAACAACAAACTGCAATTTGTGTCCTCAGTGAAGACATGAATTCGAATGGATACAAGTACGCAACAAATCTATTGTAATTTCCACAGCCAAGAGATTAACTAATTTCAATATCCTTCTGCTTAATCAGGTGTCACTGCTTAACCAAATTAGCAGAAAGTAATATCACATGCAAGATGTCTTTCTTTCAAGGAGAAAACTGCAGGAAGTTAACTTCAGATAAGAGCATTTCTCTCCAGTATTTATAGTAAACCAGATAAAATACCCAGCAGTAAATCAAGCAAAGACACAAGGACAGGAGCCAGACAGATATGTGACTATTGCTTGACGTTATCTTTCTATAAGGCGAATTCTTCTGCAAAGAAAAGATACTGCTTGGGGGGGGGAAGGCCGTTTTTTAGGAGAATCCACCTCCCCCAAGAAATGTGGGGCATGCAGGAAAAAGCTAGCTAAACAGCCCAACTTGTATGTGCAATCTACAGTGTGGTCATGTTTGAATCACAACTGCAACGGGACACCATTTGTGTGAAATGAGTCCCTGTCTATGGCAATTTATACCCGGTCATTATTACTGTTGAAGTTTATTCCTACGCTGCCTTTTGGCCAAGGTGCACACACAAATACAAAACCCAAGTAAAAACTGCAACTTACAAAAATGTAAAACAATAAATTTTATTTAAAAAAAGAAGACTAGATGCCAAGTCCTTCCTGTTCATACTAAAAGGACTCACAAAAACGCCAGAGAGAACATTAGAGATTCTCCTTCCTTGGAGGTTTTTAAGCAGAGGTTGGATGGCCATCTGTCATGGGTGCTTTAGCTGAGATTCCTGCATTTCAAGGGGTTGGACTAGATGACCCTTGGGAACCCCTTCCAACTCTTCAATTCTATGATTCTATGTATTCGTGATTCAGGCAGTAACCATGCCACATACTGTACATGGAAACTGTTCCTGAGGAGTTAAACAGAAGAAGGAAACATTCCTATTCATAGCTGGATAGTACACATTATTTTTCCTGGAAGTTTAGCAGCAATAGCTTTCTTGTGTATGTGTGTGTATTTCTCCCAATATATTAAGACCTTGACACTCACATTTGAGATGTGTCAATTAGGCGACAGTGCAACTCCTCACCGTTAACTCTCACCAATTCTTGAAATTCCTCCATGGCGTTTGTAAGATTGGAATCTGTTTTGAACATGACCCAGAATTCTCTTATCCAATACCTGTTGACAACAGAAGCAATAAAATTATGTTGTATTTATAACTTTGTACGCCATTAGTAGACACAAACCCAATAAACCATTAGCTTTATCCACTTTATCACCTAACCAACCATCTTCCGCTTTCTGCTATATTTAAAATATATTTAATACGTTTAGCAAATTTGATCTTCAGTCTCCTTCTCGACTTCTGGCTTACATTTGGTTTGCTGGAGGCTGTACTCCTCACAATCATCCCCTCCTCTTTATTTGTTGGATAAGATTTCTATTTGATTCTAAGAAATTATGTCACTTTTGAGAAATATACCTTTTTGAAATTAAATATATGACTGTGCAGGATTTCCTGGGCAATTTTCCACCTACATATAATGTTGAATTTGAAAGTGCTGTGGCTACTGTTTCTGCCTGGCATTATGTTGGTTTCTCAACTTGATTTTCTAAGGCACAATGATTTACTGTACCTAGGCCATTTAATTTCTACTATCATGACCCACATTCACATATACTTTGTCAATCTAAGGGTTGAAGCTTCCCATTGATGTTTTATATTTTGGCGGCCATTCCCATTACTTCTTGTGCCTCATTAGCAATATCCAACGTTTGGTTCAGTGCCGGAGAATGGATTGCACAGTCTTCATAGAACTCATAATCTTAAAAATTAAAGGGGGGTGTGTGTTAAGTTGTGGGTGAACATATCAGATGACACAGCGATTCTTCAAACAGCTATTTATTCACAGGCCAGAACAGAACTGAACTGAAGGGTTCAGCCAGCCTGCTTATATAGAGCTCCACTGCAACGCAACAGTAACCACTTTCTGTAACTATCCAATCACTGAACGTCACTTTCAATCCCTTATTTGCATATGTGGATCTGAGTGAAAACTATCTACAGTATCGCCCTGCTGGCCCAGGGTGAGAACTTCAGTACATAACGGGGGGGGGATCTAGTTTGGGAGCTTTGGGGAGGGAGCTTTTACCCCCTTCACTATTTTCCCGACCTAGAACAGCCCCCACTCCCCAAAATTGCTTAGTTTGCTAATAATATCACATCTCCTTGGGCCCTTAGAATGGGGGTTGTTAATTTTCACCCACCCTTCCTAACACAGCAATCCTCACCCCCACAATGTTATTCCCAAATGTTTCTTGGCCCTCAGGATTTTAGTTCAGTGTAGGAGACTGGCAAAGCTATATTGCAAGAGTGAAAATCTGTCCATGGATATTAGGATGTAAAAACATTTTACAAATTATAAGTTTGAAAATGCTGCATCTTTGGTGACATCTTGTCACCAAAGATGTCACCACCAGCACATAAATATTTATTTTCCCTTCCCACACCATATTTAGGACCAAAATAAGCCAAGATTCACCTGGGGCTCTAAGGCTGCAGTTTGCCTGAGTAGATGAATATCCATGCCTTGATCTTTCATAACCGATAAACAACTGCACAATAAATGTCTGTTTCTATTGCCCTAAAAATAATCATAAGGTATGACCTAACAAATACTTCCCTTCTTTAAAAAAAAATCTTGATTAATACCAAAAAAGGAAAAAATTCATCACAAGTTTCATTTAATAGACCATCTGTTTAAAAAAAAGTGTTCTTACCTTACAAGGTAACATATTTTATAGCAAAGCACAGAAGAATTATTTTCCAGAGCATCCAGATATGTAATAAATTGCTAAGGAAAATATGTCAAAAGCCTATAGAAAAGAAGGAAGTTCATAAAACCCATCTGAAAATACTAATATTACAGCTAAATTGTTTAAATAATAACAGAATATTGTCGTAATAAAATTTTGTTACATAAAAATGAAAACATTTTTTTAAAAAAAGAGCAGAGCAACCAATACTTTAGCAAAAGAATAAAAGATACTAATGGCCTCATCCACATATCACTTTAAACCAAACCTTTGTTTACAGTTTATGGTTTGTTTGGAGAGAAACAAACCATGAGCCTGGCTGTGGATGTAATGCTAAGGCAGATAATAACTTAATTTGTGGCAATGCAGCGGCGACAGGAGAGGAGCAAAGCACCCATGATTTCATCAGTATGCTGTACATTCATAGTTAAAGCACAGTTTCATGTAACTATGGTTTAAAGTGATGCATAAACCAGGTCAATATGCAGATAAAATCAGCTAGTACCTCTACATATCCTTCAGTTAAAATGGTCTATATTTGCAAATTTTGATTTTGCTAGCTATATATTCATTTGGTTGGTTTGAAGTTAACAGGTGAGCAGTGATACCCAAGGGTTGTCAGCCAAGAAGTTCCCAGTGATTATATTCTTATAGCCCTAGGAAGGTGCCTTATACTGGAACTTTGCAAACTATAGTATGAAACCAAGCTCATATGCACCTCCCAAAATAATGTTTTGATTGGAATTACTAGCTTTTGCTCTTCCCAAGTGTTCCAGTGCTGTCCTTCCAGTATTTTGAGAGAAATTACTTTTAAAAATAAACATTTTAATGCAATTTTTCATGTGGATTCTTTTAAAGTCCAAACTGTGTTACATTTAAGTAATAGGCTCCAGAGGGGTGGGTGGTGGGTGTGATGAATATAGTATATAGGAACTAAGACCAAGAAAATTCTAAGGACCTGATTTGTTTCATGTTCATTAAAGAATTTGCTGTTAGGAATGCCCATTCCCCAAATGATACCATAGCTTCTATATTAGAAATTAATGAAATAATTGCAAATGTTTAAAAGGATATAGATCAATAAGTTTTCGCAGCATCTCAGTGGAGGAGATAATAAGCCGGTGCATGCTCAGTGTTACCTTCAGCAGTTGGGAGTTTTTAAGCAGGTTTCCTTCTGAATCTGAAAGAGCAATTCAGTTTATTAGGAACATGGGGGGAAAGTTCTACACAGTCTGTACTAGATTTTCCAGCTTCCAGCTTGGCCTGTTCATAGACCCTTCTATGGCAGGGATAGCTTGCGTGTTGAGGACCCCCAGGACACCCCCAAATAAAGACACAGTTCACACATCATTTTTGGTTTTTGGTTTTTGGCATAATTTTGGCCACAACTTTACTGAACTACAGTATGTGAGTGGTTGCTTAGGCATTGATTAGCGACTATCTGTTCCCACTTAGAGGCAGGAACAGAACTGACAACCAAAAGCCTGCGGAAGTCAGTAAGGGTAAACATTTTGGGGGAGAGAATAGAGCTGGGTGCCAGGCTCTCACCTCTCCCCAAATGCTCCCAGGGGCTCTTGCGTGGCCCTAGCTCCTTGCCAGGGGTTCGGACAAGAGCATGGCGAGCCCCTGGATTCCTTTAATGGAATACCCTTGCAGCAGCAGCATCGGAGGGGCAGGCACAGCCAACCACATCCCCTCCACCAACCAAAATTAACCAATGCCTAACCACAACATTACAAGTTGTGATGATTTGCTACGCAGTAGGCAAAACCCAAATGGCACCAGCCAGTCAGCCAAATGGTAAAATTCCTACCAGGCCCCTGCTCCAAAGCAGACGACCCCATGACAGGCATAGCAAGGTCAGCATGAACAACCCTAAATATAGGGAGGGTGGGCGTGTGATCCGATGTGCGCAGCAAGAAAAGGAAGCTCAAAGCTGCGCGCAGGGAATAAATAGCACCCCAGTCAATCAACTTTGCAACCTTAAATTCTCCCCAGCAACAATTGGAGGTGCCCTATCAGATTCGTGGCCATCCATACTAACCCACCCAGCAACAGGGGATGTCATGGTTGCCCCCACCGCAACACGTCCTCTCCATGAAGGAGAACCCGCTTTACTAAGCAAGGGGCTGTATGGTCATCAGAAAAAACACTGGGATGCTGGCTTCTGCACCTAACTGTGGGCTCCATTGCCTTTCCTTTTTAATTAGAAGAGCACCTTTTTACATTAATGTACTCAAGGAGGTATAAAACCCAAAGAAACGGCAAAATAAAAAACAAAAAACACACTGTCACCCTATAATGATTCAAAATATAACTAAAAAACAAATGAACAAAATTTAAGTATCCAGTTTGTATATAGCATTACAAGATATCGGAATACAATAAAACAAAATTACCACCAACCATTACAACCAATGAATAATTACAACCAACCAAGCCAAGTCTGTGAAAATGCAATACACAATACATCATGCAATACATCATGTAGCAAGTTGACTCAGGCCCCATATTGGTCAAGGACCAGCTGACAGTGCGGTGGTGCCCCTTTCCAACTTGGTTTAGGCATTGTGAAACTTCCCAGAGATCTCTCTCTCTAGGAAATTTCACAAGATGTTTGTGACATTTCAGTTCTATGTAATGGAAAAATATTGGAGGAAAGCTGGAGTGGGTGCTCAAAAGACTGGGAAGTGAATTTAAGTGGAGGACCTAAGTCTCTTGGAGCCCAGCTGGGGATTTCATGGGTGTAGGTTTGTGATTCACCAACCCCAACCCCTCCTTTCTGTGTTGAAGCTCAGCTATTGGGCAGGGAGGGTATTCCAAACCAGAAACTCTTAACAGGCTCATCACAGCTATCTGCCAATCACCCATTCCCACCACCCTTCTGAGTAATACCCCTCCCCACCTTCTCACTATATAGAAGGATCTGGCAACTTCTGTTTTAGTGTAGCTGAAGAAGTGTGCATGCACACGAAAGCTCATACCAAGAACTAACTTAGTTGGTCTTTAAGGTGCTACTGGAAGGAAAAAAATTTTTTTGTTTTGACTATGTCAGACCAACACGGCTACCTATCTGTAACAGAGAAAGGAAGGTGTTCCATCCACGTTCTTCATTTTTGGGACCTTACTGATAGTTTACTCTCTTGGTTCCCCATCCACAGTTTGATTAAAGAAATGTGGCATTGCAGGAATAGTGTTTTTTACAAGCAGGTAAGTGTCATCAGGCACATTCAAGGGCTCTGGAAGCCCTTCAAGTGAATTTGCATTCTTCCTTAAAACTACAGTGGTACCTCGGTTTACGGAGTTAATCCATTCCAGAAGTCCATTCTAAACCAAAGCCATTCTTAAACCGGTGCCCTTCCACCATTTGGCTTCTGTTCGTAGACCAAGGTAAAGTTCGCTAACTACTTCTAGTTTTGCAGAGTTCTTATACCGAATAGTTCGTAAACAGGGCTGTTCTTAAACCGAGGTACAGTACCTGAAAAGTAACAAGTGCAAGGCCTACTCTTCAACAAAGCACTTAAGATGGGTTTATCTTGGTTCCCAAAAGAGTATCTTAGATTATATACAGACAGATCTTCAGTTAGACTAAATTGCCACTCAAGTTTACAGGGAAGTAAATCCAAGAACAGAACTGAATCAATTATCTAAACAAAGTGACAAATGACACTTTTTAATGCTAGTGAAAGTACTTGCTAAACATTAACACTCGTTTTGCTGCAGGGCGTACTGGTGTGAACTATTTTCCCTAGTACTTACATTGAAGCCAAGGCTTACATTGCAAGTGTTGATAACCGCCTACGGTTCTGTGGCATTTGGCCAAATACAGTATTGCAATTTCATTCAATTCTTAAGACACTTGAGTAGAAACATAAGCTCCTTGCTTGTTTAATACACAATATATTCCCCTGAAACAAGGTAAATGCATGCTCAAACATCTTTTAAAATGTTGCTAGATGTGAATAAAAGGCAACAAAGCAGAATTATATACGTTTGAAGCAATACTTTAAATGAATATAGTAATAATATGGGATATCCTTCTCTGTTACTTTAAGACTATCTCTAAGAGCTCTGGTTTTGACTGGAGCAGACCCCAATCAGCCATGAAGATCAGTGAGTCACTTTGAGTCAGTCACTCTCTCTGACCCTAAGCTACCTCACAGGATTGTGGTGAGGATAAAACAAAGGAGGGGGGGAAGGAGCAGGTTAGGAAAACTGTATGGAAGGAAGGATGGCAACCCTTCTCTGCCAGCACCACTGCTCCGATAAAAATCAAAGTTCCCAGAAGCTTCTTTAAATTGTGTTTCTTTTTCTATAGCCAGGCAATCAAAACATGGTTTTCCCTTCCTTTGTTGTTTCCAGTCCATTTTAGCTTTAAAGATATTTGGGGAATAGGAATCTTTGTACTTCCCCTGTATTTTTCTAAGGAACCCACAGGAATTCAGCATCATGTGATGCTGAACGGTCTGCCTGTGCAAGTATATCAGCTTACCAGACAAAACAATCTCCCTTCCCCCCACCGCCACAGTTATGGTGGTTCTCCTGAACCCCCAAGCCAATTTCTGCTGACAGAGTTTGCTAGGTGACTCCATAATCATAAATAATTAAGGAAAGGATAAGAAAAGAAATGGAAAAGCAACCCACACATAGTTCTAGGAGGAAACAGTTGTATTAATATATATCTATGTAATGCATGTGTGCGCAGTTGTGCACAGTTGTGCATGTGTTTATATATAACATTCTCTCTCTCTCCCTCTCTCTCCCTCTCTCTCTCTCTCTCTGTGTGTGTATTTAGAATGTTTGCAATCCCAAAAGTCCCAGGTAGAGAATACATACATACTAAAGCAAAGCAGCACTCCAAAAAATAATATAGCACCAAAATATAATTCATTATAAAAAAAACCACAAAACCCTTAAACAGAATCAGCAAAACAATGAAGTTTACCCTCATTTTCATGTGACATGTATTACTTCAATCATAACTCTTGTGGGTAACAACATCACTTAACACAATTGCTTCAAAGCATTAAACAAATTATGAGTTCTATCAGTGTTCTAAAAAACAAAAGAAAATGATGAAAACCCAAAGAAACTAGGAAGAAGAGCGAGCGTTGAACCTTTGGGGAGAGGCCATTCCACAGAGTTAGGACAACTACAGAGAAAGCCCTGCCCCCACTTCTCTTGACAACTTTACCTCTTGGAAGGGAAGTTGGAGATCTCAAAGATTATTTTAAAAGGCAAGTAGATTCATACAAGCAGATGTTCAAAGATACACTGACCCCAGGCTTAGGAAGGGCTTGGAAAGTAAGAACCAGCTCCTTTAACTGGGTCCAGATACTAACAGCCACCAGTATAGCTGGTTCAGGATTGCTCCTATCGGTGCCCTTCAGTTATGTAGGCCACTGTGATAAAAGTAGACCCAAGGTTTCTTCAAAACTGAACCTCCTATTACAGTGTTCAGTGAAGCAACTGGGTACGGTCTGCATTAAATCCACAAAGATCTGGGGAGTTAAAAACTGACTACAGGTCCCAAATGCTGGATATATGCTAGGTATACCCCAAACTGTCCAGCAGCTCATAAGTTCTTTACTCAAAAGTAGACAGAACAACATCTATGCTATATTCTAAATCTTGGATTTTTCATACATTCTCATGCAGGAGCTACACACGCTGTATTAACGAAAGCATTAGAAGAGCACAAGTAGCAAACAGTATTCTTTTAAGTCAACTTCCACACAGTTTCAATATGCACTTGAAGCTTGTTCAGTTTATCTTAGCCTTAACAAGTTGAACACTTTAAGCTTTATGAGACTCACTCTCATTTCTTCACTCTAATTTCCGCTTGCATACCTGTCAGTAAAACCACACACCCTGCTGGGAAGAAACCCTCTAAGTAAATGTTAAATGCGGTAGAAGCGTGTTGTTAGAATTACCACATTTTGCATTAGGAACCTGCTTTTAAATGTGGTATAGTTTAGTTATGGCTACTTTGCAAATAAAATAACGCCGCATTATAAAAATAGAATTATCTTGGAAATGCTGCTCATTATCAATATTCAGTGCTTTCTCAGTTTCAGAAATCATTTGCTCACATGCTATAAACAATATGGCTGCATTCATGTTTCCTACATATGTGTGTGTGTGTAATTCATACTCAGAGTAGACCCACTGAAATCAATG